GTTTAAGTTAGTTTGCTGCCAATTTTAATATGAAGACAGACAAACTAAAATTAGCTTTTATTAGTAGCACTAAAAATCAGGTTCTAAAATCCAATTCTAACGTATTGGATTTGTCAACGTATCTACTATTAGCCGTTAAAGAGTTCCACCTATCCACCTTCTGGCCTTACCATCAGGTCGACAATATCGAATCACTGCACTACCAATAGAAATAAAAACATTTGGAAAGTTTTAAATCAATATGACAATTAAAAGTAGATTAAATTTTCATTAGCTTTTTTCTCCTTAAAGGTGGTGTTTTTTTTTTCAAATTTAAATGGGACTAAAGTGGAAGTATGCACTTTCAAACAAGACAAAAATTGTCCAAATCATAAGTAAACATAAAAAAATACAGCCGAGTTGAGAACCTCCTCCTATTTGAAGTCGGTTGAAAATATCGAATAAAATATTATTTTGATATAATCTATATATATAAAAATGAATCACCGAAATGTATGTACGCGCATAACTTCCTATCGCCTGCACCAAATTGGATAATTCTTTTTATTGTGTTTTTATTGTCAGGACAAGCAATTCGTATAGAGGAAAATTAAAAGAAAATATATCTTTTTACTAAAATAAGTTTTTTTTTAATCTCATGAAATTAAAAGTGAGTGAAATAGTTTTTATCGTGGAAATCTTCCCTTAAAGGGATGAGAATGGGGATAAAAGTTTGTATAGGGAAGCAAGCTAGGGACGAACCCGAGCGAAGCGAGGGTGACTCGCTAGTCAATAATAAATTAACTCATAGCAAATGATTGATACTAAAAAAATGTATTGCAAAAAAATCTAATGCAAAATCTGTGTCGGTTTTGTCATAAAAATACCATTATGAATATTACACAACATCGAGATACTACGTTGAAGATGTAATGCTGTCGTTGGAAAATAACGACACTTACAAAAAGATAATTACAACACATTTTGAGATAATTTGTTTCTCGACATTTGAGTTCTATAATTTCCGACATTAAAGAATACTTGGACAGAAATGTTTAATTGGATGAATGAAATTTCATCTTTTCAAACAAAGTCCTCAAAACGTCGTATCGATTTCAACATGGAAAATTAACTTTGTAATTGACGTCATTAAGACATTATACCAAAATAAATTCAATATATTGCCAATCACAAAACGCAACAAAAGTAAGATGATATTTAGGAAAATTTATATTTCTATTTAATATTCTTATAGCTAATTAATTGATCGTCGTTTCGTTTCTAAAATAAAGTTTATTATACAAGCAATATATTAGAGTTAATAGTCTACGCCGCCTTGTGATGTTCTCAATGTTTTCCAGTATCTTTCACTTTCGCACATAAAATAGTGTAACGACCTGTAAACACGGTTCGTATATACCTAAATAACCTTCATAATATCCTAAAAATCAATAAGCAACTTACATCACATAAATATATTATGTAACCTATGTATTTCAAAATTTTACCAACCGTAATAGTTCCTTAGATTTAAGCATATATTTAACATTTTAAATACAAACTATCTTTACGGATTTTTTTTAAATAAATCCCCAACCCAACCCAACCAGGTATAAATCTCCGATATAAAAAATTGTAACAGTAATTTTTACGATATACCTAAAATTATTTGGTAGATTACGTCTTTCATTTACATACATTATACATATATTTCTTTTTTTATTATTTTTAGTGTTACTAATAAAAGCAAATTTTAGTTTGTAAGTCTTCGTATAAAAATTGGCATCAAAGTAACTCAAACGGTTTAAGCGAATATTTTATTGAAATACTTTCTTCTTACTTTGCTACTACTATGTCTACACTAAAAAGGGAAAAATAAAAACCTTATAACAATAAAATAAAAACCGACTTCAAAAAAAGCACTAAAAAGTAAAAAATAACTGATTGGTAGTTTTCATTTACAGCACACCGACTTCGAAAATATTTGATTACGTATGTATAGTAATTGAAAACTACCAATCAGTTATTTTTTACGTTTTAGTGCTTTTTTTGAAGTCGGTTTTTATTTTTTTGTTAAAAAGTTTTTATTAACATCCTACTGCTGGGCACGGGCCTTCTTCAATACGAGGAGGATCAGGCCATACTCCACCACGCTGACCAAGTGCAGGTTGGCGGACTTCACATGCCTTTCGAAATTATTGTTATATTATAATATGAGGACTTTTTGTAATATTTCTAAAGAAACGCAATAGTTGTTATAACCTTATGTTAATTGACACATAAAAGTTGCAAGTTAATCCATCGAAGGCTTTGATTGGTTAACTTTGAATAGTTTGGTTGTTCTTGAGAATATTATCTAACAGTTCGACAGCTGCAAAAGCGGGGACAGACTTGAAACTTTCAACATGCAAAATAGTTTCTAAGGTAACAGATTACATATTTACAGCTTACCTATTGTAACAAATAATACTACGTCTTTTTATGTATTCGTAGAAATTTATAATTATTATCTTAAAATATTGTAGATTAGTATATTTAACATTTTGTAATGTACATATATGTACTATGTAGTAATCATATATGTACTATGTATAAATCATCATCATCATCACATCATCATCATCATGTAGTAATATAAAATGTGTATAATGTGGTTATTTTGATACTAATTAAAAAAAGGCTAAATATACACGAACGTATTCTGCTAAAAAATAAGTACGGCGTCCGTTACTTCATTAAAGTAATATTAAGAATTCTAAATCATATTCATTATACATAGGTGATGAGAGTAATTGAATGAAATGCGGCGTGAACACGACAAGTAGAGTGTCACGGAAGAAAGGCGGCCACTCGGATGCTGCTAAAAAAATGACGTGCAAACCTGTCGATGTTATATTGTCGATTAATAGTTATAATATACTTTTAATAGGTACAAGCTACATTTAACCTGATGAAATTTGATGTAAACATATTTTAAATTATCTTTTAAGTCCGCTTGTGTTTTACGGAATCTTTTGGCGGCAATACTATTCGCACTTGGCCGTTTTTACTTAACTTATATATTACCTTTGTATCAATTTTGTTCTTCACCAAGTCTTTAATTTATCTATTGATAAAATAACTATAATATAACGTATTTTCATGTTCACAATTACAAACCATTTAGTGGCGCCATGTTGACATTACCTATGCCTACTCTTAGTGTCGGCAGACTATTGATTCGATTCGCTTGCGTTATTTCTACAGTTGTTTGCATTAGATATACATATTTTAATCCTATTTACTTAAATCTTAACAAAAAACATGTATCATTCAAAAATTCATGAAAAAATTAAATTATACCATTAGGCAATACCTTTTCTAACATATAGATGAAATAATTTATTTATATTTTAAGCCAATTTCGTCAATCCACTTATATCACACTCACGTATTATAAAATATTCAAACCTAAATCGAGCGGCTATGTGAACTTGGCACCCGACTTTGGAAAAATTGTTCTTTTTTAGGTTTATTTGAACGATTTCGGTTAGTAGTAGATAGTAGTGAAGCTAACTTCGTTTGTAGTAGTGTCAAAAAAATACAGACAACAAAAAAAATGTAAACGTTAGTAGTGGTTTGTAGTGCAATTTTTTTCGTTTGTAGTAAAACAAAAAAAAAAAATTTTTTTTTCGAGTATTTTTCCAGAACGATTTTTACTACATACATTCATTGTTTCGTTTGTAGTACCATTATTTCATTTGTAGTAACGTAAATTTTGGTTTGTAGTACCATTACTTCGTTTGAAGTAACGTTAATTTCGTTTGTAGTACCATTACTTCGTTTGTAGTACCATTATTTCGATTGTAGCTGTTTGTAGTAACGTTAATTTCGTTTATAGTACCATTATTTCGTTTGTAGTTGTTTGTAGTAACGTTAATTTCGTTTGTAGTACCATTATTTCGTTTGTAGTAACGTAAATTTCGTTTGTAGTACCATTGTTACGTTTGTAGTACCATTGTTTCGTTTGTAGTACCATTATTTCGTTTGTAGTACCATTATTTCGTTTGTAGTACCATTATTTCAATTGTAGCTGTTTGTAGTAACGTTAATTTCGTTTGTAGTACCATTATTTCGTTTGTAGTTGTTTGTAGTAACGTTAATTTCGTTTGTAGACCCAATATTTCGTTTGTAGTAACGTAAATTTCGTTTGTAGTACCATTGTTTCGTTTGTAGTACCATTAATTCGTTTGTAGTACCATTATTTCGATTGCAGCTGTTTGTAGTAACGTAAATTTCGTTTGTAGTACCATTATTTTGTTTGTAGTTGTTTGTAGTAACCTTAATTTCGTTTGTAGTACCATTATTTCGTTTGTAGTACCATTATTTTGTTTGTAGTTGTTTGTAGTAACGTTAATTTCGTTTGTAGTACCATTGTTTCGTTTGTAGTACCATTATTTCGTTTGTAGTACCATTATTTCGTTTGTAGTACCATCATTTCGATTGTAGTTGTTTGTAGTAACGTTAATTTCGTTTGTAGTTGTTTGTAGTAACGTTAATTTCGTTTGTAGACCCAATATTTCGTTTGTAGTACCATTCTTTCATTTGTAGTACCATTACTTCGTTTGTAGCTGTTTGTAGTAATGTTAATATCGTTTGTAGTACCATTGTTACGTTTGTAGTACCATTGTTTCGTTTGTAGTACCATTATTTCGTTTGTAGTAACATTATTTCATTTGTAGTTGTTTGTAGTAACTTTAATTATAACCTTAATTAGGTCATATATTGATCATAAAAGAAAGTTTGCTTAATTTTGACCGGTGTGTTGTCCTTATTAACTTGACGCGGCTGAGATAATGAGCACTCAGGACATATCCAATTTTTCTTAATGTTGACTTTTTTTGCCGATGGGTAAAGAAGTAGTAGTACTTGGTGGTAGTCATGTTCATTTTATTTATAGTATCTTTTCTTTGGTAAACCAAACACTAAATTGTTGGTTCTTTCGTCAACCTTGATGTTGTGTCAACTAAATCCACAATCTAAATTCGGACGTAAAATAGCAAAGGTGTTCGACGTTGTTTTAGTACATCCCGTTTGGTAATCGTCATTACTTTTTGCGAAGAACATAGATCGTTATGCTCTTCCCACCTGCCAGTCGCTCGTTTTATACATGCGTAGTAATGCCCTGCGACGAAAATGATCGCTGAAACCATTTTGTACTGACGATCGCAATAGTTCAAATTTCCAGGGATTTCCGAAAGAGTGAATTGTTTCCTACAATTCGCTAGACCACGCCGTGCGGCAAGCAGCCCAATTTCGGCCGCTTCGAGATTGAGGAAAATGTGGCTTCCTCCAGCAAACGTCTTAGTAATATTAGTTCCTTTACAAAAACAACACTCGTTTCGAGTTTTAGACACGTAATGTTCTACAGACTTACATACAGCTTCCTGTAGGCCCCTCATGGCTTCTTTGAAAATGGGATCTGGATTGAGTTCAAGGACTGGGATGATGCTTATTTTTTCGTATTGACAATCATTGCAATTAATTTTTATCTCAAGTGATGGAGTGTTCGGTAAAATATGTAACTCTATTAAAGTAGCGACGTTGATTTCGCAATCCAACACTCCATTTTTTATTTCTGATGTGTGTTTTAAAATTACACATCGTTCGTTGTATAATTTCGAACTTACACCAGACTTCGACAACGCCTCTACAAAATCATGTATGGCATTCTTTGACTCTGTGATGTGTTGGTAATACGTAGCGAAATCGTGATATGCTGTTAGCATACTTTGCACGATGGAGTCGAATGCACATGTGTTCCGCACAGCAATAAATTGTTTGCCGATTTTTGCAGGGCCCAAACTGTTACCATTTACGAGTAGAGGCAAATTTAAACTGAATTTTGGCCGCTGGCGTATTATTTGTATATCAGGACATGGTGTCAGATATTTTCCTCGTTTCTTGGGTCGACCCTGTACATTTGATTGGATCAGTTCAGTCTTTTTTGTAAGGCCACGCCAATTTTCGTTCTCATTGAGAAAAGACATGGAAGATTTATTTAATTTGGTCGAAATATCATCTAACGATTGTATGTCATCTTCACTTACACGCTTACGAACATTTTCATCGGTACTACAAACGAAATTAACGTTACTACAAACAGCTACAATCGAAATGATGGTACTACAAACGAAATAATGGTACTACAAACGAAATAATGGTACTACAAACGAAACAATGGTACTACAAACGTAACAATGGTACTACAAACGAAATTTACGTTACTACAAACGAAATTATGGTACTACAAACGAAATTAACGTTACTACAAACAACTACAAACGAAATAATGGTATTATAAACGAAATTAACGTTACTACAAACAGCTACAATCGAAATAATGGTACTACAAACGAAGTAATGGTACTACAAACGAAATTAACGTTACTTCAAACGAAGTAATGGTACTACAAACCAAAATTAACGTTACTACAAATGAAATAATGGTACTACAAACGAAACAATGAATGTATGTAGTAAAAATCGTTCTGGAAAAATACTCGAAAAAAAATTTTTTTTTTTTTGTTTTACTACAAACGAAAAAAATTGCACTACAAACCACTACTAACGTTTTTCTATACGAATCAAGCGAAAAAAAAATTTTTTACCAACTTCGGGGGATGACATTTTTTTTGTTGTCTGTATTTTTTTTTTGACACTACTACAAACGAAGTTAGCTTCACTACTATCTACTACTAACCGAAATCGTTCAAATAAACCTAAAAAAGAACAATTTTTCCAAAGTCGGGTGCCAAGTTCACATAGCCAAATCGAGCCTGATAATATTCGAACTGTCGATAGAACAGTTAATAGCCTAATAATAATAATAATACCTTGTCAACTCTATATTTTTTGTTTCAATAACTGACATTTAAATTAAAATTATCATTAAATTACAACATCAAAATATTTCAACTAATTGAAAATAACTAAATTTAATTAGAAAAAAATATATAATAGATTGTAATGGTTTCCCCTCGCATAGTAACTTGACTCTTAAGTAACTAATACATAAAAAAATGTTCTCTAACGTTCTACGTTTTTAATATAACTTTTAACTTATATTAACCGAATGAAAAATTCCACCGACACAACTTTTTTTATTTTACCGAATAAATTATTTACATAAAATGTAATCCAAATGACTTTTATTCGTCCGCGCCAGAAATAAGACATGATCCACACGTAACTATTTTCACATCTCTAAAATTAAAACTACGACAAGTAACGAACACAAAACTTTATCATTGACCTTTTTAGATCCGCGTAAAACTGAAAATAATCATAATAAAGTTAAAATAAAGCTTCACTTACCAGATAAAAGATCAAATTGAGAAAAAAATAGGTATTATTTATGTGAGAGACCTAAACTTTATCGAACTAGATTTTTCCTCTACCTATTTATACGTATGTCTAATAGGATTTTTACTGCAAATTATAATTAATCAATAAAAAATAACCAGGTTACAATTGCATTAAGTTAAACTTTGATTTTTATTATTACTATAGTATATATGTCATTTATGTAATTAATTGCATATTATATGTATTGTAACAATACAAAATTTAAGGCTTATATTAATCATTATTATTTACCAGCTGCTTCACTCTCTGGTTTATTTAGTTTGTGTAATCGGTCCAATCCTTGTGGTAATCATGTGATGTCCTCCTGACCGTTTTCGGCCACGGCGGCCAATCTTTCTGAGACTAGCTAACTGCGCAGGAGATGTTACAGTGTACAATTGTACGCAAAGACACAAGTGCATTCTTTATTTCTTTCACTCTGATATTCCAGTGGTATAATAATTCATAACGACCGGTGATAAATCAGGGACACGACGGCTCAATGTGCTCTCCTAAGGTGGATCACCGCCAACTTCCCAATCCCGGCTACTGCCGGTTCCACCTCTCAGGAACAACTGAGACTTTCTTAACAGAAAGACTCAATAACTAAAGTAAACCCGACTCGGAACTCAAACTTAGGGCCTCCGGATCTGCAGCCGTACATGCTAGCCACTACACCATTAGACTACGCATTTAACATGATATTAGTTAAATGCGTAGTAGTAAAAATTAAATTCGTAGTTAGCTGTAACCTTCCTCATACTTCGATTACGGTGTTTGTATTGATAAGCGCGTTCAACATACAATAAAACAAACAACCTCTTCAACTTTATTAGTATGTATAATAATATAATATTGACTTAATACTAAAGTATCGTGTAATATAAAGCTTTCATACATAAAAAAATACTCTCTTGCTTTTTGGCAAAGTATCCAATTCAAGAATTTAGCAAGGTGTACAATAAAAAGTAATTATGCGTGGTTGCAATAAAAATAAAATGAAATTTTCCACTGAACTGCTGACATCTGTATCATAACTTTAATCATCAATACAGGTATATATGTATATCATTTATAAATGTTTTTTACACATCGAACATTGCTAAGAATTATTTTAAAAAAAACTTTTTGACCTTACGGTAACATTTTAAATAAAATAGATCTTTTCGGATTTTATCGCGATATTGTTTTTTTTTTTTGGTAGGTACCCGACGTTTCGAATGCTTTACAGCAATCAAAATCACGAGAGAGGTTTAAGACGGGATCAAGGTTATTATACGTATATGTATTAGTTGTTACAAACAGTGCCTAACCACGAAATTACAAAATGATTTCAAAAATACAAAAATGCCACCAAAGTAGTTACAAAAAAAGTTTTATTTAAAATGCCAAATATTCGCGTAAATCTGAGAACCTATTTCGGTTACAGTTCAAAAAGTCATAATCATAAGTCATTATGTTAATAATATCACAAGGCATATAAAAAGAAATCTTAATTCAAAAATCTGTCTAGAGAAGGGTATAGAATTTTGGGACAAGTAACGCGACGTCAATATGATATTGAATAGCTTAGACATTGAAGCGCCTAGACGCTAGACAGTCAATAAACCTCTAAGTAAATATCATAGTACGCGAAATTATACTTTCTTATATTTACGCTAATATTTGACATTTAACATTAAAATTACTTTTTCGGATTTTTCGCAGACTTTAAATCTTTAATCAAAGTAAATCCGCGAAAAAATCTGAATGTAAGTTTTATTTAAAAAGTAATAGAATTTTTAGAAATCACAAAAATATATATATCACATATTATTTTCTTCGTAATAAATAAAATAATTGTTAATTCACTTGTATTTTTATCGATAATTTCTTAATTTACCTCTGACACTTCCCTAATATTAGTTTAATAGAAATTTATTAGTACAAACTTTTCGAAATCTTCAAATAAACAAATTTAAAGCGCTCTACAAGAGTACATATGGTGTCCTGAGGCGGGTTCATTGCAATGAATATTTATGTGAGGCATTCTTGCGATAGCTATGGAAGCACCCACATTCCACACCCCTCTTATTCCTTGAATAATATATGAGGACTGCCGCTGCAATTTTACATCAAAAGACTTTTCAGCTTCACAAAAAATTCAGACCATGTGCTAAACGTTGGGGTATTCATTAAGAATTTATATGCAGAAACTGCTGTTACTCGCATATCGCATATCTTGATAGTATTTTAAATTATTTGGTAATATTAATAATGATCATAGCTGATATAAATTTAAAAGAAATAACCATATTTCATATAGTGCATACTTGCGTCTGAGGACCATCACTATACATATATGCAATCATTAAGAGCGACGAGACGCCACTCTTGGCTGAGATTCAAATGTTAACAAACTGGTACTTTTCAAGTCATTATACTCGTAACTATGAAATGGCCTTAAGCCAGTTGTATTTTTACTTAATTATATTTATAACAATAACATATATGGATAATAAATCTAATCCACATTATTATTATAAAACTTTATATTAGATTTTTAATTTTAAAACGATTCAATTAAAAATTTAACTTAAAGAAATAGACAAAAGAAAATTCATCGTATCGTTCACACACATTCAAAATTAAAATTAGATGTTTTCGCTAGAAATCTGCGTAATGATAGCGTTTTAATGTCCCTTTCGTACTGGCGTGCTGCCAGTACATACTAAACCACTAGACTTATGAACTTTTCTCAGACGAGCGACATGACATTACATTCTTGAAAAAAATTATAAGTAAATACTCACGTACACCATTAACTAAAAATACTTTTAACTGATAAAAAGATAACTCGTTTGGCTTTAAACAAAAACTAACTCAAACATTGGATTAGCCATAGATACCGCCAATAATGACATATCTTTTGTAAACAGTACTATCATCGTCTTCTTCCAAGCAAACAGGGCGTTTCACAATCTTATCTTTCCTGTTTCAGACACTCGGTGGACTCGGTCGCGTCGTATTCTAGTCAGAATCACGTAGACCGTATAAGGACTCAGAATTTCTCAGCGGCTTCTTGTCAAGACGAATGTGACTTTGGCTCGATCAAGACAAGCCTTTTCAGGAGGTCGTCATCAAATTTAGAATATCCTATCAAACGGCCAGAAAGTGTCACTTCTACAAGTTCCACACGAAGCCGCCTTCGAGAACTCGTCGAAAGGAAATCGAGTCAGGACGAACATAAGCCTGCGGCAAACACCGTTGCTGATATACAATATTTTGAAAATCCTTCAGAGACGTTAGAATTCGACAAACCGCGAAATACACTTGAATTTAAAAAGAATTCAGAAGAACGTCCTAAAAAGAGGAAATCTAAACACAAAGACGGTGACACTAAAAATAAAAAACAAGAGAAATATCAAAGTAAGCTTGCCGAATACTATAAACTTCCTGTTCAGTTGCCGCAAGACGAATTTTATCAACACTTAACGCGATCTAAAGCAGCAGAAGAGTTTCTACAAAAACGATTTTCCAACTCCGATACCGAATTTAGCGGCAGCTACGGTCGTTTATGCAGACACAAAGAAATAGAAGGGTCTAATTTACGTCGTAGTCGGAGTTTGGCTGTCATCCGAGAAGAAACTTTTACTGATCTTCAGATACAAAACCATCAAAAGACTAAAAGATCACAACTAATTCCCAGAGCCCGTTTATTCGATAAGCCTTGCTTTAGAGACAGGTAATATTAATCATTTATCTAATAGTTTGAACACTTTTTTAAATTAATTTTAAATATAACTATTCTGATATTTTTTTCTGATTTTTTCGCGGATTTATTTACATTTTTAGTTTTACAGCCATGATGGTCGTAGTTCTGGTGGCCGATAGTGATGACCATGATTGCCGCAAAGTATTAAGGAGTTGGGAACTAAAAATCAAAATAAATCCGCGAAAATTTCCAAAAAAAACTTTTTCATCTAAAAAATACATTGAATTAGAAATTCCTTTAATTACAATTATATACATTTGTACATTTTATTATTTTCAGGTTAACTGGACGTGCTAAGTACCAAACGAAAGAAGAAGTGTTAGAAGGAATTTATATTGACAGCACGGTTTCATGCTTTGCAGACATAAATAGACAAAATACAGAAGAGGAATCGCCAAATCAGCAAAATAATATTGATAATAAATCACAACAAGACGTAGTTTCTAGAAACGAAAGTCGTAATTCCAGATCAGTAAGTGGAAGTTGGCCGAACTTAAACGAAGATTCCAAGCAAATAAATCTTTCAGAAGACAGCATCGGACACTCACGTAATCCTAGTGAAATTGATAGCTTGGATTCTAATTACGTTAGGAAACATTACAATTTCGAAGCACACTTAAAGAATTATAATAACAGTTCTCCAGATACAGAAAGATCAGTTAATTCACAAAATAATTGTAAAGAATTGTATATAACTACAGACGACCACGATAGTGAAAACGAAGTTGAAGGTCGACCTAAATCTCTTATCCTCAGTTTTGAGCAAAACAAGTTGCAAGACTCCATACAAACAAATTTGGACAATGAACTTGTAGAATATGACGTAATATCTACAAAAAGTGAAGAAAGTAATAAAGCTAATATAAATGCAAATTTGTTAAGCGAAAAAACTGAAGACCTAACAAAAGATTGTGATATTCAATCTGTTATATCTGAAAACGACGGAACTATATCTAGCCCAACTGACAGTATAACTTCATATATATCTATCTCAATTGCTTCGTCTGATAAATCTCACAAATTAGAATATCTAGCAAATTCACTAGCAGAAAAAATTGATGAGTATTGTGATTCACAATTTCAAGAAAATAATTCAATAAATTCCAAAACCATACATAGTGAAAAAAAAGATCTCGGAGCGGAACCCGTTTATACATCAATTCATAAAAAGACAACATTCGCTGATATAAAACGAGATTCTTCCATAAATCGAACTTACGACAACAGTAAAGAAACTCCTATCACTACTGATACACAATCAGAATATTATATAAGTAACACATTTATAGGGAGTGACGATTATAATAAAGACAATTATTGTACATCTTCAAAGAATATAACAACCGAACCTTACGTAGCAACTTTTGTAGAAAATCAGTACTATTCCTTACCAGATATAAATATAAGTAAATGTTTACGAAAGTCTGAAAGAATAGACGCTCAGTTAAGAAAAGAAGATCCTGAAGATATACCCTGCGAAAATACATATGAAGTAGCACAAACACATTTTCGAGAAATATTATCGTCAAAAAATAATGAAAATTATGGTCATTTGAATAAAGTAAATATAACATTTGAGAATAATTGTAACGATATAAAAAATAATACCAAAATTTATCAACCAGAAGTTAGTGAAACATTACTAATTCAGAACTTTTCCAAGCTTGAAGACGATCTAAAATCGATTATTACTATAGATAGTTCTAATGCTGATGAAAATCAGTCCAATATTTATCAACTAGATCATCATCAAAACGAAAGAGAAATAAACGAAATAGAAGGAACAATCAGGAATAATAAAGTTATCACTAAATCTGAGAGTTTGAAACTTGCTTCTAAAGTAATTTATAGACCAGATATCAAGATAATAAAATCTTTTTCCAACGACAATATAAACAAATCAATTAAAGATAGAAAAGCAAATACCGGAATTAAAAAACACTACTCACTCCGACAGCGCAATCCTACAGATGATGAAAATTTTCGCCTTCCTAGTCCAACAACCACAGTAGAAATAAAAACTAATAAACCTCTTCAACCCCCTGCCAGGAACTTATCGTTTAGTGAACAAATAAAAAATCACTCACTACTTTCAAGAGTGCAATCTTTTAAAACATCAGCGGCATCTAATATTGCTATAGTACCACTCAGCGGTCATCAGACAATAGTGATAGATCCACCACTGAATCAAGAAACATTGGTTACTAAAGAAAAAGTAAACTTAACAAACGAAGAAATAAGTTTAGACTTAAAAACACAAATAAAAACTTCTATTCCAGATCCTCAAATCAACATAACAAAAGTAAGTAAAGAAGATATACTAGAAGACGATCTTCCAGAGTTAAAAAATAATGCAAAAGATCCATTTATAACTATAAAATTGAAAAAAGTAGTAAAGAAAACTATTCCAAAACTAAGAACAGATAACTATTCCAATACAGTAAGTTGTGAAACTGGAATTTTTTGTCAACAGCAATTAAAAAAGCCACCACCACGTCTTATAATAAAAGATAGTAACATTGATACTAATAAACTTGACAACGTCATGACTCGACCTCAAGTTTTGCAAGTGATAGATTCCAAAAGTAAACGACAGAATATACATACTAATTCAGATAAAAGTAAGTTTACAATGAGTTGCCCAAAAACAGAAACAGTTTCAGAACCAAAGGATGTCAGATATGAAACAAACAATGTTAAAGAAAAACTGAACAACGCTATAAAGACAGATATAGAATATCAAGAAAAAATTAATTCAGTCAAAAATTATTGGTCAAAACTGATCGATAAATCACCAGAAAGTAACAATAATATGGAAATTATGGATAAAACTGAAATTCCTGATAGTAATAAAAATGACAATGAATTACAGGAAATAAAACAAGAGAATAACAGTAGCGATACAGTTCCAGAAGTCTCCGTAAATAGCATAATTAAATCTTTAGAAAGTGTAAAAATTGTGGACAGTATTAAAAAAATAAGTCAAACTAAGCTACAACTCTGGAAAGACGAAACAGAAAAAGTCAAAAGTGACTCAGAAATAGAGGAAACACCAGTAGAAAAGATTATCAAAGAAAATGTTGGCACCATATACGATAATCCAAGGCCTGAAAAGCAAATAAAGAAACGTGAACTAGAATTGTCTAGAGATACCCCAGACATTGAAATAGTAGAATTAAGCAGTGACGACAATAAAAATCAAAAAACACAAGCCACTCTTATAAAAGCAAAAGGCTTTGACAAAAGCTGTGATGAATTTGACCATGTAAGATACAAAGTAATGAAGTCAGAACTATTTAAAAATAGTATGATAGCAAACTACCGCAAAGAAGCTCAATTCGATGGACTGTTACAGTATCTACAAGATTATAGTTTTCAAGAATTACTTGTGAATAATAATATAGTGATTATTGAGCCAGTAAGAACAAAAGTAGAACCAGCGCCTAGAAAAAATACAAATACTGATACTTGTAAAATACCACCGACATTGCTGAAGAAAAATGATTATACATCCCATGTAGATAAATCAAAAAATGCAATTCGTAGACACTTCTTTTATCACCCTATAAGAGTTAATAAGGAAATCATAGAAGAGGAGTTACCGAATCCAGATACAGTCAAAAAAGTTCGTAACTTATTTGAAGATACGCTAAAAATGAAAAGTCCAATGACTCATGACCCGCCACTGGTAGATGAAAACGCCGGTCTCACACGCCGTGCCACCTCATATAGAAATTTGAGTGAAGAGACAAAAAGCAGTAAATCTGGAGGAAGAAAAAAGATTACCCGACAGTTAACAATAGACACAAACTTCGGTAATAAAAAATGGGATAACGCTAGTCTTTCAAGTGGTGTGTCCAGTGGCGACTTAAGTTCAAACAACGATTACGAAACAGATGGTTTGAGTCCTTACTCACAAAAAACTCTCAAAGATAATGTGTATAGTTCTAGCGACGAGTATCTTTGCGATTCAGCAAATCAAGATTTTTGTTGTGAAAGTCAATATGTTAGCCCTGACATACTAAAGAAAATAAGAGAATGTGGAACTTCCGTTACATATTACGGCGGAAAGGTAATGAATTCCAAAACAAGCTCTACTGTTAGCCCTATGACTAAAGCTATAATGGAAGAAATAAAAAGCTTACAAAAGAACTGTAGTAGAGATTGTTATTCCTGCCAAACGAAATGTAAAGGAGATAAATGTTCCTGTCTTGTAGCTGACAAACATCAACAAATGCTTTCTGAGAAACAATTTGAAACTTTTACCGAGTTTGGGACTAACCAAAGTCAGGATAAAAGTAAGTTTACAGAAGGTTTTCCAGGTTTTAAATTTAAGCTTGTGAAATCTAACAGTTGTAGCAGTCGTCTAGAATTAACAGGCACAGATGAAGCAAAAAACTCTAGACTTAAATTCAGAAAACAAAATTCGAAAGAAGATCCTCCGTTATTATATGACGATGAAAATTCAGTAAAAAATAAAATATGTCGTTTGGAGAGTTACAATAAAGGTATGGTTAAAACCCCTTTTCAAGAAAAAGAATGTGGCGCTACTGCAAATATTAATAATATAATAAAGGAAAAAAATCTGCAATCGAAAGCAAAAACAAGTGAAAAGACAGTATCACAGAAATCAGATATACATCTTAATGAAAAAACTACTGATGAATCAAAAGATATGACGGAATCAGAAGAAAATTTAGCTGAAATAAATAAGCAAAACATCGATAACAATAGTTTTGAGAAAAAATTCTATTATCTTAACAATAATGCGGAGCAAAATAAAGTCTCTACGGGAAAATTTGGAGAAATGGTGTTTGAGGAATTTGAAGTATTAGAAACATGTTTTGATAGTTTAAATAGTAATAGGTCCTTAAAATAGATAATATAATTTAATAACAAGCCTATTGCTTACTTGTGATCTGTGCCTATTCAAACATGCTATTATTACTTGTACATTAGTAACTCGTATAAATACCTAGCCTATTTATATATTTGAATTAGATTAAGTCATTTAAGAAATATTATGTAACGTAACTTACCACAAGTTTTAAGGAAATACATTATTTATAGTCCTGGTGATGGTCTCCTTATCTTTATATTAAATTATATAGAAAATTACACTTTTATTTAATTTCATCTCTTACCGTCAGACATGTCGGGGTCAAGTTTTGTAGGTGTAGCTTTGGAACCATGCACACACACGCTTGTGAAAAATGATCGACGTGTAGGCCGCCACCGACGACACCATGATTCCTGTTAAAAATAAATCAAAACTTACTACTTTAACAAATGTGCAATACAGTTTGTTTGTTCGTCGTTATTTTAAGCAGTCAATATCTACGTGAAATTAATTTTTGTTTTTAATTGGTTTATAATGATTACAGGATACCGGTTAAGGATACGCTGTCCTCGCGGATATTAATCTGGCATGGGGATAGTTTTTAAACAATATTTTTAATATTGCAAAAAGTCGTAACAGTTTTTTTATAATGACACGAACTAAATCTAACTTCAAAACGATCTACATTGTTTTGAGATCGTGCAATTATTCGTTTTTGTACTTTTAATGATTTTCTTTCTAATTCAATTGAGCCCGGTTAATTAATTTGTTTGGTAAGCAATTTATTTACTCTATCTAGAAGTGTTCAAACTCATTTAGGTGACATGAGTTAATAGAAATTGATGGTTTAAATAACTAATACTCATTATCTAGGTATATAGCTGAGTAGTTTTTTTTTAAACGCGCTTATCTATGAAAAGAACTATAAGTCAGATTTGAAAAAAATCCTTTTGCATTTTATAGCCTATTTATCGAGCGGAGCAAATATACCTAAGCTACGCGAATTAAGCCCCAGGCAATATATTAGACGATACCATGTCAGATTTTTTTAATGTAGAGATTTTTTACGGGTCTTTAATATAAAAAAATCTTCATATTTTCTCATTTAGACATCGACATTTAAATCTTATAAGTATAAACGTTTTAGAAATACTACAAAATTATTAAAATAAAAATATATACAATAATTCTTAAAACACGAAATTTAGAGTATTCGAAAATGTATTTAGTGTTTCCGAATGTTATACAATTATCTTATCTGTTATTTTTCGTAATACAAGGATTACTAGGATTAGATAAACTTTTGACTTAACTGAAACTCTAAATGAGTTCAGTAACCATTCAGGTCATTGGTCCTGGCATACAATCAAATTACCCTTCAGAATAGGCAGCTTACAATGCTACGCAAATAATATCTGTATGTTTATATTGTGGAATATATTAAGTCTAGACATAATCCTGGCGAGAAAAGTCAAATACGTGAAAAACATTAATAATAACAATTAACGAGATTAGAAGATGTAGGAAGGTGCTAATTAGGAAGCGTGTAGCAGGAAAATAGTATTTCGAATAATATGTATCATTACTTATGCATATTATCGTCGTACTTAGTTATTTCGTATCATATTCGGATATATATATACATATAATAAAATTGTAACTAAGCCGAATCTGTACATTAAATATTTTTTGGAAAATCTTATCGAAATAAACGTTATTATCGACACAGAGGCCGAATCTATAGTTTTTAGAATTTTTGTCTGTCTGTCTGTTACCGCATCACAGGAAAAACCACTGGAGGGATTTTGATGAATTTTGGTATGCTGATAACTGGTTATCCGGGTCAACATATAGGATACTTTTTACTGCGGGAAAATATCTCATTTTTGAGAAAAAATACAAAAACTGCAATGTAAGAGTATACTTATATGTAAAACCCAAGAATTTGGTTTTTGCTCATCTGAACACGGTCGGAGCCGCGGGCAATGCTAGTTCATAATAATAATTTGTCAGAATTTCGAGAAAAAGGAAATGGCACTTGTCAGTATCGTAAAAATATGAGTAAGTACTATCGTTCACTGCAAATGAATGTAAATATCCGTTTCTCATTTGAATAAATTTCTTAGCATCAGTAGCATCACTAATAAGCATGTTTAAACTAAGTATTTGCAATATAAAATCGTCACGCTCACGTGAATATTACGAACAATAAATACCATTACATGTTCATCTGTGGCGACATGAGACGTGTGGTAGAATGTGTTTATTAAATTAAGTTTAATTTACGCAAGCAGACAGCTCAAGCAAGTATTTTAAAATATTTGTAAAAATAAATATAATGGTTGGCAGAAAAATACCAATGCAGTAGTTGGTAATAAGTGCAGGGCACCCTATATAACACTGCATGATGTCACCAATTAAATTCCAGTCTTTTTACACTGAAATTTTTGTTATCATTGCTATCAGCTTTTAAAGCAAAGTTTTTAATTTATTTATTATTTCTTTTAAGTAAGAGTACTTATTTATTATTTTTATAATTATAATGTATGTGTAAGTACATATATCCATAGTATTCTAATTGACCAGTAATTTTATTCTAATTAAATTTAGATAAAATAAATTAATCAAGACTTCATAAAATTGTTTTAGATAAATGAAGACAATTGTTGTTGCTGTGCCAAGTCAGTGTCAATCATGACTAAGATCCCATAAAATATATTGTGCGACTCATTAGTAAGATAATTATGGTTTTTGATAGTAACACAAATATCTCATAATCTTATACATATATCTATTCATAAGAAGATAGGTTGAATAAGTCTTTATTTGCAATGTTAAAATACAGCATAAATAATTATTATAAATAATAAATACAATATATACAATACACATTTATATATATAAACCTCGTAATCTTTATCAGTATAACTTCTCTATATACTTATACATACATATATTCGAAATATTTCATAGATTATGTTTGATTAAAAAAAATATACACAAATTTATTATAAGCATATATACTAATATCAAGCATTTTATTTACATTCAGGAAAAATAATTAAAAATAATAAATATACAAAGCATACTGGAGTAAATTAAACCATGTAAATATTTATATCATTTAAGCCAATATATTTATAAAAAAAAACAGTGCATATTTTTTTATCAATTTAATGAAAAACGGGTAAGTTTATAAATCAAGTGAACTATGCTTGAGACATTTAATTATTAAAATATATGTAAATATTACTTGAAAAACAGATTTTATTATGAACTTAGAAAAAAATCATAAAGGATTTATTACATTAGAGCACAGAACGAATCCTTTAGTTTATATTTTCATGAACCAAAGTATACAAACGATAAATTATAGAAAAGTTGTATTTACTTCTTTATATATTACAAAACATTGTTATTACAATTTCTTTAGTAAATATTATGATCATAATTACTTCATTATAAACCAAATTTTACATAAAGCTTAAAACCGATTAATTTTATTTAATAAATTCGTTAAAATGACATTTGACAGCTGCTCAAAAATAAATAGGTATCTATGCATACCAATTTATTTATGTACACGTGCATAACGAGCTCGAAAATGACAATCATATATGAAAAATCATAAAAAAAAAATACTGGACCACTTATAATAATAAGTACTTACTCTGTTATTTGATAAATCTCTAAATATCGAAGATAAACACAATCCACGATTTATTTCTAATTTAGCTAAGAGACGGCACTTAGATACACACACCGTCGACGCCATCTTTACACTACCTATGTACACCCGCCCAATCCCTCTATAGCTCTAACTTTGGTTGGTATCAATGTATATATGTACATAAATATTTTTAACATTTGCCGGTAAGATTAAAAAGAAGTGCTACAATTAAAGTATACGATCTTTTTAATTTTTGCCATAGTTTTAAAAATAAAGCTACCTAAATTGAATATTATATCTTTTAATCAAAATCGTAACAATATTGTTGAGGTTTATTTTTCGAATTAATTACATTACATCATTTAATATTTTATTAATTAATGGTAGCTATATTTATATATACTTGATACAGCTTTAATATTTTATTTTATATTGCAAATTACATACTCATTATAAATTTTATTTCCCGCCTTATGTCTCTCATGTTGGCTATAACTGAAAGTTAGAACATAAATGCATTCACTTAGATATCAACAATATTTCTAAAAGTCAATTTAAAATAATATATAACATTTTATTTTAACCTAAATGTTATTCTTTAAAATATATTTTGTATATATAGTATATCAGTATTATTCAAGAATTTTGCATAAAAAAATATCTATAAAATGTTCTATTATAAAAAGAATATATTGAATGTAGTCTTAGAAGATGACAATTTATTTTTAATAACGTCAAAATGACGTTACAGACATATTTCGTTGTGATTGTTTCCAATTGCTAGAACTTTACTAAAACATAAAATATTTATTTCGTGCAATGGCTATACCAGATTATAAATTGAGTACTGTTTTATGTGGTCATTCAATGGACGTAAGATGTGTCGCAACTACCAAAGAATTTTGCATATTATCAGCATCTCGAGATAGAACCGCTAAACTGTGGCACCCGGAAGGGTTAGTATTTTCATGTCTTCCACATTAAAATGCTTAAAATATCCTAATCTTTCTTTTTACTATAAATATTTGTTCTATTTTTAATTTTGTTATTTTTTTTTCTTAGGGTGAAGGATTTTATCAATGTAGTTACTTATCAGGGGCATAACAACTTCGTGTCGTGTGTTTGTTGGCTTCCACCTTGTGAGGCATTCCCTGATGGCTTAGTTATTACAGGAAGCAACGATAATACAATCTTAGGCTATAATTTGCAAGACGGGGCTGTTCAGATAAATTTAAAAGCCCATGATAATACTGTATGCAGTGTTACACCAGGACGTGATTCTGGAATTCTTATAAGGTTTATTTTGCTTCAATAAAATACTTTTCTTCTCTTAAATTATCCTGTAATGTTTTTAATATTTTTTTATGAAAATCATTATTAACTTTCTTTGTTTTAAAAAAAAAACAAAAATATTTGCTTTTTGAATTGCATTTTATGAGTTTAAAAAACTTCTAGTTCAAGTTGGGATAATACTGCCCGAATATGGAATATTAACAATCCTCAAATGGCACCAATAATACTTAAAGGGCATCAAGCTGCTGTTTGGGCAGCTTTAGAACTTGGTAATGGAACTTATGCAACAGCCTCAGCTGATAAAAGTATAAAACTATGGCGAAAAGATGGAGGCCTCATTGTTTCACTTGCAGGTAACTTTATTTTTAGAAAAAAGTTATTTTTAATAATAATTCTTGTAAAAAAATAATAAATCTTTATTAAATCCTCCTTATTTATTTGTAAATTTATAATATATTATACCTACTATCTTTCTTATACTACTACTTGTATCAGTTAAAATGAGTTAATTTTTATAGGACATACAGATTGTGTGCGTGATTTAGCAGTTGCAAATGCAGAAACATTCCTCAGTTGTTCTAATGATGCATCTATCAGATTATGGACAAACAGTGGTCAATGCCTTAATACTTACTATGGTCACACAAATTATATTTATAGGTGAGTACAAATTGGAAGTATGCTATAAAATATGTATAGTTATTATTGAATTCAACAAAAAGGTATTTTTTTTTCTGGTTACAACTTGTTTTGGACATTTATGCTTTACAGAAAACAGACATGGGAGAGAATTTTTTAACTCATTAAAGTCTATCAACAAATATATACAATAATTTAAAAAAAAGAACATTTTCCTTCCAAATTTTTGTATAATTTTGTGGATCACAACAAGTGACTAACTTAACCTGCAGAATGATGGATAGTATTCAAAATGAATTTACAGTGGGAAATAAACGTTGCAAGCACTGTTATGTTGGATGGTTGATATGGATTTTTTACCACTAAAGGACTCCTTTACTGGTAAAAAAAGTGATAAAAAGTATAAGTTGTATAGCAAGGCTTCAAGCTTCACTCTGATAACAAATGTAGTATTAAAGGGTGCACCAAAGACGTAACGGGGTGATTATTTTCTTAGATTAAATAGTGTAAAACAGCATATTATATAATTTACAAAACTGGAATTTGGTTTATAGTTAATAACACACGCGTTCACACTTCTATACCTTTAAAAATCCGAAAATCCATAAAATTTATGTAATTCTTTTATTTTCTAGTATCACAACTAACCCAAGCTTACCACAAGGCTTCGCTAGTTGTGGGGAAGACGGATCTATACGTATTTGGGCGGCGGGTGACTGTGTGCGCGAATTGAAATTGCCAGCACATTCTGTTTGGAGTCTCACTTGTCTTGATAATGGCGATATTGTTACTGGTAACTACCCCATGGTATTATATGACCTTGATTCATTGTTAAAACTTATAAACCCAATAACGGTGTCCCCCATGGAACTTGTTACAAACTTCCACATTACTAACTTCAAAAATTAATTTCCATACAAACTCATTACCTAGGTTGGGGTTGAATTTTCTCACCTTCTAGCAAAATTTTATGTTTCTAAAACCAGTGTTATAAAAGCGTTACAAAACATATTGTACAAATGTATATATTAATATTTTCATACAAATTTTATGTTCTATCCCATGGGAACTCTATATTATCTCAAGATATATATTTCTTTTAAGGTTCGAGTGATGGTTTAGTGCGAGTATTCTCAAAAGACCCTGCAAGATATGCAGATGAAGCAACTCTGAAGCAATTTGAAGAAGAAGTGCAAAAAATGCAGGCAGCCGCCGAACAAGAGATAGGAGGGTTTAAGCTATCGGAGTAAGTATTTATAAAAATAATTGGTATATAAAAGTATGTTACAAGTTCGATTTATAATTTGGCTATGTCATGTATAATGTTAAAAAAGCAAAACAATAAACAACAGTATATATCATAGTTAATAGTAAAATATAATTTTGCTATCTAAAGAAATTAATTTGTAAGTGTTATAATGCTAATTATCAGTACTACCCGTAGTAACACCCTAATATTATATTTTTATATATATTTATCAGTCCACCAACTTGCACTCGGCCAGCATAGTGGCCTATGGCCTGGTCCCCCTCATAATAAAGGAAGGGGTATATGCCCAGCAATGGGACGTTAAAGAAGGCTGAGTATATTATATTTTTTTACTCATATGTTTTCTTATGTACTCTAATATTTATAGATTACCAGGTCCCGAAGCTTTATTAGAGCCTGGCAAATCCGACGGGCAAACAAAATTAGTGCGTCGAGGGACGAATGTGAAATGTTATTCTTGGAGTGCAGCAGAAAGTACATGGAATGAAATAGGAGATGTAATGGGAGCGAACCCTCCCAGTGAGGGCAAGACTATGTATCAAGGGCAGGTGAGTTAATTGTATACAGCCCTTTTTAACCGACTTCCAAAAAGGAGGAGGTCCTTAATTCGTCAGTTTTTGTAAAACCAAAATTGGAAAAAGATTTGGAAATATTTTTTTTTGTTTCGAAGGATATGTGTGGTCCCATTTAAATTTTATCGAAATCGGTCAAGCGGTTTTTTAAAAAATCAACAATATATAGTTTTTTTTGAATAAATTGCTTAATCTAATGGCTCCGACTTCGAAAATATCTGATTCTAAATGAAAACCTCCATTTAGTGCCTCTAAGTCGGTTTTTATTTTTATTTTAAAAGTTTTGATTAAGGCTTAGCAAGCAGCAGCCCTTCTTAAGGCAGTGGTAGCCCAGTGGTAACGCGCTCGCGTGCGAAACCGAGTTAACGCATTACAGCGGGTTCAAATCCTGGGTCGCTCACCTCTTTTATTTTCATATGCGAAAAAAAACGAATTAATTAGGCTAACTGTATTATGGTCACTTTCTTAATAAAGGAATGAATAATTCTTCATATTGAAAGTCGCTGGATTATTTTTACTTACTAAAAATTTATTACTCATATCTGTGAGTAATATTAATAAAGGTCTTTATGATATTATGCCATAGAGTTATTACACACTGTGTTCATTGCACAGACAAAGGTATAATTTAGACAAAGTATCATAGAACTGAACATGAAGAAAAACAATCTTTTAAAACAGAATAAAATATATAAAAATGGCAGCAATAGATAAATGAAAATAACTAACGAATTTTATCATAATAAAGAAAAAAATAGATAAGCTAATATTATGCTATTAATCTTTCAAGGGGTAGAGAACTAATGCTTAAAAAATACAAAATAAATATAATTATATTGATAATATCCATATTTGCTTTTAAAAATTTAAATACGCATTTTAACATTGTTCCTTATTCTTTGAAGAAACTACATATATGTAAGGCAAAATCGAAAATAGTAGCTTAAACAACAAAATACGCTATATTTTTTATCTTGATTTTTTTTTGTGGCAGACTCCGTCTCGATCTCCGTCCAGGCATGAAATTAAATAAATCGTATAATTTTTATCTAAAAGTATATTCTATTTATTTTTTTATTAAAAACAATAATAATATCTATTTTAGGAGTACGATTTTGTGTTCAGTGTCGACATTAAAGATGGCGCACCACCTCTCAAATTACCCTTTAATAAGACTGAAGACCCGTGGGTAGCGGCACAGACGTTCATTCATAAGTATGTACATACATTGATTAATGAATTGAATAATTATATTATTCTCTTTGTAATTTAGGTTAAAATGTTTTGAATGTCGTCTACGATAGTGTGATGGAGGTCCTGGGTTCGATGATTGCTTTCATTGGTTGGTTTTCATATAGCTAGTCCTGAACTGTCAAAGTACTAAAAATTATAATAAGCTGAGCGTTGTGTGTGAGTGTTGAATGATAAAACTACACTCTCTTTGAGTTAAAGAAAGAATGGATTTTCTATGTGTAATTACTATTTATAAATACTTTTAAAATTCTAATATAATATCATAAAGTTAAACTATATTACTTAGTAATTTTGATTTATTCTACTTCTGCAGACATGACCTACCTCAAGTATATTTAGAGAAAGTAGCCAATTTTATAATTACAAATGCTAAATTGGAGTCTGCACCTGCTTCTAGCAATGGGTGAGTTATTTATCAAATAATTATTGTGAGTTAGAAATAGTTATTTATGATATTAATAACAGTTCTTGTCTGTTATTAATGATTGAGATAAATTATTAATAATGGTATAGAATCAAATTATTATTTAATAAATTGTTGACACAAAACCGTATAACATTACCATTAATTATTGTTTTTTAACACATCTTTAAGTATTTAAATATATTCTCTATCTTTAAGTATTATAATATAATGATCTATTTTACATGTTTCAATATCACATGTAATGTTTATTGGAATTTAAACTAGAATTAACTACTAAAATCTTAAATTCGAAAAATACTTTAATCAATAAAGATTGTTTAAGAAAATCAATTATCCTTTGTTAAAAGTAGCACAATATTCTAAACAAACAAACACGTTCCAGCAGCTTCGCAGACCCGTTCACGGGGGAGTCCCGCTACGTGCCGGGTGCGGGGGGGCCCGGGCGCGTGGCAGGCGCGGGGGGCCCCGGGGGCGCGGGGGGCGCCGCCGACCCTTTCACCGGCGCCGGCGCCTACACCACCGCGCACGCCGCCCCCGCGGAGAAACCTTTAGTGCCTCACGATTCTTATATTAGGTAAGTTTGTTCAATATCTTTTGCAAGAGTTTTATTAAGTAATTTTTACTATATTCATGTAACGGTGTGCTGTGTCACAGCCATTTTCAAAACTTAATATATGTGTATGTGCCGGAGTCAAAAACTTGTGTAAAATAAAAAAATGAAGAATATATAGAGCCTAAAAAGATTAAAGGTTATAGTTAAAAAAAATTAAACCATTCGCTCGTCAATTAAATTGAGTCATTTTATTGAAATATCAGCAATTTGAGGCCCAATCACAGTTGGCGCTATTTGCTTCTTATGAATTGTTTACAAAAATTGTTTTAAAAAATTTGAATTTGTTTAATTAAACGCAGGATCCTCCAGGTAAATTTCTAAGAAATCTATTGTTAACTGTACCGCCGGCGTATCCACGGTCGTTGAGGGATTAACATATTTTTAAGTAAATAAAATAGATCGATAATTTGCTAACGAACACCATTTATTGTAAATCCAAGCTATCAAAAATAACATGAAGAACAACACTAATTTTTATTTTGAATTTATTTAAATGTCCCATTTTTTATAATAATTCGTCCATAGTAATTAAAACTAATGTAATTCGGATTAATATATTTCAAATAATCGTGTAAATTTAAGAAAGCGTTAACGTATAATAATTATATTTGTTTATAATTTTAGATTCGATCAAGCAAATTTAAAAGCAATATATGATAAGCTCAAAGAATTTAACAGCAAAGTTGGAGATGGTCTGAGTGCCTTCACTGATGAACAGTTAGAAAATATAGTTAAATTAGGTGAAATGGTAAGTTTGTATTCTTTTATACAAATTAGATTTTTTTTATTTTTTTTTTCAAATATGAACTTGAGACTATAGTTTAAAATTTTGTTGAAAAAAAAAGTTATAATAATATATTTTTTATTAAATTTACAGAATACAACATTCAATCCTGAAACAGTGACATTACTCAAAAAAATGCTAGAGTGGCCAAAAGGTATGTCAAAAATAACTTTTTTCTATTTTATAATTAAAAAGGCTATCAATTATTAAGAAAATTAAGCATTGTGCTTCATTTGTTATTTTTAATTTCAGAGATACTGTTCCCAGTGCTAGATGTAACTAGATTAGCAGTTAGAAAAAAAGAAATCAATGGTCAAATATTTGACACAAATTATGGGCCAAATTTTGTTAAATATCTCCTTACATTACTGACTCCTGGTAAGTCTTGCTCTTTCGTATTAGTGAGCTTGTATATTCATCTAAACTAATATCATTATACTAGTATGGAGTCTCAACAGGAATAAAGAAAAAAATGTGCAATTATATGTCAACAGAGAAATAAAATATCAGAGAAAAATATGGATTTGTTCTATTTCTCTTCTTACATCCCCCTGACTCGGTTTTTAGCATTTCTTTTTTATGTAGACGTACAGACATTCGACCTCTACAGTTTTATTATACATAGATGTGAAAGTGTGTTTGTTGGTTTGTTTGCTTGCTCACGCGCTTGCTCGCGCACAAGCACTAAAATATTGCTACTAATATTATATATATATATATATTATATATATATATATATATATATATATATATATAAATTTATTTATTGTTATTGTACTAAATAAATAATCTATACTTATTTTTATAAACTGTTACAGACAATCTGCCAGCGAACCAAATGCTAGCAATGCGGGTGTTAGTGAACGCGTTCAGCGACTTGCCCGGAGAGATGCTAGTTCTAGCCGCGAGGGAGAGCGTCATACACGCGCTCATCTGTCTCTCTCACCTCAACAACAATGCGCAGGTATAAGCGAGATAGACATATATCGCGCGTTTCATTGTTAGTAGTGTGGTCTTGCTTGTTAAATAGCTGTATGTATGTGAGAAGATATTATTCATTCGAATTGCCATCCTTTGAAAGATGAAACATATATTCGAAAGAAGTCGAAAGTAAATAGTAGATAACAAATTATATAAATTAGCACCCTCTCTTGGCAGGTTCGTTATCGACAGCTGTAATCTTTCGAATATGTTCCATCTTGCAAAAGAAAACAGATGGCAATCAGGATTAATGTTTTATATTGTATGCTAGGCCTGCCTAATAATTAAAACTGGTTCTTAATTAGCGAAGATACTGATCTTTGCTAATTGTGAAACAGCTTTATATGTAATGTAAAGTAATTATTTCTTTATTGAATATAAATATATATTTTAATACATACATACATATATGGGATATTACCACATGGGTGACATACAAATTTCATTAACAAAACATACTCTAACCTTGGTAGTTATTAAGATGTTGTAACCTATTAGTCAGTCATATAGTTTGCTTTTATACATAGATTAGCAAAATAGGCTTATGACAGCATTATATGCAGCCTTTTTTAACGTCCCACTGCTGGGTACGGGCCTCCCTTCAATGTAAGGGATCAGGCCATAGTCCAATCACGATTATGATAACATTACAAAATTTTAATTTAAAAAATATTTGTTATTTATGCAAAATAAAAAAAAATAATGTTTTTATTAACAGATTGCTGCAGCATCTCTACTTTTGAACTTATCAGTAGCACTCGCACAACAGACAGATAACATGGAACTTGCCGAATGCATTATAAGTTTGTTGAACAAGGTCACAGACAATGAAGCTCACTTCAGGTACTTAATACGAATATTATTTTAAATTAAAACTGAATGCTGCCACATTGGTAACTCGGGTAAATAAATGGGATAAAAAAGTACTGTACTTTATTTCGATTTTCTACTATGACATAGATATCACGAGCTCTAGTTGAGCTGTTTAGTGTCACTTTTCTAAACTACCTTCATAGAATAAATTAACATCTTATAACTGACTAGCGACTCTCACTCGCTCGTCTCTACTTACGTTTTAACTTTTTAGTATAGATTCCTCAGAGATGAGATATTTTCCTGCAGTAAAAAGTATCCTATATGTTGATTCGGGTAACCAACTATCATCATACCAAATATCATCAAAATCCCTCCAGTTGTTTTTCCGTGATGTGGTCACAGACAGATAGACAAAAATACTAAATACTAAAAATTCGGCCTCTATATTGATAGTAATGTCTATTTCAATAAGATTTTCTAAAAAATATTTAATGTACAGATTTGGCTTTGTTACAGTTTTATTTTAAGTATAGATTAATTTTTATTATGGATATAAAGAGGCTTTATTATTGTTTTTAGATTAATTTTTGATGAAAGTAATAAATAGCATACTAAATAGTAATATTATTTTTGTATACATTTGCAGGGGTTTGGTAGCGCTCGGTACAATATTAGCGGAATCACCAAACAAGCTGGTAATACAAACTAAAATAGTCTCTAACACCCAGTTACATAACAAACTAAAGAACAATTGTTCTAACATAGTCCCTAACTTCAAGAAAATATCTGTATGCTCCCAACAAATACTAAGACTGTTATGAATTAATATATTAATTCTTAATATGATAGCAATAAGGTTGGTTGTCATTTACAATACTCCATTCTGTGAAATCCAATGTATATCTGTACAATTGTCATAGCCGTATAGGAATTTTTCTAATAATTTATATTGTAACCAATAAAAATGATATTTTAATCAAAATTTAGAATCGACATGAATAAAATATTCGCTTTTTTACAAAAAAAATGATCTCGATATAATTAAAATAAAAGAATACTGTTAGTGAAGTGATTTATTGAATAAAAAAATAATTTCTAATTTTATACAAACGTATGACTCATGAACAGTATAATTAAATATCGATAATTTATGTATGAAGAATGAATTGTTAACAGGCATTAGTAAAATGAATATAATTTAAATTAAAAATAATCTTTTATTTCATCCTATATTTATTATTTATATATAAAATAATATTATAATATCTGTTTTAAACCACTTTTTGAAGTGAAACTTCTTTAGACGTAACTGAGGGCTAAGGATAAGAAAAGAAGGCGGGAGGGAGTAAGAGTCAAAATTATTAATAATTAAAAAATATTACATTTTAATAATTATTATTATTTATAGCAATATATATTTATTTATCACTAATAATTAATTTTATAAAAAATATTGTTTATATTTTGATTTATTTTAATTTAATTGCGGTATCTGCTGCAGCGCCAAAGAAGTTTTACTTTAACCACGCGTAAAGGTTACACGCACTAATTTTTTTATCTATGGACTATGATATTATGTTAATTATTATATATTTTATATAAAATGCAAGAATATTTTTACATTTGTAATATAAATGAAACTATCTTTTTGGTTTTTATCGCGGTTTTATTCTCCCGTGACCACGTTTGCTGTAAAGCATTCGAATCGTCGGCAACCAAAATATAAAGTAAAACCACGATAAAATCCGAAAAGATAGTTTAAAAAGTAAGAAAGTATTATTTGTATATATTTCAAAATTCATCAGTGATAAATGTACTAATATTTATTTAGCTAACACAATGTACAAATTCTGAATGAATTACCTACTAACTTAATAAAAAACGATTATAATTTAATAACTTTTATTATATATAATAAATTTTATTACATGATTTATTTATGAATTTATTTAATAATTTTGTTGTTTTATATGTATGTTGAGTATGTAATGATTATACAATAGCAGTATTTTTTCTTCACACATTATTTTAGTATAGATAGAATAAATAGTGGCATGTGATTTTATTTTTTATATTGATATTATTTGTCTTAACGACTTCAAATGCTGTAAATAAAATTGTGACCACTCCACATTATATTATGTTCTTTGTTCTGTGGTTCATAGGCACACTATATTATAACTGTCTCTGAGACTAGTATTGTCAAATTTTCATAACCAAGTAGCAAGCAATGTACAAAGCAAAGCAATCTACTATTTTAGAGCAACACAGTTACAATTAACTGTGTTGCTTTAAAACAATAGTATATTAAGATGATATTATATGAAGATGAGATTATAAGTTGTTGTCGGTGCGAAAAGTGAACACGAATTCTATGGGTTCATCCCTAGCACGAGTTTCAATATCAAATGTCTATATTGTATACTTCCATTTTAATTATGCAATCAAGTTAATTTTCAGCAAATTTTCTGCTAATGTAATGTAATTTTTGAGATTATTTATACCGATTTTTACGTGTAATACGGGAACTATGAAAACGATAACTAGTTTGTCGCTATATACAATTCGCATCTATACTTTAACGTGAAGATAACGTGAAGTAAGCTTTCGTGTGTAATAAAAAGGCAGATCGAGTTGCAATTTGAAGTTAACATACATTTGTTGAGCTTTTAGGATCTTTAAGCACTATCAATATATTAACAAATAAATACATGTTATGTATTTCACAATATTTAATATTATTTAGGTATACAATAATTAGAATAATAAAATTCCCATAAAAAAGCTCTAATTCAAATCATACGAAACAGAAGTTTAAACAAATATATTTTCATACATTTTATAAAATATTATCAAAATATCTTTTTACAATATAATATTGTCAAAATGAATTAATTATACAATATTATATAAACTATATTTTTGTATGCGGCTTACTTCAGATCATATAAGTTACTCAGATCATATCGCACAAAACTTAAATAGTGCTTGAAAGTGGGAAGATAATATGTCGTGACATATTTATTGAGTTATATTTTAATATTATTTTATTCTTGATGCTTTTATACGCACAGTTAAATAGAGCGCTAAAATAAATTGACGTGCTGCTAACTTCACAGCATTTAAGTTTTGCACGAACGCACTAGCATAACCAAATAAAAATACCAAAATTGATAATTTACTATCTGAAGCTCTTATTCGCTTCTAAATAAAAAAAAACTACGACATCAAAAAAGTGATTGTTTTGATAATTTTAATGTAATAATTTTTTATATCCAAATTGGCTATGACAAAAAACTTATTCTTCAACTACTAACCCGAAAAAATTGAAAGGAACATTTAAAAAAGCTTCGAGAAAAAAACAACAAAACATTTTAGATTGAAAAAGACACAATATTTCCAAGGAAAATTATTCTTATACATTACAATCTCATAAGAAAATAAAATGTAATAACAAAAACCCAGTAACTAACATTACTTTTTCTTTTTCAATTCTTCAAAACGTCGGTTCAGATCTTCAAAGTCTATTTCATCGGGGGCATTTGCATTGTTGGCGTTTGTGTTTGTATTAGAGTTGTTGCTTTGAGGCACAGAGGGGAGGATCAGGTCTGAAGGCACAGAGGGAAGTTCTGGCAGCTCGGGGAAGTAGTTGGGCAATTTAGACCTTGGCTGGGGCGTTGGTACGTGTGGGTTGTGTGCGGGCTGAAATAATCAGATTATAATTATGAAATTTTATGTATGTATATTTATATAATAATTACGTGACAACGGCTGGTGCAATCCAGTCGAAACGTCGGGAATAATGTATATACCCACTAATAAATTCATGCGTTTAAGTCCCGTAGTGGAATCTATACATATAATAAAATTGTAACTAAGCCGAATGTGTACATTAAATATTTTTTGGAAAATGTTATTGAAATAGACATAATTATCGATACGAAGGCCGAATCTATAGTTTTTAGAATTTTTGTCTTTCTGTCCGTTACAGCATCACGAAAAAAACACTGGAGGGATTTTGATGAAATTTGGCATGATGATAGTTATTATATAATAATGGAATGGAACGCGAAAATTTAAAAAGTTATGTATGTATATTTGTTACTCAATGTGCAAATTTATTGCACAGAATATGATCTGCAGTAATATATATGCTACAATGTGAACACCTAGTAGGTCACCCAAGCGAAGTGAAACATAAGTCGCTAGTATGATATATCAATATAATTATTATGTCCAATGCAAATGCATGTTTATATAATAATGAGGTCAGCATAATATAATTCAAAGAATTTGTCTATCTAGCAAATATCTATTTGGGAGGCCATTGCGTGTAAACCTAAATAGAAATTGTAAATTTTATAGATTTCTTTTTTAAATTATTGTTTAAATATTTTTGAAGTGAAACTTCTTTAGAATCGTTGTGATTTGAAACTCGATGAAATGAAAATGCGTCACGACAAAGAGACAAAAACAAATATATAGGATTATGCCGGTGAGAAATTGAGAGAACACTATACAGGAAGTGAAAAATAATACTGAATAATCAATGATATGTAAAATATTTTTTAAACTAAGTAAAAATATTATAAAAAAATAAATCTTATATTAAAATTATCCTGATCCTGATACTCTATATTTATCTCATTCTCTCGTAGGTTACTTTTCTGAAGATTCACTTCTGCCATGTGTGAATTGCAACAAACACACACATTTGTTTTTTATTTATAACCTATTCATTGATTCTTATAAACATACAAAAAGGTTAAAAGAAATAGCTTTACGTGGTCAAACAAGCCAAGGCTATTGTTACGACAGTGCTAATTCTTGATTCACGTGAATTCGAAGACGTTTTAATATGTAGAACCTTTCTATTTCTAAAAACATTTTCTAGATTGAAATATACTTAATTAAAAAAGTGTTTTAGTGTGAGATTAACGAAAACCCATTTCCAAGTAACTTCTACCTATAATATAATATAAAAACAAAAAAATTAAGACTTCAAAAATGTCTATTAATTTATTACTTTTCTGTAAAACAGGCTACAACATTGTCCACTATTATAAAGCTACATAACTATTTTATATAGTAATAACTAGCGACTTACCTTCGCTTCGTTAGGTGCGTCCCTACTCCCTAGGTAGGTTTTATTATTTTGAGCGGAACCCTAATTCTTTTTCTAAAATAAAAGTAGCCTAAGAAACTCTTTATAACATAACCTATCTGCCAGTGAAAGTCCCGTCAAAATCAATCCAGCCGTTACAGAGATTATCCGGAACAAACAGACAGACAGCCAAAAATAAAAAAAGGGATTTCTTTTAAGTGCTGTATATAATATCATATGCATTTAGTAAAAAGCTGTTATTTTGATATTACACACAGTCACTACAATTTTATTTACCTGTATAGATTAAAGGAATGTATTTTATGCTTAGTTAATAATAGTAATGAAAAAAAAAACCAAAACCAAACTCAAAAACCAAAAGTACAATCTAGTGATAATTAAGAACGCTGCTCATGAAAAAATTAAATAAAATCAAAAATAAAGTTATATTACCGAATCATGAGCGATGCTGTCATAAGCGGGAGGCAAGTTGTGCATTTCCTCCTGAAAATACCATATTACAAAATGACCAACCAACATATACAATACTTTTACAATACTTTAGAACTGACACCATTTAAATTTACTTTACATTCTGTTAATAAAATATTAAATTATTAGAATCAAATAAATAATAAAACCAAAAATAATGAGGATAATTAGTGGTAAACCAAAATTAAAACTAAAACAACAAACTAAAAGTGTTCTAAATAAATCAAACTAAACCACTCTAAATAAATGTATAACTCAGTGTTACCTGTAAGAAGCTATTGTTTAAAGTATTAGAATCGACACCGGGAGGTACATTAAAATTCATAGGCTTGCTGGGTTCTCCATAGCCAGGTGATGTTGCTATGAAACCACCGGCTTTACCACCAGATGGTTGCTAAAATATAATTTGTGGAATTAATTTAATTGACTCGTTCTAGAGAAAAATCCAAAGAGCATTTTAGTAATAGAAAATTATTGCAAAAATTAATATTTTTCTGTACATGTATGCCAATTTTTTTGGGCACACTAGATTTGTGTTGTTGAAATTTTATCGGCATCCCAGGAAAGGGAAATACATCGAAGAACTTTAAAATTTAAATATACATATATTCTCCTTGTTACATATTATTTTGCTTTTAGTGGTGTGTGGGTGAATATTGAGTGTTCACTATTATAGTTGAGTTATCCAGAGGGATAATCAAACGTCCAAATTTACATATATTTATTATATTTACTTTAAGATAGGTACAAATGTCCCTAGCACAATATATACTTTTATAATAATATCAGTAAGAAACGAAGCGGTAGGCGGTTACGGGATAACTGGGGTTCGTGGCACGATACAATTGCTATATAGTCAAAATGTGCGCGTCAACACTGTCACTACATGCTAAATGTAAAATATATATACGAAAATGACGCTTTATTTGTACAAAGTCATTAGTCAGGGACATTCTGAAAACTCATTGCAAAAAGTGGCTTAGACACGTGGTAAACCGAAGGGGAATTGCCAATAAAGGTAAATAAGTAAATATACATACAGATGGATAGTTAAACGGAGTCACAACAGGTGGTGGTGGAGGCATGTTCGGCATTGCAGGCATTTGTGTTGGAGGATAGCCGATAAAACCAGGAGGGTTTGGTGGACCATTGATGTCTATAAGCATTGCATCTCGGGCTGAAATTGTTAAAAATTCAATGGAAATATATTTAAATTTACAGACTTGTACTGCTTACCTGAGAATTCAGGCAAAATAGTATGTGATTATTATATGAATTATCTAGGGGCTTAACATCGATTCGCACGGGTTTCTCTTCTCTAGAGAAGCATAATCAAACCTTTCCCACGGGAACCATACATTTTTCCGGGATAAAAAATAGCCTATGTGTTATTTTGGACTATAATGTATCTCTGGGCCAAATTTCATCCAGATCCGTTCAGCCGTTCTGGTGTGAAAGAGTAAAAAACATCCATATTCACAAACTTTCACATTTATAATATTAATACAGATTTGAATTTCTTTGAGTAGAAAATAGAAAAAAAAACACAAAAATCTTGTAAGAGATGGTATGATATTACTTATTTATTAATATGAAAAAATGTTGTTCCTTTCACATCACTGATATCAGAAATTGACTACAACAGACATTTATTGTATTTTTATTCATTCATCACTACAGCAAAAAAAAATTCACAAAATAATAGTACAAGATAAAATCAGATGTACATTAGTTAGATTCAAGTACATTAGTAACCATTTAAATAAAGATAAGTGATTCAATTACATTATGTCACAGATCCACATATCCTCCGTAACAACGATCCTGTGGTTTTTGTCTATCCTTTTATATTCATCAAAATGAAAAATATTATTATTATTTACCTTCTTCCTCTCTCATTACTTGTTCATCGGGAGTGTATTCAACATTGTAATTCTTAGCAATTTCAATGAGGTACCTTTCCACAAGTATTTTAGGTGGACTATGAACAGACATCTTATGTTTCAATTTATCACTTATAGTATTCACATTCTCACTTCTGCATGCATCAGCATATATTTTGCCATATTTTGCTGTCAGCAAATCAGATATTATTTTAAGTTCCTGAAATAAGACATGTTAATGTCAGGTAAATTTCTAAGAAATCTATTGTTAACTGACACACTAGTGTCTGCGGTCATGGAGGAATTAATATTTATATATTACTAATTATAAAAATGTACCTTTTTTTATTTTCTTCATACATTATGTTAGGTAATTTCTATCGTCTATACCCTATAAAATAAAATGAATTAATTATTTACCTGTACATCAGTGTGCATCCTTGGAGCAACCCATATCAAAGTAGATATAGCTTCACTTAAGCCTTCATCTAGTTCTTTCATCTGCGTAACCAACCCAAATCGAGCCAACACCAAGTCACAGTACATTTCTACTATCTCCATTGCCTCTACCATGTAGTCTTCTCTAGATGTAAACAATTTACTTACGTTTATAGTATTTTCAAAAAGAAAAATAATATTCAGTGTGGCAAATATTGCGTAAAATAAAGATATCTTTCATAATAGCTTTATGATATCTAGGGAAATTCTAATCATTAAAATATGGCACAACAACATGATTGAGGCCTCTTAAAGTGTAAGTTTAAGTTGACATACCTAATTATGTGTTCCACTCGAATTTTTGCACGTTCACTTTTACCAGCAGCGATATATTCTGCTATTTCCTTACGAGCTTTTTGAGCCAATTCAGTTTTCTTCTTTTCTAATAATTTAAGGCGGTTTATAGCTAATCTCAAGTGAGTTTTGAGTTTTGAATAATTGGGACTTGAAGAAAACATTTTTATGAACACTTTTTACCGTATCGAAATAATTTATACTCGTATGAGTAATAAACGAATTAATTGTTGTTTGTAATTTCTATGAATCACCATTCACCATCAAAACAGCTGTCAATTTGACAACTATGATCTAGGACATGTATTACTGTCTGCTGTCACAAATATTACGTTTCATTTTGCAACTAATGATTAATACTAAGTTATTAAAAATATATAATCATAAAATAACAAAATATAGATTTTTACATTGAACTTCTTTTTTTACTATTAAAAAAATATATCAGAACACAATCTTGTAAATTCCAATAACGTGAATGTGATGATTTAATTTCCCTAAAAGGTGTCTCGAAACCAACAAACTTTATAGACGTTGTACTGTATAAGTGTATTTCTTTTGAGTTTAGACCATGTTGAAGTTAAAAAATCTGCTTGCTCCGATTTTTTATCGAATAACGTGTACCTAATTTTACCATATGAAAGGCAGTGGTGGCCTAGTGGTAACATGCTCGCTTGGGAAACCGAGTAAAGCGGGTTCACAACCCGGGTCTCGCACCTCTGCGAGGTGGACTATGTATAATAATGGCCTAATCCCCCTCGTAATGAAGGGGGATCCGTACCCAGCAGAAGACGTTAAAAAGGGCTGTATACATACAATTTTAACTTATGCTTGCATGGACAAAGGGGAAGAAATTATACCCAAAATATGTCCTAAATAAATCAATAAAATATTATCTAAAAGATTAAAAAGCTATTTTAAAAATTCGGGCGCACTAAGCAGTTTTACAAATTATTTAATTTTCGTAGTTCTTTCTCAAGATGAGGACGCTTTTTAAATCCAATTACTATTTAAGTCATCATTGGCAACAATGGTTGTTAAATTTTGTATACGGCGTACCTAATTAAAAGTTTTTGCCTGATAATTCCCCTGCATAATCTTATTTAAAAAAAATACATACATGACTTGGTAGATCCCCAGATGGACCTGACTTGGTAGTCAGGTCCATCTAGGGGTTCAATGAATCAAACACTAAATGGAAGAAATCCTATCCTGGTCTACCCTGTTAGGTAAGAAACTAATATGAAACATTTAAACAAATAAGTGACAATTATAGTAAATACAAGGTAAAAATACAAATATTCAAGCGCCCACACAAAAAATTACTTTAAAGTTCTAACGTATTGATTATTTAATCAACGACCCACGCATAACATTGTTTATTCTTGACAAATTATTATGAGTTAAGATTTTCAAGCAAAGGATTAAAATAAAGTCGTCTTTATAAAAATTAACATTTTAATTTTTTACACATTTTAAATATGAAGTAATTAAGTACACGTTCAACTAAGGAACAAGTTCAGTGTCTACAAGTATTAACATCCATATAACAGTTATCTTATATACCTACTGTAAATGCAAATAATACTTACATATCTATATTTTTTAATACTTCGTATAATATTCAGATCTTATATTACCATCGTCAAACGACATATGATACAATATAATCCTAACAAAAATATTTTCTTAATTTGTTATTTGAATCGACACTTCATTCATGATAGCTAATAATATATTACAATTTTGTGCAACGAAATGAGTAAGTAGCAATATTCGTAATACATGTATTACCTATATATTGTTTGTTGCCTTGTACGGCACATTTTGTTCACATATTTCTTAGAAACTAATCGAAGATTAACGATAACTTATATCTAAGTTCAATTCGAGCATTCACTGTTTTTATTAACAAGACCAACAACCGTATATGAGAGTGACAATGAGAATAAGATTAATACTATTGAGTATTAACGGCTCTTTTATATTATGACGTTATAAGTTAAAGCCAAGACAAAAAAAAATCATTATTACATACGTTCATCGCGTTAGTAATTTTTACATAATAATTTACTGCAACATCGTTACACTTTACTAAATCAAATTATTTCGAGATATAAATTTGTCTTAATATAGATATAAAACTGCTTAGAAAATATTGTTATTTAACGTCACTCTCGCGAATACAACGTTATTACCCTACAAACAATTATCCGGACTTTTTAGAAATAATACAATACAAATATAATAATAGGTGCAAATTGACATCAATCTTATCTTAAATTACTTATAGGTTTAAGATAGCCTCGCTATATCGAACAAAATTGCCGGTCTTACAGAATTAAGCAAAATAACACATTATGTAACAGTGTCCAAGCTCGTTTAGATCTTGTATTGTCGTGTGAACTAGTATGTGTTACTTATTGTCACGATAAACATTCCTAAATTTTGTTTTCCATAGCTTTCAATTAATCTCTAAATATTGAAATTTAACAATAAAAGTTTCAAGTCACAAAGCAATACAAATAATACTGTCCAAATATAAAATAATACTCCAAAAATGAGCTTTCGCTCTTCTTAATAATAAATAGTTTATTATATCTAAAAGATCAGTCGTTATTTAAGTCAACAGAAGGTTTCTTATCGATTTTACTCAACGAGTTTTCGTAATCATCATGAATCACAACAGTTGTTGCGCTTACACTGGAGGGGCTATGAGAATGGGTAATATTTGTTCGATTGCTGTCAGCTAAATGTTCTAGTTCGTGACTTTCTAAATTGGGTACAACAGAACAAATAGAACTTACACGTGAAATAGATTTTCTTTCTTCCGTTGGTGGATCTTTCGAAGAACTTTGTCCGAAAACGTTTAGTAAAGCGCAAAGGAAAAATGTTGCATAAATCCAACTAACTGACATGATTAAGGTTAAAAAGGTGCCGATTTGGGAGTATGGAAGAAGATTTGAACGTAAAAGAAATATTCCAGCGAACCCACTCGTTAATGATGCGGCCGCTGTCGGCCCTGAAGAGGCCGAAAGTGCAAATTTAACTCTAGTAGACTTTGTGCCACTTGCATTTGTGTAACTCAAGGCATAATGTAAACTAAAATCTACAGCTAACCCTGCTGACGTCGATATTGCCACACTTTCCAATACATTTAATTTCCAACCACTCAAAACGAGTATAGCTATCGTAACAGTCGATGAAAAAATCATCGCTAGTAGTGCAGAAACACTTACAATACAACTAAACGTAGATGGTATTAGGACAATGAAACCTAAACCAGCCGAAAGCATCATCGCTATCACAGTGCCACCAGCCAAAGTGCCTTGGAGATCATAAAATTGAAGATCAGAAAGGAACCATCCACATTTCATGCCTGGAGGTGCATCGCCTAGTTCTTTTCTGGTCCAGTTTTCCACTTCAATAAAGAATTTATCCATTTCTCTATAAGACATTGAATATGGTATAACACTTTCATATTCCACAACTATGGCTGCAACTGAAGGTGGGTGGGCACTTCTCAAAAATTTAGGACCTGCAACTCCTGGCATAAAAATTTCACGAGGTGTTTGATAAAGAGATTCTACTGCTTTAATTATACAAAAGTCAAATACTTCTTTGGTATAAGGAAATTGTGATGATTCACAGCATGGTGTCCTGTTTATGTTGTCTATATTATCTATACATCGCCGGCTCATATACATTTTAAAGCTTTCAATAAAGCAATTTGGTAATAGTGGACCTAACATTTGTTGATAAAATGACTGTCTTTTGATTTTGGCACAGAATTCTAATAACCAAACCTGAGATTTTGGATTTGATATACTAAAATTTTCATCAAAAATTAGTTTACCTTTCGAAAATGGATCCATATGATTGCCATTATCAATGGCTTTGACACCCCAAATCCATCTCAGAGGCATTTTGCTCCCAATTCCGATATCACTGCCAAATCTTTCAAACAAAAATTTTTCTCTATAATTCATATCATACTGCTCAAAAGGGTGGGATGTTTGAAAAAGTTGAAACTGTTTTGAATCTGGCAGTTGAAGTCCGGGATAGTAAAATACCACTACAACACTGCAGACTCCAATAGCACCCAAAATCACTACAAATAATATGTGCAACCTCATTATACAAGTGATAATAAATCGGTTAAGAATAACTTTGATATCCTCTCCAATTTCATTAATAGTTTTACTAATTGCACCTAGCAATACTGTTTTATTTATACATAATTTTACATCTATTATAAATACTGATACTGGCAGCCAACTTACCATAAGCAAAAAGTTAACTAATACTGCAGTGCCTGCAAAGACACTAAAACAATTTATGGCTGGAATGTAACTCACATATGAGGCATAAAATGCAACCGCAGTTGTCAAAGTAGTGACAAAGATAGCTGTGATTGAATGTTTCAAAGTTTCCTCTAATATCTGCACAAGTATAGTCTCACCTGCACTTGAAACATTTTTAATATCTGTTAAGCCATTATCATTACTAACTACATTATCTCTAATAAGTTGTTTACTTATCATTTTCCAAACTTTGACATAAAGAAATGCATCATCAGCTCCAATTCCGATCACTATAACTATAACTAATAAATTCATGAATGGAAAGAATTCCAAATTGAAAACATATATATAGAGAAAATATGCTATGCCAATAGAATAAGTGATAGCTGTAAACAGCAATATAGTTAGTACTAGGGATTTAGTATATACCCAGACACACAAGAATACAAAGAGACCTCCCAGTCCCATGAGCCAAGTATCTTCAATAATCCATAAGTCAAATAAAGCATTTTTTAACCCCAAATCCATTGCTGGCATTGAAAGAGTATCATATATTAAATCAGTTTCTTGTAGTTTCATATAATATGGCAATATAGTGCTACTAGTTGGCAAAGGCAGAAATATCATCACATTTTTCACAAATGTCGCAGAATATGTAGGTGGAGAAAAGGCATCAGAGTCTATTATATAGAATAACAAATTATACACAGCGTCATACTGGGCACAATATTTTGGAACTCTACACCTATCTCTGTCACATGATGCCATTAGAGTGAAATTATGAAAATAACCTGCACACTTCTTTAAAATATTTACAACATTTTTAACATCTTCCCTAGTTAAATTTTCACACGAGTTCTTACCAGATATTAAAGCTATATAATTTGGCACACTCCATATAGGGCAGCACTTGTCTTCTGAGTGTGCAGACCTTTGGCACAGTTTATAGAAATCATCTTCAGCTATTTCAATAAGCAATGACTGCAATTGACAAACCTTCTCTACATTTTCAAATGAAAGCATAGATTTATTATCTGAGGATGTAACTACGATGTGAGCGTAATCTCCAGCTGGTGCACCACAGACACCAGAAGCATAATTATGATGTAAGTAGTCTGGATTCTGTTGCATATTTTTGAGTGATTTCCATTGTTTTCTTGTGTGATTTTTTAGATAAATTACATTTTCATCTTCAATGGAAACATTTTTTCCATATCCCCAATGTACATGATCTAATGATGTATTCTGTTCTGGCGAATTATATGAAGTCTTTGCAAAAGTACTGTTATTGAGCTTTTTCTTCTTATGATGCTCTTTCTTCGAGTGTTTATGACCCAATCTAGTTTTGTCATGTTTTAGTCTATTGTTATAATAAGTTTGATTCATACGTAGCTGATCCTCTATTTCTTTAGGATTTACAGCCAGCCTTCTTGAAGGTCTTGTCTCATCAATAAGATTTTCCCAAGCTATAAAACGGTGCGCTAAAGTTGTTCCTCTAGTTTCGAACCCAACCACTGGATCGGAGAATGAAGGCAGTTCGTGATAGATTAGTGGAATGACAGTAAGTATAGTGGAGGTTACAACTATGGTGAAAAGGAAAAAATATGAATGACGGACAATAAACCTGGCATAAGCAGACAACATTTTTAGTCCTTGACTTCATTGATTTCATATTTAGTTTCTTACTCCATTTTGCTGTCCCGTAAGACCTGTACATTTCCCCACAGTTAAAACTTCTTTTGTGTACAAAAAGATTGATAACGATTACATTTTTGTGTATTAATAGATTATTTTGCAAAAATATTTGTCACAAAAGTGACAAAAACCATGGTGTACACCACTGTAGAAAATAGTAGGTAATACAAATGTCAATTGTCAAAATTTGAATTTTAAGATAAATGATAATTGTTGCCAGTTGCACAATCAACCCTTATCTTGCTACCTCAAACTATAATAAAAAAATAATATAACGTAGGGATACTACTATTCCTTCCTATTTTTAAGAATATAATAATAATAATGATGATCAATTGAAAAATGTACGAAAAAATATATTTATTATGTATAAAATAAATAATAATAAATTAAACACTGAATGATCTGGTATAATTAAATTAATAACAAATAAAAAATTCAGAACTGTATAAATCTTATTTTATTAATAATAGTTACTTTTGTATTTTAAAAATAAACATTAATTATTTATTATAAAAATATAAATAAAAGTTAAAAAAAGAAGTAGAAACTGAGAAGAGAGCCGTCTAGTCTATTGGCGCGCGGGAGAGCTGTGTGCGGCGATGTATATATAGTTGTTGTTGTAAGAAGTGTCCGTAAAAAGTATGATTACACTTTTTTCGGTTTCACTCCCATCCGCTCAGAGCGTGTAACGAACGATATGGAACTTCGTTCTAAAAGTAGTTTCTTTTGCAGTAAAAAAAGAAAATGCATTTAGAAGTAAGATGAGAGTGAGTTAAAGATAATAATATAATATGAGGCTTGAATATTAAGCTATAACTGTTTTTTTTTATATATTTATCTTTAAATTTAGTTCAAGAAAAGCTATTACGTGAAGAAATCATTAGATAAAAACTAATAGTACTTTCTTAGATTTTTTATTTAAAAACTAATAGGTTAACTTTTTTAGTACATATAAAAATATATTTCGTAATATTGCCTTGAAATGTAAAATCTTTATGGTTTCACTTTATTGATCTCTATGGTGATAATGTGATGTGTGTAAAATGGCAACATTTTTATTGTCTCTGACGTCTTGTGATCACAAGACTTCTCCGTTTAGAGTTTTCTGTCAAGGTAGAAATTGGAGAAAAAAAGGCCGTCCCTTTTGGGATCTTCTGGTTTAAGAACTCCAATTGATTCAAAAACACCATCAAGATGAGATACTTTTTGACTTACCTGTTTGTGCTCCTGCTAGCGTTAGCGATACCCATATTTTCGATGTACTACTTACTGACTGGAAAGGGTGAGCAGATAAGTTTAGGATGGTTCCTTGAAAATACCTCCCCCTACATGTGGGGTACCCTAGGAATAGCATTTGCTGTCGCCTTCTCAGTCGTGGGGGCAGCGATGGGCATCCACACAACAGGAGTAAGCATAGTTGGAGGCGGTGTCAAAGCTCCAAGAATCAAGACCAAGAACTTAATTTCCGTCATTTTCTGTGAAGCTGTGGCTATTTATGGATTGATTACAGCTATTGTGCTATCTGGTATGCTTGAACAGTACAAAGAGCCATTCTTGGATTCATCAATCAAGGAACAAAACTGGATGGCTGGATATGTGATGTTTGGTGCTGGTCTGGCCGTTGGGCTTGTAAACTTGTTTTGCGGTATCTCAGTAGGTATCGTCGGTTCAGGTGCTGCGCTTGCTGATGCTGCCAATGCTGCCCTCTTTGTGAAAATTCTTATTGTAGAAATCTTTGGATCAGCCATAGGGCTGTTTGGTCTTATTGTAGGAATCTACATGACATCAAAAGTCAAAATGGGCAACCAGTAACTTAAGAAAGTTAAACTTGAAAATAAGTGTAAGTATTATTCTTTATGTAAATTTAGCATAAATTTTATAACATGTTATATATTACTCATCACTGTTTCCTCATGTCAATGATCATTATTTTGCTTTGTCATAAGATAATTACAACTTTTTAACATACTAAATAAGTAATTTGTAATATATATCTTAATTAGTCAAATTCAAATTTGTAACAAATATTCAGAATAGAAATAGAAAAATAATTAAATAAATATTTTTACAACAACTACATCATTTCCTTAACTTGTGGTGAAAAATTAAAACATTGTGAGAACTTACATAAGTTAAATTGCTTTACACAAACTAATCTAGTAAAGTTAATATCTCATTATTAACATGCAAAATAGGCGCGTAGACATCGAGTTGCAGAAACAAGCCCGTTTATACCATACCTCATTATTATTTTGATTTTTGGTCACCCATTTCATATAATATGATAATGTTACAGATTATGCAACATGTCATTGGTTAAGGTAAAAAAATCCCCATTAATTTATGCTTTTATTATTTTCAGTGTACAAAAGCACTGGACCATTCTGCCCCGACCTTGACTTGGACCATCTGACACAACCAGTGCTAATTAATATTTATCCAAAAAACAACTTTAAGCTTTCAAGTTTTCAATAAGTGTTGGACTTGTATACTTCTGAATTTCTGTTTTGTTGTGTTACTATAAACTATGTTTTATTTGACTACTACTGTTTAAAAAATATCTGTTCTTAGCACTAGCCTTTGTATTTAATTATTTTCTGCATGTATAAAAATATTTTTAATAGATTATTATATTTAAATATTATATTACTTTTATTCATCTTATACTCAGTATGTTTTAAACTCTAGTTTTTATTTTTATGAATCAATTTTGGAATATAATTGAAGTGTGTTTATTAAAAATTAAATTAGGTTGCTTATTTTGTGCTAAGATCTAGATATTTTAACTGGATTGTATTGGAGTGTTTTTAGACTTTATAACCAATAGATATGAATGTCTAACCATATCACAGTGTCCTATCTTAAATTGACTATATATATGGTGCATTAATTTTTCATCATTTATTTATTAATAATACAAAGTAACAAAGAATTATTTCTGGCAAAATGCATCTATGTATGTAGTCATTTTGTTTAAGGCTTAAACATTCCATGAAATGTTAATACAACATTTGTGAAAGCTTTGATTGGTAATAGCCTGTATATAAAATAAATGACACTTTATAAGTAAATATATTTTTCCTATCGAGCCATAATGGGAACCATTATCTGAAGAGAGACCACATGTGTTTATTGCTTAAGATATTAAGTGTAGGAAGCATGCCTGTTTATATAAAAGTCAATATTATTTTTTATTGATCTTCCAAATATATCACAATCTTTTAAAGTGTCAGTAGTCATTTATGGTCACCTAAGTATTGTTGCCTTTTGGAAATTGATGTCTATTTTATATGAAATTTCAACTTGTAAATATTAGTTTGCTTCCTCTTACTCTAAAATACACACTAATTTATTGTATGTGTAAATTCATATCCATATTATCTTAAATTAGGTGTTATATGGTTGCCATTCTTTATAAACGATTATCGAAACTTCAGCACAAAGTGTGCAGTAATTTATGTAACAAAAAGTCGAAAAGTATTATTGTGTCAGCCTAAGTACTTTACTGATGCGTTTATAAGTTAAACATTTGTGCAAATGTAGATATTATGTATGTTGATGAATAAATAGCTAAAAGTTTTATCTGTTATTATTGTCTTTAGTATTATATATTGCATTGCCTAATATAATTTAGTGTGTGTCGTGATTCATGAATTTAATAAAAAATACCTGTTAATAATAATATTTTTTTAGATTGAATTCCTATATTAGGAAAGAGAATATATAAATGCGAGGCATTGAGGAAATTGAAGCTTCTTTCTTATTTACATAGCTCGAGAGGATATAGTTTATCATAATGTTGGAGTTCAAGCTTTTTTTAAGCAAGTTACCGTTTACCGAAAAGTTATAGCTTATTTTCAACAAGGACTTGACTATCTAAAAATAATATGAAGGTGTGCATATTTATTTTTTATCTATGGTCTACATAATTCTTGAAATTTCAAATAGTCATTGATTTGAATTTTTATTTTTTATCTGGTCTGGAAGTACACTCAAATAATTGCATATTCCTAAATTATTATAGCATATTAAAATCATAGTCCATATAGATATGTAGCTTATTAAAATCTGAACGTCGTCCTTCAAAATCTTTGTTTGCTTTCCTGGCTGTTTAGGAAGCAAATTGGTTTATGGCACCTGCATCATTTTTGCAGTTAGCTCTCTTTCTTGATCCGCCAGCCACCTACTAAACAGACTACACATTTTATAAACTGATGAGTGCAAAGTATACAAGTATACAGTGCAGTGTGATCAAGATAGCATAGGCAAAATCAGTATGACGCTTAGATTTAACAAAGCTGGATATTTTAATCTTTTTAGATATCTCCAAAACTATAAAAAAGCTTTTTTCGCTGCTTTTTAATAATACATATTTTCAATTAGAAAATGTCTAAAAGAACATAATATAAGGTAAACATAGAGTACCTACATATGTGTAATATATAAGTGAATAATATCGTGATTTATTTCAAAAGCATTGTCCCGAATTATCTTAAGATAGCTATAGAGGCCCTTATTTAAATACCTCACTTTGATTTCTCAGATTAAAGTTAAAATGAACTGATAATCTCAAGCTCTTACATTTTTACATAACCCACGTCTATAATGTTTTCCATGTCTTTATTGTAGATACTAAGTATGTTTACTCTGTTATGAAAATTATTATTTAGATACAATTTAAAGTTTAGTATAGATTTCTTAGAGCCAGTGGTAGCCCAGTGGTCACGCGCTCGCTTGGGAAACCGAGTGAAGCGGGTTCAAATCCCAGGTCTCGCACCTCTGTTATTTTCATGTGCGAATCATTTCCAACATGATTGCCTTACGGTGAAGGAAAACATCGTGAGGAACACCTAGCAAGTTTTCGAAAGACATGTGAAGTCCGCCAACCCGCGCTTGGCCAACGTGGTGGACTATGGCCTTATCCCCCTCGTATTGAAGGGAGGCCCGTGCTCAGCAGCGGGACGTTAAAAAGGGCTGAATAGATTTCTGAGAGATGAGATATTTTCCCACAGTAAAAAGTACCCTGTATGTTGACCCGGATAACCAGCTATCATCATACCAAATTTCATGAAAATTTGTCCAGTGGTTTTCTCGTGATGCGGTCACAGACAGACAGACAAAAATTCTAAAAACTAGATTCGACCTCTATATTGATAATAATTACTATTTCAATAATATTTTCCAGAAAATTGTTTAATGGACAGATTCGACTCTGTTAGAATTTTATTTTAATATGTATATATTTATTTAAGATATTTCATGATTTTTGTCTTTTTTTGTTATAAAATAGATTGCATACTTCACACTAAACGACCTCTTTCCCTGTTTATGTATTATCAATTGCTAATGTAAATAATATTCACTTGTTAATAGTGAATTCATGCTGAAAGTCACATGATGTATAATCTATACTGATATTATAAATGTAAGTTTGTGAGGATATATGGACGTCTGGATGTAAAGATGTATGGATGTTTGTTACTCTTTCACGCTATAACTACTAAATGGATTTTAATGTAACTTTACAATAAAATAGCTAATACACAAGAATAACACAAAGGCTATTTTTTATCCCGGAAAAAATGTACGGTTCCCGTGGGATAATTTGTTTTCTCTAGAGGGAGACCCGGTACAGGTGGCCTGTGAGACTGCACTGAAAACTAAATTAAGTATTTTAATGTCCATATGTATTAGGTTATTTAAAATCCAGTTCTCGTTTTACGAATACGCATGTAACTTCATTATAGGCCCTTTGAATTATATTCCGTCTACCTACTTGTTTCCACGAACCACAATTTTAATCAATAGACGTAGTAATACGCGAGTTCTCCGCCCATTGCCATTTAAGTTTGGAGTTCGACAGACTAAGTCTTTGGGCTTTCTACATATCTTCTTCATTTAGTGTAGTTTAGTTGACATATAACAGCAAACTAAGGTGAATGAAATAATGGAAACAAAGATGAATATGGCTAAAGGCAGGAAATATAGTACTGGCTTTTCGAGCCGGTGAGTCCCACTTATGTCTACAGGTGGTATGCGTAAATGCATTTCCCAACATAAAAAAAAGGTTATCAACAGATTTTTCCTAAATTTCATTTTTAAACTCTCATGGTGGAGACACAATAGAATGTATATTTTGCCCTATTACATATATATTTAACCTTTACAATTTGATTTTCTAAATTATATTCAGAAATCTGAATTTCCTTACAGAATCACGTTTTATAGGATCTATGTTCTAGGACTTTAAATGAAAACAGCCAGTTTCAACATTTTACTTCAGCTCGAATAGCAGCGTCACTAGTCAGCTACTGCGCCAGTAGCCACATAAGTGCTAGTTATTCTACTAGATATGTCGCATGCGCACAATTTGTTGACTTTTGCTGTTGCATTAATGATGTTACACTTCCACTTGTTGAAAAAATTTGTTATTATTGCGGATGAAATAATTGCTATGATAGTTAAATCCTGTTGAAATATATAATCAATAATTTGATTTTGACGACACGTTTGGCTCAGTTTGTAGTGACCCTACTTGTTGTGCCAGCGGTCGCGGGTTCGAGTCTCGCTGGGGCGTTCACTTGTGTTACGAGCTATGTTTGTACTTCAGTAATGTTTATATTTATAATATATATGTATTTCAAGTTATATATGTCTGACTTTGTGTATCAACTATCTGGTGTCCACAACACAAGCCTCGTAGCTTACCAAGGAACTAGATGGTGCTGCAGTATATGTTAATCTCCCTACATTTTTTTATCTAATCATCTGATTTGATGCTTTCATACTGAAAATACCTATACTGTTATGAGAGTAGACGAGCACTAAATAAAAGACCAATAAATTTTAGCAATAAAACATTTTATTTTAATATAAAACAGTTCAGATGCTACATTTGTACTGCTACTATACAATGTATTTAAAGGGGAATGTAGTAAAAATCTATCACAAAGCGGAATGTAAAGTTTCACAATGAAAGTTCAATGTTGATGGTTTAACTTAATAGCAATTTATATAATTTTGTAAAGCATCTGAGCAGAATATATATTCTATATAAGATTTGCATGTGTTTGTTTGTCTCTAGACTTTATTAATGACAAAATTAATACATATTTTTCACCTATATTTTTAGAAAAAATCGAGTAATTTATTTGTTAAATATAGCATCAACACCTCCAGGTAAATTTCTAAGAAATTAATTAAATTTCTAAGAAATCTATTGTTAACTGCAACGCCGGCGTGTCCGCGGTCGTTGAGGGATTATCTAATTTTAACATTTGAATTTTTCTACGTGTCGTCACATGCAAATCATTTACGTTTACAAGACTACTCTGCGAATATAAAACTCATATAAATATGGCATAAGACGAGAGATACCTACGAGTAAAGCTTCAACTCCCTATAAATACAACTTAAAACTAAAAAGTGTAAAAGTCTATTTATTTACAAAATAGGTGGACTCTTCGTTAAAACGCTCAAAACACACAACACTCTTGACAGTACTGAAATATATACATTGCAAATATTTAGTCTAAAAACTATAATCTCTATAAATTGAATTCTATTTCACTACACGAGTTTCACAAAATCTTGATATTACTGAACATTTACTTATGACATTTAATAAGATTTGGTATTTTATAAAAAAATATTTCACATCTCGTAATAAGCTATAGATTTATGTCTAACTTATCCTATGTACAACTGACTCTGTGTGTCGCTTAGAAAAAAGTCTAAGAAGCCTAAATTGTTTAAAGCAGTCTAATTTGGAAAAATAGTCTATTTAAAACTAAAACTTAATTAAATTTACTTGAAATTTGAATAATATCAATAGAAATCTTTAGTTCCTATATGTAAATCCGATTAGGAACAGGCCCAGGGAGGGCCACTGCTGGTAAAGGTAATCAAGATGTCACAGTTCTATTAGAATCCGCAGTTATTTGTATAATAAGAGGAATTTATGTAATTTATGATTCATATACTTTCTTTTGAAAATATTTTTTATACTATACAATTTCTAAACATTTTCAAATGGATACATAATTGCATTGAATTTAACATAATTTTATTCTAAGTAAAAAGTTTATATCATATACTTCCAATTTAAAATACTTGAGATCTTATTTATTTTGATTAAAACTTTTTTGAGCATTAGTACGAAGGTGGATAACCGAGTTTATAAAAAGCTAATTTACTAATACATTCGAAATCTTACTACAATGTACCATTTTTATAATGGCAATATTTATTCTATTTAAAGCATAGACAAAATATTGTTTAAATAAACAGCCGTTAGCTACTCTATGGCAGTGAGCACTGAGATATTTTGACAGTCTTTGCGGGATAACAGCTAAACTATAATTTATATGTGTAATATGTTACAATTAGAAGTTAAATAAATTAAATAACTATTTGAGATTCATTGGAAATCTTGTACTATGCGGTCTTAAACCCTCGTTTCTGCGTCGTCTTCAGTAGTAGATTTCCTGAAAAGTTTTTTATTGATAAAAATATAAGCATTAAAAACTTCTTTTTTAATACTATATCTAGCTAAAATCTTGATATCTTACCTTTAACCTAAAATAATATTGGATTTTTTAGCTTATAGATAAACTAAATTTGCCAAAACCATTTGGTATTAACAATATAATATGCAGTTATTGGCAACTTTGTGATTTACAATACATAATAATATGCTATATAATATGTACGGATTCACATATAATTTTAAATGTAACATTGTATCTTTGTGTTATATAAATAATATTTTTAAATGACAATGAATGTTGGCGTAATTTTGCAGAATCTTTATCAAGTTCCTTGAAATAGGTATTATACATAAAAAATTGATTCCAAACAAAACAAACATTCTAAAAAGGTCCACTTGAAGATTTGTTTAATTTTGATTTTAATGTTCTGAATATGTTTAGCAAATATAGAAAATCCATTTATAGTTCAAATATCTTGATAAAGAAACCAAAAAATCATGATGAATTGTGCAGTATAGTAAGTCCGAACATATTAGAGCGTTAAAATGCAGTATAAAAATCCATACAAGAGACGATTGCCTTATATTTTAACGTTTTTAAGGCGAACGGTTTTGAAGTCAAAGCGAGTCGCGAAGTCAAAGGTGTCATCTCGCGGCAAGTTATAGTTATACCCGTCAACCCTGAAGGTGTTTCCCGAATGTCATATAAAATTAAGTATGTCAGTCGGTTGCAACTCCCGCCGCATGATAGCCCTCCCTGTTCTCCAATTACAGAGCATAATTGCGCACTTTTGCGCACAAACACGAATAACGCGAAAAAACACTTTTATATTTTCTGTTACTGAATTGGTTGGTCATGTCAAAACAGTACTTTTCAAAGTGCTTGATTGTGCGGAGCGTTGCTGTAGTTGAAACATTCGAAGTTGAGCATTATGCCGCATAATGCGCTTTAGTACTGTAATTGGAAAACGCCCTATATGGATTAATAAACTGTAATTGAAGCATGCTTAAACACAATAAATTACCTCCTCCCTACGAGTGCGGTGACAGATGACGCGAACACCACCGGTTAGGAAAGCAAAAGATGATTTACAATGAGTGTTTCTCATACAACCGCCACCATCTATCGAACATTTTGTTATATGTTACATGGCCGTGATACAGTCCTTTATATATATGTATATAAACATAATATGTATCTCCATTTTTTTTATTTTACTTTTTAATTTAATTATCTAATAACATATTAGTTTTTACATTATGGCATTTAGTACAAAGATATAAATATATTTAAAATTAAGATTAGTATATAAGAGTAGCCTGACTGATTTTATCAGTTTACATAATAAAGTATACGGTATGGTAGCTATGTATGAAGGTAATCTCGCTCAAATGGAGCAGTGATAAACGAATGAGTTATCAGTATAAAATAATTTAAAGAGATAAATAACATTATTATGAAACAAGTTAAGATGAGTCGATGATAAATGATGTGTTACGAAAATTTTAATATAACTTTAAATAAGAAACGAAATATGTACTATAGATTTCTTTTGTGTTAATTTAAATTTAGTTTTATTTATTTCATGCAATGTAAAACATGCTGTGATTATAATTGTAACATTTTTAAATGTTATAACTAAAATATAAATAGATTAGTAAAGATAATATAATATGATTTCTCTTACTCGCTCGTCTCTCCCATACTCGCTAATGGCGCTCCCATTTGTTGTTGACTATCGCCTGAAAAAATATCACATTTAAATGGATATGAATTCGAATTAATTTTTTAGAGTTATAATATAAATTAATTCTATACAGTCTACTAGGTGAGATGTCGATATTTTATTCAACTTTTGCCTTTAGGCAAAGTAAATATGAAAGAGTGTCTGCTGGTCTGTTATTTTCCACAGCTAAAATAAACTATAAGGCCAATCTATAACTGCTTTATCTATATCGTTATCAACGAAATCTCGTATAGCAATAACGTGAATTTTAGACACCGAAAATTCCTGGCTGGAAATGGTCTGCTGGAAAATGACTTCTATTATAGTCTGTCATTATGTGGGAGTGTGTTTGATAGTATTTATTTATTGGCACACTTAACCCTAAACACTTGAGCTAAAACTTGTACTACAATTTGCTAAAGTTTGTATGTGTGTATGTTTGTTACTCCTTCAATTAAACAGCTGGACTGATTTGGATAAAATTTAAGATACATTAAGACCTGTAACCTGAGTATGGACACATACGCTACCGTTACGCACGTAGAGTCGCACCCGAGCAAAACTAGGGTCGCTTAAAGTTTAAAATATTTGTTAAGCGTAAGTTGACCTGATGATGACTTCCTTTATTTCCTTCTCTCATAACAAATCCTCAGATTTAGCTAACACTACTATAGTATACTATAGTATATAGTAATTACCTGTATGGGCACTATTAAGGCGTTGCGGCGACCGCGGCGCGCGCGCGCTCGCGTGGTCTTCCTCCGCTAGTCAAAGCAAATACACAAAGCCACTTCAATAAGCATCTTATATACGCAAAATTAAAATATACTGCACACAAAACGCAAATAATATTCAAAATAATAAAATTATAAATCACTCTTTTTCTTTTTGCAAATAGCAACACACGAGTCTGTGTTTGTGTGCTTAAAGCTAAGGAACTACGTGTCGAATAAAAACACAAGGCTATTTTTAAGCTCGGTTCTAGTTAAAACAAGTTGTTATTTTTTTTATATTTTGTTAATTTTTTATATTTATTGGGCTAAAAAATAATTATTAAATAAAAGAAATTTTATATCAAAATAAAAAGGGATGGAGTACGTGTATTGAATCACATTCGTGAGTTTAGACAAAAAAATTACTGACACTAATAACAAATAAATCATATATTACTTCAAAAAAATACATTACCATATGCAAAAAAATAAAAAAAATACTGACCTGTATACGGGAATAAATATTTATCATGAGGATGATGTTTTTCCGACCCGTCCGACATTCTGTCACTATAATCATATTGACCTTCCATTTTCCTTTGATAATCGTTCTTTAGCATTGTTGCTATCCCGGAATCTCTGAAATCCCGTGACGGATATCCGTCGTGTTCCCGCGGGGTCACTGTCGAATCCCGAAAATCCCGGGATCCGTATAAATTGGGATCAGTGTTTAGATATTTCGTAGGACTGTAACCGTAGTCCGATGTTCTTGAAGATAAATATGTTTTCGAGCCGTAAGGGTTGGTCGGTAGCCTGTACATGGTGGGGGAGATGGGGTAGTTGGGATCGTATGGCACTTGTTTGTCTGCGTCATTGGGCATCACTCCATACATTAGTTCGTCTTCCATTACGCCATATCTATTAAAATATATAATACTAAGTATATTTTTAATACATATACGGTTATGCAGAGGTAAGAAATTGAATGGTCTATTATCCGATTTTCATTTCGATTCTTGTGCTATGTCCCAATTAAATTAGGATTTATGGACGAAAATACAAACAAAAACCTTATAGGGTATCAAACTCATTTCAGTTAAAATATGTTTATCAACATATTTGTATGTTATGTTATATTAAATACATATATCAATAGTATAACATAATACTATAAAGAGAAAGAAAGAAATAATAAACGAAAAGAGAAGAAAAAAAACAAACCTATTATCGAGCGGCAATCTTGAGGCGTCTACACTAGCGACGTATGTATCATGAACATTTTCCAGTATCGAAGGCTTAAGTCTATGTCGGCTTAGTTGATACACGTCTGATGTGAGATCTGGGTTGGGTAGTGGGTTTGGTGACGGTGTCGCTGGTCCCGGGTTCATTCCTTCCTCGGAACCCGTCTCTTGTGACCAACGACCCATGTCTGGGCGGTTTGATTCTGAAAATAATACAGTTGTGAGATGAGAAGAACTTTTGTATATATTGCTCTCTGCTAATTGAAATGTGACGTTACTGTGAGATAATGTAGTGATAAATATAACTTTACTATAATATTAGTATAGTAGATTATGTTTGTAAGAACAAAATAAAAAAGGTAAAATATAGAACAATAAGAATTCATCTTTATTATTACAAAATAACCATATATATCTAAAATGACTTTGCTAGAATATGTAATCTATATCTTATAAAAATAATATCAATTTAAATAGATCATTATAAATTTTACTTAATACCTTCTCTAATATGCGAGGGCCAGCGAGGCGACATTGCTAGAGGCGCGCCCTCGGTGATATTGGGCAGGTAGTTGCCACCCGTGTTGTTTGTTCCTCTATCACCTATACATATAAAAACTTGTAAGTTTTGTTTGTATTATATATAGAATATAAAAAAGACACCTTTTTAGTTGGGAGATTCATTTTCAAATTAGTAAAGTAGAAAATTTGCAAGCACTATTTTGATTATATTATACATAAACTAACGATTTACTCTCGCTTCGCTCGGGTAAGTTTTTAAGTTGAATGGCTTAGGAATGCACATAAGACAAACGTCCAAAGAAAAAATCATTCTTTCTGAATCACGAACATTCGCAGTCTTATACAGAATAACTAACCAGAATTCCATCACAATCGGACCATTGGTTTAGGAACGCATAGAGTACAAACATACGAACATTCAGTTTTATTTATATAGAAGACTAGTAGCACCTGCGGCTTCGCCAGCGTTCAAATTTAAGATATAAACATAAGTTTTACAATAATGGATGCAAGTCTGCACGACTTGTTGATATTTATGATTAATATTCCTATGATTACTGCTCCGCTCCCTTGGGTACTAGCATGATGAATTATAGCCTTTCTCAATAAACGGGCTATCTAATGCAAAAAGAATTTTTCAAATCGGATTAGTAGTTCCCGAAATTAGCGCGCTCAAACTAACAAACAAACTCCGTCTCTTTATAATATTAATATAGACTAACGACTCACCCTCGATTCGCTCGGGTTCGTCCCTGGTACGTTTTAATTTTTTTGAGCGGAACCCTAATCCTTTTTCTAAAATGAAAGTAGCCTATGCTACTCCCTATAACATCAGCTATCTTCCAGTGAAAGTTCCGTCAAAACCAATCCAGCCGTTTCAGAGATTATCCGGAACAGACACATGGATAAAAATTAAAAAAAAATGTTTTTTTTTCTTAGAAGTACCGTATATAATTTCATATGCATTTAGTAAAACGCTGTTATTTTGACATTACAAACAGGCACTTCAATTTTATAATATTATTAATGATTAATGAATATAGATAGATAATAATTACGATGAGCAGAGGGCGGGTGGCTGGACCTCCTCGAGGTGTCTTCGTCATCGGAGGAGTGGCTGGAGGCGAGGTCGAGCGAGCGCGCCGACGCCTCGCTCTCGCTGTCGGAGCCGTCCGCGCCCTCCGCCGCGGCGCGCGGCGCGCGGCGACGGCTCTCCTCTGTTGGTGCTTTTTGTTCATTGGGGTGTTTCTTTTTATTATTAGACTAGCGTCTCACCCTCGATTCGCTCGGGTTCGTGCCGTCGGGTAAGTTTTAACAGTTAGTAGGACATACAAATCATTGAATTTCTCGGCTCTTCTGTACTATGATATGCATGTATTATACATATAAACCTTCCTCTTGAATCACTCTATCTATTAAAAAAACCGTATCGAAATTCATTGCGTAGTTTTAAAGATCTAAGTATACATATGGACAGACAGACAGCGGGAAGTGACTTTGTTATGTATATACTATGTAGTGATATGGTTTTGTATACATAATCAATATATTATATAGAATATTTCTTTATTGACACAATTGTTTGTTGTTACACAAGCCTGTTGAAGCCTCTAACTCCTAAACTAGATTAAACCCGAATATCAGGAATCAGCGCCCTCTTCCATCTTTAACCATAAGTGCACGACAATAATATTACGGAGCATGTTTAACGCTAATAATTTTAATATGTGATTGTAAAAAAAACCAACTGAATAATATTAATCAAACAGTAATGTGCAAATTACGTTACCAAAAGCATTTGTCACGTAAGTATTTTCACGGTGAAAACGCTCCCTTTTCAATATACAAATAGTATTTATGCAATTTAAATTTATATATACAAATAATATTAGATTTTTTATATACATATTTATATTAAATTTAATGTTAAATACTTAAAAAATACAATTAATACAAATAATACTCGCCATCTTTTCGGGTATGCAGTGACGAGTCGAACCCTCTTAAATACGCCGGCATGTCGCTAGCGCTAGTGTTGTAGTTGGAGGTGGAAGTGCTGGTGTGACGCAGTTGACCGTCACTGCGACTGTTGTGAAGGTTTTATGTCAAATATTATACAGGAATATATAATATATATTAGGGATCTAATTATTGTTTTATAAATAGCAAAAAATGAATTATTAAATTCTAGTACTTTAGTACTCATATCTATAATTACATATGAAAAGATTTTTCAAAATAATGATAGCCAATAAAAATTGTATAAAATTTAGAATATTATTAATATTTAAGCTATAATAATCATCTCATTAATCCCATCCCATATTATAAATACAAAAGTTTGGATGGATGTTTGTCACGCCAGAACGGCTGAACGGATCTGGATGAAATTTGGCACATAGATAGATTATAGTCTGGAACAGCACATAAGTTACATTTTATCAAGGAAAAATGTTCGGTTCCTGTTTGATTAATTTGTTTTTGTTTTTCATTACAAATAAAACTAACCTGTAAGGGCTTGAACTAGTCTTAGTGGTAGAGCGCGAAGTGGTGGAGGACGCGGAGATACCGATATTGCGGAGTTGGCGACCTGGCTCTGTACTGCTGTGGTATGCCAGAGCTGACCTGTTTAAGAGATAAAACGTATTTTTAAGTCATTTTATCAATATAAGAGATTTAGTCAATAGAATTTTTTTTATTTACTTTTAAAAAATATTTGCCCGTTTTTTTTGTATTTAAAACTAATTGTGAATAAAGTATATCATTAAAATAAGTTAGGAGTAATAGTGTCATAATCCAACACTCAAGCAACACTATACAATAAATTGGGCAATAGCATAAACGGTATAATGAAAACCTATGCGCTGATTAAATCACAAGATGAACGGGGGTGGGCAATTCTAGCAGTGTCTAAAATAAGAAACAATAACAAATTGAAAAAAATAAAATACCTGTTGACTTGTGATAGATTTTGAGCACTTGTACTGATTATAACTGACGTATCCGCAAGTGGCACCTTTTTGCCCATACATCTGAGAATCGTTCTGAAACAAAAAAAATCTTACAGGAATGTCAGATAATGTATTTTTTTAAACAGTTAACTGTATAATATTTTATTCTATTTATTTAATTAATTAGCTGCAAAATGTAATAAAATCAAATTTCCCATAAATCCTTTTAGTCTTCAGAATTCAAATTAATGGGCTATTTTAATATTTGCTTGTTCCGATTCAACATCTTTCTGATCAAACTTTTAAACTTATTTCTAAAATGACATAAAATAACATAAAAAAAATTCAGTCTAAAGGTATGCCAATTTTTAAATGAGAAACAATTTATTTCAGATTATCTTAAAAGAATATATATAAAGATAATTTATTACCAGACTAGCGACTCACACTTCGCTCGGGTTCGTCCCTAGGTACGTTGTAACGGTTAGTATGGAAAAGATATACACACATATATATACATAGATATATTTCTCGTGCGCGGTAAAAAGTAGCTTATGTAACTCTCTAGTCCTCCAACAATCTCCATGCAAAAAATCACACAAATCCGTCACTCTGTGTCGACGTGAAATAAGGCCACAAACACACTTTCACATTTATAATATTAGTATGTATACAAACCGACCTCTTGAGATTATCCCGCACGCGTATGTTGAAGGCGATGTACCCGAGCGAGGCGGCGGCGGCGTGCAGCGCCACGGCGGCGGCCAGCGCGGAGCTGAGCGCGGCGCGGCGCGCGCCCGCCTCGCTGCCCAGCACCAGCGCCGCCGCCCACGCCGCGCACAGCAGCGGCAGGCACGCGATGCTCACCGCCAGCAGCATTCTGTAATAACTGCTTCGTGTCAAACTTAGATTAGGGTGTGTGTAGATAGCTGTGGCGAAGGGTCAAATTTTAGCAGAGGTAAGCCGTTCCAAAAAAATACATTGATATACACTTTTTAGACACGTATTAATGAAAAAAAAATAAATCTATTATTATACATATATTTCCAAAAGAACATTTATATGCACTAAGCACGGGCCTCCCACGGTACAAGGGGGATCAGGTCATAGTCCACCACGCTGGCAAAGTGCTGGTTGGCGGACTGAGCATGTCTTTCGAAAGCTTGCTATGTTCTCTCAAACATGCAGGTTTCCTCACGATATCTTCCTTGACCGTAACACAACTGTTATTCATGTTAAAAATAATTTGCACATGAAAATATTATAGGTCCGAAACTCGGGATTTCAACCCTGTGTACTATGTTTCCCAAACGAGCGCGTTACCACTGAGCTACCACTGCCTTTAAAATAATATATGACATAAAATTATACTATCATGTATTATGTACACATCCCCATCCCATACCAAGAAATTGGAAGGCATTAATATAGTCAAACTCGGTTATAAAACAAATTACAGTTAATTTAGTCAAAAAGCAGTTTAAGAAAATGCATGTATAAAATATATTGATGAGCCTTTTTAATTTTCAATTATTTGTAAAATTGTGTAAAATTCTTTAAGATCTCGTTATTTATCTTTTGATATTTAAAAAAGAACATACCATTTGGGAATATATTTCTTATTATTAGCTTTACATAAAAAAAGTTGGTAAAATAGATAATACCGGCTGGATTATAAAAGTATAATAATAGCGATATTTTTCGATGTAACCTACGTTGCTATCAGAATTAGCTTCTGACAATTCTATCTAATATTTAAACTAAAGATTACATACACCATTTCCTATCAAAAACTCACCTCAAATTCCCAAAGCCAATAACGTGGTCGCGCACAGTGAAGGCGGCGCGCGTGGCGCCCGCCAGGAACACGACGGCCGCGCCCGCGTACACGCCCGCCGGGACCACAACCCACCACACCACTGCCTCGTGGCAGCTCACCCAACAACTGTGACACGTTATTATATAACCAAGGAAATTGTTTAATATATTTCGTGTAAATTAAGAAAAACCTGAGAGTGGAAGAATTTTAAATTTTAAGTTATTTAGCACACAGTGTTATACTTTTAGTTAAAAAGTAAGTATTATAAAGATAATTATTATTTCAAGAAGAGCTTTTTATACAAATGGAAAAAAGAATATATAGTCCATTTATATATTAAATTTCATCTAAATCTGTCTAGCGATATTAGCGTGAAGGAGAAAAAAACGTACATACACATTCGAAAATACGTTACAGGGATGATGATATTTTTGTATTAAGTGGAAAACCATCCTTTCTGAGAGCTTCCTATATTTTTTTAATTCCTTTTTTTAATTAGTGTCCGCAATCTGATCCTGCAACGACCCATAGCATTGCAGTGACGGGTTCCACTGTGGGTGTTAGCCTATTTAGGGTTTCTCCAGCGAAAACAAAATAAAAGGTAACTAAATATATATGCACTTTTTTTGCGGCTATATCGTGTCACTGCGAGCATTTCTGGTTTATTGTGATCGCCGCATTTTATACTAGAGTGAGCCACTAAATCCTGCAGATGTTAAAAACTGCAAGATTCTCTTAGGGTTACACTCTTTTATTTCATCTAGGCCTAGAAATTGTTTTGCTAGATAAACTGCGTTTGCGCATGAGCGGTCCACATCCCCATAGAAGATGAAGTGAAGTTTCGTCTGCCTCCATGCTGTGTACTTACAAAAGCGCGTTCCCGTACTGGTGCTGGTGGTGCGCGGCGGCGAGCGCGAGCAGCACGGCGGGCGCGGCGTAGGCGGCCGCCAGCTGCGCCAGCAGCGGGCCGTGGTTGACGTCGCGCAGCTCGCGCAGCAGGCGCCGCAGCTGCCACGCGTCGCACGCCGCCCACGCCAGCGCGCTCACCCACCAGTAGTGCAGCGACATCGCTATCAGCTTGCACGCGAACTGTACGCACACGTACACACATCACTCTCGACTACGCTATCGTTTTGTATACCTATAGTATGTGCATTACATGCATTTAAACTGCCTCGATGGTGCATAAGTAATTAGCGACTCACCCTCGCTTCTCTGGAATTCACCTCTACGAAAACAAAAACCAACCTATCCCACGGGAACCGTAAATTTTTCCGGGTTAAATAGTAGCCGATGTTTATTTCAACTATAGTCTATCTCCGTGCCAAATTCATCCAAATGCGTTCTGCCGTTTTGGTGTGAAAGAGTAACAAATATCCATACATACTCACACACTTTCACATTTATAACATTAATAATATGGACTAGCGTGCACGACTCCACGTGCAAATCCTGAGGTCTTGGGTTCGAGTCTCGGGTATTCTACTGAGCTTTTCTGTTAAGATATACTCATATAGCCCGGAGTTGGGAAGTTGACGGTATTGCACCCCCGTGACTCAGAGAGCACGTAAAACCGTCGGTCCTGCACTTTAACTCTCACCGGTCGTGTCGAAGTGTCGTCTCATCGAACTTTAATAGTAAAAGTAATAGAGAATGTAATTATGCCTGCGTGTACACTTGAGCACTATAATATCTCCTGCGCAGTTGGCTAGTCTCAATGAGATTTACCGCCGTGGCCGAAATCGGTCAGAAGGACATTATTATATGCATGTCATAATAATTATAATTATTAAAATTATTTCAAAGTTCCTTTAACCAATTCATATGTGAATATATGATGATATTCACATGATTATTGCAAATAGTGTTCAAATTAAAATCACTGTTTTAAAGCCGCAGCCTTTTTACAAAATTAAACCGAGACAAATATCTGTTATTTACTATTATATAATTCTTAATATATTTGTAACAATATTTTTTCAATATCAAAGTATAAAATCACATTTTCCCTTACTTATTACTACCCCTTGCTAAATAACTTGTTCGATAATAAGACAAATTAAACATTTACAATTAATAGCCAAATTAACACGTATATAACAAAAAAAGTAGCAAAAATATAATTACCTCATTCTGCACTAACGAGGTCCGAGCCTTCAAGGCTATCAGATACAACAACTCGGCCATGAACACGCAGAATATCAGATGTTTGTGTATAGAGTTTGAGACGGTCGCGGCGCCGCCCCGCATCAGGCAGAGCGCCGCCCACGTCCACATCAGTAGCGGTAGCGATATACTGAACCCTGTGTATGACGTCACTGATTCTAATAACGACGGTTCTGGAATGAACTGGAATGAGGATATTTGATTATTATTAGATGATTCCCATAATACTTTCTTAGATTTACGCGAATATTTGACATTTTAAATAAAACTATCTTTTCGGATTTTGTCGCGGAAATAAATCCGCGACAAAATCCGAAAAGATAGTTTTATTTAAAAGATGATTCCCAACTTATAATCTGACTTGAAGAATATATAAATAATTCTTCTGATTCTGATCCGTTCACTTGGGTATTATCATTATTATACATATATAGCCCTCAAATAAACTAGTAACCTTCCTTAATAAACGGGCTATCTAATAATGCAAGAAGAATTTTTCAAATCCGATTAGTAGTTCCCCAGATTAGCGCGTTCAAACAAACAAATTTTGCTCTTTATAATATTAGTATAGATAATAAAATTTCAGCTCCCTCCTTGTGAGGGGGTGAGTAGGGTATAGTCGAGATAGCTGCCCAAATGTGGTTTGGTGGATTTCATAAGTTTTTTGAAACTTAATTAGGGTTTCTCAAATATACAAGTTTCAATCATCATATTAGTAAGTAATAATCATAATGAAAATAAAGTTTGCACATGAATATCTTTGAGGTGTGAGAGGCGCGGTTTAATGCCGTTTTACTCCATTTTTAATATGAGCATGCTTGCAATAGTTACCTACTCGACAATTGATATTTCAATTGACTATTTAATTAATTTTTAATTGAATTTGTTTAGTTTTGTATTATTTTAAATAATCTTATATCTTGAGCTGATCTATATTTAAGCCTTTTATTTATACCAGTTATCATTATATATGAACTTAGTTTTAAAGAAATACTTTAGATTTGAAGTTTTAAACTGATTAATAATTTACCTCAATATCAACGTCGTCGACCAAAACGGCAAACGTCGATAGATGGTTACAGGTACAGTTTATAAGTAACGGGTCATTGGAATACGGCGACCAGTCGTAGTCGATCTCAGTGTGGCACCCGACGCGGGACCACTCCCCTTCACTGAAATTAAATAATATTACCATATTACAGGCATATATTTACAGGATATAAATTTATTAAAATTCAATATAAATATTAAAACAATATATTGTAGAGTATATCGGTTTAACACACAAGTCTTGTAGTGTTGAACTTACGAAATTAAAATTAAAAACCAAAATATTATTTATGTTAATTAATTCTTAAAAAAATTAAAAATATGTCCATAAAAGTATGAAAAAATTAGACTAAATACGCAGTTATCACGACGAAAACAAAAAGACTTAATAAAATTTTAAAACTTACCCTTTCAATGTAGACCAATGAACACATTGCGGATTTGTCCTCGACCCGAACGTCTCTCTATTAATATCCAACCACATTTGCAATCTTATGGGTTTCTTCAATCTCACTCCATTCAAGCTTTTATATAACAACTTTTTCTTCATAACCTCTTTGGATGAATTATCTTTTTTCGCCTCATTGTCCATGACTAAGGCCATTACTTTTGGTCCATCTGAACTTTCGACTCTCTCTGCGACGTATGACGAATCGTTTTCTTGGAAATTATCATTGATATAAGGTTTTTCTTGTTTTTTGTAAGCTGGTTGTATGACGACTGGACCGTGGTTGTCGATAGCAATATCGTCGTCTGCTTGAGGCCATGTGTTATGTTTTGGATGAACGTTATTTGTATTCTGATTGGCAGTCGGGTGTGGTTGGCCCTTATTATTGTATACAATACCTATGAAAATGCGTTTTAGAATTGTAATTTTTAATGCTTATTTTATCAAAAAAAACCAAACAACTTAAATACAACTATAATACAAATATCTTTATTGATAAAAACTTGTATAAAATTAGTTAACAATGAGTACATTGGAAGACAACCACATTAAAAAATCATCCAAGAAATTCTGGTACCTACCCTCAAAATCGCCATTATCCCCATCCTCGTTATCTTTAGTCTCTCTAAACCACACATATTCAGGCACAAACAATGCAACTTGTAGTATCGGAGAGCCGATAGTAATGTTCACTCCCCACCGACGACTGACCGACTCGTCCATTCTCAAAGGCATAAGTTGTGATGTGTTCCTTGAGTATTGGAGATAGGAGAATACTGCTCGAGATTCGTAATTTGTTTCTAGGTTTTCTGTAAAATATATCACGTTGAAATTGATGAGGTACTAAATTCGGGCATCCTTTTTGGTTGGTTCATCGATTGATTTTAATATTTTTTTAATATACTCTAAGACTGGTCCATACAAGTTTTAAGAAAAAAATCACTTAAAGGGTGGTTTTTTTTTATTAAAAGTGACTTTGAAGTCGGTGTAACTATTTAGCTAATAATAAGATACTCAATTTATTAGGGTTATTAGGATTAATTAGAAAGATTGGGAGATTAATGATTACAATTTTTGCGTATTGTACAATGTACAGTGAGTCATATTTAATGAAATGTTACATTATTTTAGTAGTTTTAATAAGAAAAAAATTATTTGATTTGTCTTATATTAATTGTATATAAATATAAGAAGAATTCTTTTAAATAACAAACGTACCTTGAGCATTATTGATCCCAATTAAATCCAAAGGCAGTAGAACTCTTGAGAACTTATCGAACTTATTTTTATTTTTGACATAGTTATTATATTTTGGGAACGAAACTGTGGGACTCGAGGGTTTCCTATTCTTTGCTTTGATACCATAATAGCCCGGCGTTTGTAATGGTGAGTGTATAAACGATGAGGTGTCCGGTAGAACAACTCGTTCTGTGGTGTATGTGTCGCCGTAATGGTTTAGGGTAGTGGGTTCAAAGCCGTAAATTGATTCTGCTGTTACTATATCCACACCAATTACTAAAAAAATATTACTTACATTAAAAAAAGGTATTAAGTTTTTTAGTTTTATTTATGTACTAGTTCTTAGACACGTTGAATTTCTTTAGTTGAGTAATAGAAAATGAAATAAAGCATGTCTAACAGATAAATCTAAGTATTATATATTTATTATTTTCTTATTAGCTATAGAGATCGTAGCATTCTCCTTCTGATTTTGAAGACTCTCACCTAAATCTGATGTGACGATTTCAAAAGGATTAGTATAAGTATCGTGTTGACTCTCAGCAAGTACCGCTATGTATTTGTCAAACTGCTGCAACAAGTGTTCCACACCCCGTCCTGTTAGCTCCCTTATACGATTCCACTCTTTACTGTATCGATTGTCCAATATCGTGTTGGATGATTTTAATATATTCTGAAAACGTCATTAATATTTATTTTATAAGAACTCTTAATGTTTTAAAAGTACTTAAAACATGTAACTGGAGTTGACAGAATAAAACACCGGTTTTATCTGTATCGTAGCCTCTTTGTGTTGTTAATTTAAATCACTTATATTGCGAATATAAATGATTTAAATCAACAACACAAAAAAATCGATTCTTGAATAAGATAAATCACTAAAATAGATGTTAGAAAAGGACATAAGTTTTCCGTTTTTTTTTAAATGAAACAATGACACAAATAGACTAACACTGAAGATATTTCAACTTGTTACGCGAATTTAGGAAAGAAAAATGACTTTTGCTATGGAAGACAAAAAGAGAAGAGCATTCTATTCAACTTTCACTTGTATTTAAAGATTCAGTCAGTCGAAAAAAAATCCATTCAAATCAAAAATTTTCATTAATTATTTAAAAAAAACGGTAGGCCACTTTAAAATGTTGGGTAATTTTTTTTTGTCAAGAATTTTGTTTTTTGTATAAGCTACATAGGTAATATAATATAGAATATTGTAACCCCTAATCCTAATGTATACGAATAATAACACAACCCTAATATATACGAGTATAATACATACATCGTCGCCTTAGTTGCACTTGTTGCACTTTATAAAATACATATTTTAAATAAAATACACCTTTTCGGATTTTATAAAGAAAAATGTGTATTTTATACCAATAGAGTTGACATTTGAAAGTGAACAATTCTGCATTAAAATAACAGTAAATTATGTAAAATAAGCACTGAAATGACGATATGATTAGTAAATTTAAATACTTACGCGAACGTAATCCTTATCTTGACTATGTGTAAGGTTTAAACCACCTTGTTTCAATTCATACTGGATAAGTTCTAACAAAATGCCTTCTGCTACCAACACATCAGCCCCATACAATGTAGGCGTGTTGGAACAAGCGGAAGCTAAGTCTTCAGCTAAACGTACACCCACGAATGTGTTCACTTGTAATTCTCCTGTTTCTATTTTATGGAGCTAGAGAAACATAAAATGATTTTAATTACATGAATAATTTTATCTATTTCTTTTATATAAGAAATAGTGAATTTTAGAAATGGCGACGATATGTTTAATGTTAATAAACGAGACTTTCAAAACTACTTTTATAATCTCAATCTTAAAATTGGGAAAAATTTGTAATTTCCATAAGTAGAAGAGGAAGTTCTTTCAATAATTGTCAAACTTTTACTCATAGTCTGTACTTATATTTTATATGGAATATAAAAGTAGGATAACATTTTTGCAAAGGTAAATATATTTTAACTTAAGCAAATTATAACATTTTAGTAAATAGTTTTGCATATTAAAACAGTACAAAATCTCGATAAATTTATCAATATGCATATAGTACATATGAAAAAATATTTTAAAAGTAAAAAGCGCAATGCTTACTTGTTTCCTTAATTGATAGAATGTTGATGTGGTACAATTAAACATATCAGGCTCATTCCATGGGATCACTCGACTTTCATCACAAGTACGCGTTGCTTTGCCACTTGAACCTAATACCAAAAAAGAATTTCATGATAAAGTACAAAAATTGGATAGTTATCCAATTTTTTTATTCGTATTTTTTTTTAATTGTTATTCGTAGTTACGAATGGTAATTTTAAAGACATCTAAAAACTAACAATAAGCGTTTTCTTTAATTTATTTCAGTAAAGAACGAGTGGATTCCTTTTTTCTATATCATATTTCCAAATTGTAGTATTTTCATAGATAATATGGGGAAAAGTGTTTATATTTTTTAAAATCATTTTAATTCTTTTTAAAACATTTCTAAAAACGCACATGATAAATTTGATAAAACTTGGCCTATTCCCAAAATACGCTTATGTCCATCATTAGGTCATCTAACTTAGGTAAATAGAGTGATAGATGAACAGACATTCACACGAGAGATTCTATAATGGCTCGAAGTTTTCCTTTTAATTTAGGAAGCAGTTAAATTAACGGCTTGCATATACTTGTAAAAATACAATCGTATATGAGTAACTTATGAAGACGAAAATTACAAAGTTGTATATTATTACTTTACCTGCAGGACAATCGGTTACAGCTTCAACTCCAAATTTAGTTTGCGGCCACCAAACACCACCCGCGAAGGATCTCGGGCATCCGTCATAAATTACTGTAAGAAAATGATTATTTAAATATTGCTTGGGCAAAGATGGCATAAAGATGGCATGAAGATGTCAATCAATACATAGTATACTAGCGGCTCACCCTCGCTTCGCTCGGGTTCGCCTCTAGAAAAACACTAATAGAGATCTATTAGTTCCCACGGGACCTGTTTATTTCTCCGGGATGAAAAGTAACCTGTTATTTGACCGGCAATATAAGGTATCAGAATGTAAATATTTTCTAAATTAGGTGCATAAGTTGTTGTGTACTAAGCTGTATAAGTTATTATAGTTTTTTTACTATCCCACGGGAACTATTTAATTTTCCGGGATAAAAAGTATCTAAGATGTTGCCCGGGGATATAAGGTACCACCATGCAAAATTTCATTTAAATCGGTCCAATAGATTCGGAGATTAGTCGATCAGTCGACCGATTAGTCGATCGATTAGTCGATCGATCGACTGATCGATCAGTCAACCGATCAGTCGATCGATCAGTCGATCGATCAGTCAATCGATAATCAGTCGATCGATCAGTCAGTCACACATAGTACAAACAAACTTCTAATAGTACTGTTAAAATTAAATGAGGGGTCTATGGACCCCCGGTCGGAACGAAGTTCCTTTCGCTTTTGGTAGACGTTTGCTATACAGTAATTTATATTATAAAATATCAAGTTGATTGAGTTCAATTGAAAAATTTACGATAAAATATATTTAATATGTATAAAATAAATAATGATAAATTAAACACTGAATGATCCGGAATAATTAAATATATATATAGTTCATACATGGCTGTAACTGTAACTGTTTTCGGTCTCACTCCCATCCGGTCAGTGTGTAACGCGCGATAAGGAACTTCGTGGCAATAAACATACCATATAACAGAGAGTAACAAACCTTTACATCCAGCACTAGGCGTGACCTCGGCATAGACGTTGGCGCAGGAGTCGCAGGCGCGGCCGATGACGCCGCTGCGGCAGTAACACTGGCCCGCCGGCGAGCACGAGCCGTTGAGCGAGCCCGCCGCGTAGCACTGGCACGGCGCGCACTGCGACGACCCCGCCGGCTGGTAGTGGTTCTCCTGGACGTGGGAGTGGGGTAGATCAGTTACATATTTAGGTTTATAATGTAGGTACATTTTTTTTCCAAATGACTACGGTACCTTGCAGTGACAGCCGCCGGTGCGCGCGTCGCAGTGCGGGTGCAGGCCGGGCGCGGCGCAGGCGCAGGGCCCGCACGCGCCCGCGCGCCCCCACCACCCGCCCGGGCACTCCTGCCGCCCCTCCGCCACGCACCCCTCCGCTGTGGAGGAGATCACGTTGGAAGTATAATAAAAAATAAATAAATATATTGGGACTAATAAATATAATTATATATATTTTTTGAGCAGAACCCTAATTCTTTTTATAAAAAAATTTTAGCCTATGTTACTCCTTTATAACATCAACTACCTGCCAGAGAATGTCCCGTCAAAACCGGCCCAGCCGTTTCGAAGATTGTCCGGAACAAACACTGACATTCTATAGATACCAGATGGTTGATACACTACACATACATAAATTTAATACATACATAATTAAAAATATAAATACCCATGACTAGAGTACAAACATTCGTGATCAACACACAAATGAATCCCCCAGCAGGACTCCAACCCGCGACCGCTGGCACAGCAAGTAGGGTCACTACAAACTGAGTCAAACGTGTCGTCTAAGTAACCATTGTGATTAGTTAGTTTCTGTTACTGTACAGATGGCTTGTTAGTTAAGGGTTTTAGCTGTCAGATAGTTTATGTGTAGCCAATGTGTTACTCCAGTTCATAGTCTGTGTATTAAGTTCCATCCAAAACCACCCAACCGTTTCAGTGTGAAGACGTATCAAACATACACATATAAACACACAAAGTTTCGCAATTATAATATATGTAGTTTGTGATATCTTTTTAGTTTAATATTAATCTAGCTTAATAATTCCTCAAAATTATCATCGGTTTTGTTACCATTGTGCATGCAATAAACTTTAATAATTTATATTCACGTTTTATGCAAGTAAAGTAGTTTCATTGTGAAGTGCTGTTAAGTTTACTGGTGTAAAAATAAAAATTGAAAGCATAGTTCCTAAAATTTGTAACACTAGCGAAGCGAAAAACAAAATAAAATTTATCCCTCGGGAACCGTATATTTTTCCGGGATAAAAAGTAGCCTATGTGTTATTCCAGACTATAATCTATCTCTGTGCTAAATTTAATCCAGATCCGTTCAGCCGTTCTGGCGTGAAAGAGTAACAAACATACATCCATACTTACAAACTTTCACATTTGCAATATTAGTATGGATTACTAAGGCTTCTACTGCAAGGTTCGTACCGACTAAATTATCAGATTTATACTATACTTTGTTTTTCTGACATAATATATCCCTTTTAGACAGTAATGTCTCTGCGAGATACTGCATTTTCTCTGAAAACAGGTTTGCAAAAGTTTCAAATCATAAAAATCCATACAGCAGAATCGTCCTTGATTTTAACGGAAATTGCAAGGAAAAGGACAATAAGGGGAAACTTCACTTAGTTTAAGTAGAAGCGGGTTCAATTTCCATGTTTTCATGTGCGAATCATTTTCTGCATGATAACCACTTGTCTTAAGGAAAACATGAAATAGCAACACCAAGTATGTCCTATCTAAAAACCCTAATTACATAACTCTATGGATTACCAGACTGTGATAATTCCTACTGGTCGGTAGAATATACAGTAGCATAGCTAAGTAGATAGTATGATAACCACTAACCAGTCATAACATATCCCTGGTCGCACACGCAGCGGTACCCGCGCGGCGCGGCGGCGGGCTCGCAGCGCGCGCGCGCGCCGCACGGCCGCAGCTCGCAGGCCGCCGCGCACTGCGGGCCCACGCGCCCCGCCGCGCACTCGCACTCCGTGCTGTCCCAGCTCGACGTGCACTTGCTCTGTGTGATGTAAAACACAAAGTATATATTAGTACAAAAACTTGAAACTAAATAAACTATTTAGCCCTTAACAAAATTATATAATAACTAGGGACTCAACCTCGTTTCGCTCGGGTTCGTCCCTGAGCTGATTCCTCATACAAACGTTTATCCCCATTTTCACCCCTTTAAGGGATGATTTCCGGGATAAATAGTATCCTATCTCCTTCCCAGTGTCTCAAACTATCTTCTTACCAAATTTTATCTAAATCGGTTAAGTAGATCGAGAGATTACCCCCTACCCCCTACAACGTCACAAACTCACAAACTTTACCTCTTTATAATATTAGTATAGATGACGCAACAAGACTCAAACTCGTGTATTCGTAAGAGGCAAAATACTTTATTCTAGAAGTCTTGATCGGGTTGCATCAATCCGGTTCACACACAACACACACACCCACATACACATACTCGGTGTGAGTGTAAGATGAAAAAGGAAAAAATGTTTATGGATATACCTATTTTCAAACTATTTTATTAGTAAAACAAGTCAATTCCATTTAGTTGTTGCTAAATATATAATTTTTATTCAATTATACTTATCACAAGCACTTTCGAATCGTCACTTTAATTTAAAGAGCGTTAGTGTAGTCAGTCCGTGAGGAAGCTATCACCGGCTCGAAAAGAATTTTTATGAGAAGAGCCGGCGAAAAAATTGTACATTTATTAAAGTTACTTTATTCATACACTTGTATGAAGACATTAAGGAAATTTTAATTTGTACTTTCCAGTTATTTACTTTACCTAGTATAACATAATAACTTGATCAATCTTTCACTCTCTTTCTGAAGAGCATTAGTAAATAACGCTGTCTAATGAGAAGCATATAAAAATCCTTAACAACATTTAATTCGCTTTATACGGGAATTGAATCTGTACTGTTCGATTCATTCATTCGAATCAAACGGTAAATAATGTTCATACTCACAAAAGGTGGACAGATAGACAGCATGCAGTCGGCCCGTGATTGACATCCATCTCGCACATTTTCCCTAACTGTTGGCCGATTTAGTAAAGATTGAGCTGTTCCAACACGTACATCCTGAAAATATTTATAATATACATAATAAACAAAAGTATACATAATAAGGGACTTTCATCTTATTTTATATCCATTTTTTAATATGTCAAGTACCTGGGCGACCGAGCTTCGCTCGGAGTTTTTGGCCAAAGGTACAATTTTCTTTAAAAAAAATCTAGAATAAATATAAAAAGTAAAAATGACCGACCGGGTTTCGAAACGGGACACCTATGATTGTCAATCTTGCGACTTAGCCGCTCGAGGACGATGCTTATATCAGAGGGTGCGAAATTATCGACCATAATTTGCGTGGAATAATGCGAAAGAAAACCGCATGAAAACTCAAAAATCCGCGTTTTCCCAGACATAAAACTAATCTAGATCGATTTATCGCTCCCGTAACCTGTATAAGTATTTCCTAACTTAAATTTTATTTTGATTTAAATGAAGAAAAGGATTCATATTATACAAGTTTTTTTTATAAAAAAAAGATACAATATACTCAATAATATATATTATTTTTCATAGCACGCACCTGAATACATCCTTCAAAGTACCCGACATCTGACGCGAGTATTCCTGCTGTAGTATCGAGACCACCAATAAGTATCTTGCCAATATATTGTCCTTGTATTTTATTTGCTAGCATCGGTAATAAGGCGTTCCTTAACCCATAGTCAATGCTGACTGAGATATCGGTTCCGAGCCATTTGATCTCAATACGATGCCAGGAGCCGTCCGCCAAAGTGGTCGACGGTAAGAACATAGTTTCTCCATTGTAGGAGTAATGGAGAAGACCGGATTTTAGCTGAAAGGAAAGATGGTATTTTGTGATGAAATTTTATGGCATGAAGGAAAAAAAGTAAAAAAATACTTGCGGTTTCGATATCTACATATGTATATTAAGTATAAAAAACTTTTGAATATACTTCACGAACTGGTAACAAAAATTGCGACTTAATAAAAGATATTATGTACCTTTAAATATTTACTATTTTATATTAAGCTTCATTAATATAATTTATTTAATTAGATAAACAGACAACGATTCTGAGCAACATTCGTATAAGTGAGAAATATCTACTTTTGAATAATGTATCAACCACGCGCCTAAATGCACAAATCAAATACACTTAATAAAAATAATAAATGCACAAATCAAATAATATTTGTAATTTATCTAAATGCACAAATCAAATAATATTTTCGATTTAGTTTTTATACTAAATCGAAAATGTACACATTACTAGTGACTTATTTTCGCTTCGCTTTTGCGTTGCGTTGACGTTGCTACAGTTAAATAGATCTTTTTAAGTGGAATAATTCCATAAAATAAAATACATTGTTTTTATATAACTTTATTGGCTTACGTTTGAGTTTATTTTATAACATGTAATGAATGTGTGGATATGACCGGCACAACCACATACAAAACCAAGTAAGCAAATATAAAACAACTCACAGTAACAATGACCGAGCTGTTCTGCCCCACTTGCACGGACATGAGGAAGGCATCCTGCTGCCGCGTGCGGAGCGACAGCGCGTTCAGCCACGGCAGCTGTATGGGCCTCAGTAGCGGGTTGAAGGACAACATGCCGTCCCCGCTGAACCGCCATGGGGGCGTTGTTGCTGTGGAATATTATTATGTTTACGGGAATGATTTATAATAAACATGAAAATCTCAAATTCAATTTTCATATTATTAGATAAAGTACAACTGTATTTAATATAAAATTCCATAAGAGAAGTCAGGTATTTATTTATCTTGTATATTAATCTTATGTATAAAAATAAAGATGAAATGTTCGTTTACACGCATAACTTCAAAATAGACAAAATTATTTTTTTAAATATTTGTAAAACTTCAAATGCGTTTTTTAAGGGGGGAAAAACTTAAACACAAAATTTATTGAAATTTGAACAAGCTAGCTAAATTAAACATGTCACTTACATTCAGCACAATCCTTCCCGGTGTACCCCTCGTTACACTTGCACAGGAAGGTGTCCCACAGGTCGAGGCACTCCCCGTCGTTGTAGCAAGGCGCGCTGCTACACTGAGAACGCTTCTCTGGACAGCCGGCTATTGTGCCGTTATCTGCTACGTAACTGTTAGAAATAGCAACAGATTAGAAAGATTTATCTATACTAATATTATAAATGCGAAAGTTCATATGTGCGATGGATGTTTCTTACTCAATCACACCAAAACAGCTGAACGGATCTGGATGAAATTTGGCACAGAGATAGATTAGTCTGAAATAACACATAGGCTATTTTTTATCCCGGAAAAATGTACGTTTTCCGTGTGATAGATTTGTTTTTCTTTAGCTAGTGTAATATATTTTTAATGATTTATATAACACATACATAAGTATAAAAAAGTAGGTAAGTACTTTAAAAAAACTTGAAAGCATTCCCTATGATACTTTGATTGGCCCAAAACGCCGAAACGTTTTTTACTTCTTACCAAAATTATATATAACGATTTGTTTATGTTCTTTACTTGAGAAATGATTTATTCCCAATACAAACATTCAACTCCTATTTCACCCGCTTCAACTGTCATTTTTGCGACAAAAAGTAATTGTTTTTGCATTTATAATATATGTATGAATAATATAGTACGTTAGTTAGATATACAATATATTGAAGGTATACACACTATATGATTTTTTTACTAATGTTATAATTGTGAAAGTGATTCTCTTGTTAGAGTTTTCCTTCAAGTAGCAACAGTTTAATAGATTAATTTGGTAATAATTTTATGGCTTATATTACAAGAGTGGATACGGGTATAATATATCAATCTACATTCAAATTTTTATTTACGAAAACAATCATCATCTTACCTATTTAAATCGATGAACTTATAATCGATGTATAAATCAGATATACATCCAACAAAATCTTTGTTCTTCACTTGAAAGCTGCTAGGGATGTTCGGCAGTCCGCCCACTTGCAATGGTCCGGTGAGATCGAGGAATCTGTTGGTAAAAGTAAAACTATCGATACATATTATAATACAAGAGAATTCTTTATAGTATTGATTAATATGTACCGAATCGAGATGTAAGGAATTAGAATATACGTATAAGAGCAAATGTAATTTTAAATGTTATTCCCGTAAATACGAATTAATGAAAGTCACTAATGACGTGTACCTAAACGAGTAGACTCCACCAGATATCATTGTTTTTTGTATTTTTGATTTAAAAAAGAAAAATTGTACGAACGCAAAATTCACAGATAAAGAAATAAAAAAATAACAATAAATAGAAAATCTGCACCAAAACGGCAAGGGCGAAATTTCTGTAGAGTTTTATTTACTCCAAAATAAAAAATAAAAATATATAATTACTGGTATTTTCTTACCTGTGACAGGTTTCCGTTGGGTTATCACAGCGTGGAGGCAGTTCTTTCTTAGTGAAATTAGCGCACGCATACTTAACACCAAAATCTGCAGCACCCGCTAGAGATAGAGCTTTGTCGCACTCGTCTAATATAATCGTCGCTGTCTGTAAAAAAAGTAACGGATCGTACATTAAAAATATTTTTTTTTAGATTTAATTTTATGATATTATTTATTAAGTAATCCTCTGGACTGATCTCCTATCCTTAGTGTTCCAAAATGGGAAATTAAACTAAACATTCATTTTCATATATAATTACATTTCTCTCAATTCTGTCTTCTATTTATTTATTTACGTATTTTCTAGATTTCAACCTATTTCGAGTTAATTAACATGAAGTCCTTACCCTATTAAAGTAGTCGACCTCGACAGTGTGCCAGCCGCCGTCCGCCACGCGCCCCTCCACGGTGAGGTCGCTGCGGCCGCCGCCCAGCGCGAAGCTGAAGCGCAGGCCGGCGCCGCCGCCGCGCCCCGCGCCCGCGCTCACCGTCTCCAGCGCTATGAAGTCGTGGCGCTCGTTGTACCGCCCGTTGTAGAGGAGCAGACCTGACGTGCTTTGGGTTGCGAACCTAGTGGGATGTTAGATTATTTTAACTTGTTTGTAGAGAGACACAGTTTTTTACAAATAAAGCTTTATTTGGCTTTACATTTGATTCCCCATTATAAACTTTCATTCCCATTTTCACCCCCTTAGGGGAAGATTTCCGGTATAAATAGTATCTTATGTCCTTCTTAGGGTCTCAAACTATCTTCTTACCAAACTTCATCTAAATCGGTTCTGTAGATCCAGAGGTTACCTTCTACACCCCCTACAACGTCACAAACTCACAAACTTTACCTCTTTATAATATTAGTATAGATTTGTATGTAATATGGATGATATTTATATTGTATTTTGCGTGTTATTAGTTTAAGGAATAAAATATTGACTATAGAGTAAATAGGAAAGATACTCAATTGTTTTATTTTTCATTAATTACAAGACACAATTTATTATTCGTTAATTTCCACTATATCTTAGTAAATAAAAAATTACGATCATAACAATCATTATGTGTTCCGTTCGACATCCGAAGTCCAATTATGAGAGAGTACATCAACCTTTTCCGTCGCTTTCCGCTAGATTACTTCCTCTTCCGTTACAATTTGTGCTTTTAGCGCCAGCCGTGGCCAAAACTGAAACTAACTTTTGCAACCTGTGTAAGGCAAGCCGCCATTTCTAAAATCATTGTTGCGTCATTTTTTGAGTTGCACGCATCGCTAGATTTATTAGAAAACTTGTTTAAGAAAAACGACCGTTGTGTTATATTAAAGTTTTCAAAAGTAGAAATATTGTTTAAACTTTCGAGATTAAAGTAGAAAGTTACAGTTTTATTCCGTTACGTTAAAGTATTGTGTTTTAAATCGTAAAATGGACAACAGTGAGAAAAATACCGAGCCAGTGATTAATAATAATGTGGACGTTTTTGGTGATTGTGATTCGAATCGGTTGGAGAAAAATACTCACACGCCTTCAAGTGAATCATCGGATTCGAATTCAAGTTCGAGCGAGGAAGATGAACCGCCGCCAAAGCGACGACGTCATAGTCGGTCTTCCGATTCATGTCAAGAAATCGATCGCAGGTTTGATCAGTTATCGCAGCAGTTGGTGAGTCATATAAATAATTTATTTTGTGTCAATTACGCTACGATGCATCCGATATCCACGAACTCCTCGTTTCCTATGGCGGCTGCTTCGACAGCAGTAAAAAATTCGCTCGATGACCCGTTTTTAAGGCCAGTAGGTGAATTAAAAGATATTGCCGAGCTAAATGTGTCTGTCAAGGAACCAACTATGCCAAAGGCAAATCCTGATCGGGTTGCAAAAATAGCGTCAATGCAAAGATTTGATTCTCTGGATTGGAATTCTGTTCGGTACACCGAGGTGCAAAAGAAATACGTAGCATTCCCGGCATTTTCTGAGCTAAAAGTAAATGAGGAATTGAGGCGTTTAGAAGATCCTTTTGCTCCGCTCAGATGGTATCAGATGGAACGCAGTTTTGCTGCCTTGTCTAATGCCTTTTTAGCTCAAAATGAATGTGTTAATATTGCATTAAAACATTTAATAGACTGGGCCGCGAAACCTGATGCGCAATTAACTTCAAATTTAATTTATGATAAATTAAAAGAGTTATTTGGAAACGAATCTAATTATAAGGCTGTATCTCACGACATTTTACAATTAATTTGTGGAAAACGTGCAGAGGTATTAGAACTACGGCGTAAAGCTTTGCTTAAAGGTTTAAAGGGAAAGTATATACGGGAAGATATCGATAAAATACCTCCTTCGATAGAATATATGTTTAATCCTCAAAGTTTATCGGCTTATATACAAAAAATAGGCGGATTAGACAAATTAGATAAAGATATAGGACCTCAACTGAAACCTGTGAGACATTCTAAATTACCAGTGACTTCTAAATCACCGATTGCTTCTACATCTCGGGAAAAACCCTCCTTTCGTTTTCAACAAGTCAAACCAAAGCAAAGGAAAAATAAGAGACAAAATTTTGACGAGCAAGTTAAAAGGGGAAGGGGGGGCCAAAAGGATGAAACTAACAGGAGTAGGCGCAAATGACTCGAGGTTTGTGGGCGGCTGTCTGATGTTTTATCAAGAGGTGTGGGCCAAGTTTCGGCCACCCAAAACTATTCTCAAATTAATTTCTGCCGCCCGTATTCCATTCAATCAGACGCCTCCTCTAATCTTTCCATCGCCGGATGTCATGGAAAGATTTCAAACACAGAGTTCCTTGATAATGTCTTCAGAGATAGAAACCATGATTCAAGATCGGATTCTCGAAGCAGCCCCTTTAAGTCCGTCATTTATATCCCCGCTTTTCATTATAACAAAGAGCAATGGAAAGAATCGGGTTATCTTCAACCTCAAGGCATTAAATCAATTTATACAACCAAGGCATTTCCATCTGTTTCATCATCACAAAATGCCAACATTTCTACAAGCAGGCGACTGGATGGTGAAGCTGGATATAAAACAGGCCTATTACCATTTACGAATTTCTCAAAGACATCGTTGTTTTCTACGCCTAAGTTACGAAGGTCGGCTGCTGCAGATGACATGTCTTCCATTCGGCCTTGCTGCAGCTCCGAGAATGTTTGCATCAGTTACAAATTGGACTGCCGAGATATTACGCAGCAAGGGTCTTCGCCTAATTGTCTACCTAGACGATTTTTTAATAGTCCACCAAAGCAAAGCAACATTAAGATTACATGTTCATATTGCCTTAAAGTTTCTCACCTCCCTAGGTTGGAATATCAACGTGGAAAAATCTATTCTGAGGCCAACGAGGCGTTTAGAATTCCTAGGGATTATCTGGGATACGCAATACAACTCCAAGAGTTTGCCCCCAGAAAAGGTAGCCAAGATTCGTCAGTGCTTATGGGCTCGCTTGACAGCAGGCAGTTGGACCCTCAAGCAGGCGCAACGCCTCTTAGGGTATCTCAATTTTGCGACCTTCATCACCCCTCGGGGAAGGTTGCATTGCCGAGTGCTTCAGCGCCACAGCAATTGTTTACAGAAAAATTCTCGCCGGCCAATCCCGTTCGCAGACGAAGTGCGCGGGGAATTAAAGTGGTGGTTGGAAAATATCGACCAGAAGTCTCATATTCACCCAAGGAACTTACCTGTCAATTACCTCGTCACCGACGCCTCGGACATTCAATGGGGGCACTAGTAAACAACAAAGTAATAAAAGGTTGCTGGAGTCAACATCAGCTGAAGTGGCACTGCAACTTGAAAGAAATGTATGCTGTGATAGCAGCCATATCTCTGGAGGCAAAGGCTTTAAGAAATTCAACAATAATGTTACAGAGCGACAACAAGACAGTTGTGTCGTATATAAAAAATCAAGGAGGAACCAAGTCGAGGAATCTCTTGACATTGACAAATCAGCTCCTAGCACTAACGGACAGCCTGAATGTTATACTAATCCCTCACCACCTTCCGGGACTGTACAACACGGAAGCCGATCAGATCTCTCGGAATCGAATCGGTACCGAGTGGCACCTGCTAGACGAGGCAACCAACAAGATATTCGGCCGGTGGGGAACTCCAGATATCGATCTGTTCGCCTCGCGAAAGGCTCACGTAGTGTCAGATTATGCTACTCTAGACTTGTTAGACTCGAGCGCCTGCTTTCACGACGCTTTCAGCAGATGCTGGAGCTACGACCTCGCCTGGATATTTCCTCCACCAGCTGTACTTCCGCGGGTGTTACGGCATCTCAACTCCGCAAAGGGAAGGTTCATAATTGTTGCACCCAAGTGGAAGAAACCCTTTTGGAGGCCGGACTTGAAGAGCCGCGCCCTAGCTCGTCCAATGAAAATCAGGAATCTGAGAACAACATTAGTGGACACAGTGACGGGGCGTCCTCCAGCTCAAGTTCACAACCTACAGTTGGAAGCTTGGCTCATTTCGGCTGGGACTCTCTAACACAGGACTGGTCCGCTGAGGAAAAGCAACTTTTGTCAAGATGTTGGAGAGCATCCACACTTAAAACTTATACACCAATATGGAACAAGTGGTTTCTATGGTGTAAGCAAAATAAAGTGGACTATCGTCGTCCTGCACCTGCCAGTGTAGCCAGGTACTTAGCTAAACTTTTTCTTAAAGATAGTTTATCATACCGTACCATTCTGGTACATAAGTCAGTTATAGCTTCAGTCTGTGAAACTTTATCGGATATAAAGATTACATCAAATCATTTAGTTAAACATATTTTAAAGGCCGTGTCATTAGCTAGACCGGCTCCACCGAAATTGCAAATATGGGATGCAAGAATAGTAATAAATTTTTTGAAAAATACAAATCCTAACTTAGATAGTTTGTATGATGTTTCTAGGCGAACAGCGATTATATTGTTATTGGCTTCGGGTCGTAGAATACACGACTTAACTCTCCTGCATTGTGATCCAGAACATTTTGTTGACAGTGGGGATTCAATTATCTTGCATCCTATATTTGGCTCGAAAACTGATACGGCAACTTATAAACAATCAAGTTGGAAGTTACTGGCTTCGCCTGATAGAAATACTGACCCCTTGTTTTGGTTAAGATCATTGATACGCATTTCGGAAAATGTTCGAAGTAATTTGACCAATTTATTCATAAACACAAGAGTTCCTAGTAAACCAGCTAGTCCTGTAATCATTGGGGTTGGATAAGACGTATCCTTTCTGAAGCTGGGATAGAGGCTACGCCAGGTAGTGTTAGGTCAGCTGTGTCATCTCTTAATTGTTTAGAGAAGTACCCAGTTAACGAGATTTTAGCTAAGGCAAATTGGCGCCATGAAAATACCTTTCGAAAATATAATTATAGAGAGATTAAAAGTAAAGATCATAATAGTAATGTTGATTCAGAAAAGTCACTATCTAGATTGTTTGCAGTGTCAAATTAATCATATTTTTAGTCATTTCAGTCCTAAGTTTAAATATTTGTTTAAATATGTAGATTAACTTATAATTATATAGAATGCTCTGAATTACTCAAAATGCATAATCTTGAATCCTTAATTGGTTAATTTTATTAATAAAATTTTAAATAATGCCAATTGTATGTTTTTTTTTTTTTTTTTTTTTTATAATCACATTGTTGCGTTCTATTTAGCAAGCCACCAGGAGATAACAAACAGATCTCTCATAATTGGACTTCGGATGTCGAACGGAACACATAATATAGAAATTTTACCTGAAAATAAAATTTGTATTATGTTTCCTAAGACATCCGAAGTCCAAATAATGCCTTCCTGGTGTTTATCAGCATCATTTTCATTATGAACCGAACAATGATTTTAGAAATGGCGGCTTGCCTTACACAGGTTGCAAAAGTTAGTTTCAGTTTTGGCCACGGCTGGCGCTAAAAGCACAAATTGTAACGGAAGAGGAAGTAATCTAGCGGAAAGCGACGGAAAAGGTTGATGTACTCTCTCATAATTGGACTTCGGATGTCTTAGGAAACATAATACAAATTTTATTTTCAGGTAAAATTTCTATATTATTCAGATCATCCCGACCGAATAACGGTTAATTATAACTTTAAAAAAAAATTAAGAATACGGGCACAAATAAACAAAACTTACTTTAATTTCAAATGAAATCGGTGTCGCTTTTTCAATCCAGCGAAAGTCAAGAACGAAGTAGCAGGAAAACTCCTAGCTTTCAGTTCACACACGGCCGTCGTATACGCCGCGTCTATCGTACACCCCTGACACAAGATCCCGCCCTCTTTCCTGGCGACGCACTGGGACCCGCTGCGGCATATGCTGCCGTCACCGTTCATGTCGCATGTTGCTTTGGTTAGAATCGTTTCGCAATTTACTCCTATGGAACAAATATAACAGCTTAATACTTTATTAGATTTAGACAAATATTTGACTTAATATATATATATAAAACTATTTTTTCGCGGAATTATGTTTATTTTCGGTTCCCGTTGTTTCTGTGCCATTTATCTTTTCTTCAAAATTAATGTATATTTCGTGGGTGCTCTACCCACCTACTACCTGTTCTCTAAAAACTATATGATAACTTCTGGTACATTCAAAAATCGTAGCCTCTCTTGTTATCATGATCGTTATAAAATATTCGAACCAAAAATCAAAATACATCTGCGAAGAAATAAAAAAAACTTTATTTACATCAATTTAATAATTTTAGTTAACCGTAATTGAAATATTTGGACTAAACTTTGAACAATAAAATATTTTTTAGTAGTCATACATATATTTCCAGATTATATTTATATTATTACAACATTAATTACATATTATTTCTATTATAACGGGAAACATTTATAATAAAGAATTTCATGACTCTACCTGTAAATCCCGCGCCACAGACGCAGGTATAACCGCTCTCTCGACGTATACACGTTCCGTTGTTTTTACACGGCGATGAATAACACAAGTCGACTTCTGTGTCACACATATAGTGATCTCGGGAACCTAAAGATTAAAATAATTGTAAGAATACTTTATTAAAAAAAAGGACTGCTGAAAAATTTGGTAATTATAAAACTAACATGTTCGCCATTCAAAATCGCCAGATTTTTAAACGTCTATTAACTAATCTTTAGTTATAGTATATAATATGCATAAACCTAAAACTTAATTTGCTATAACAAGGTACTTATGATGTGGCTATGGAAGAGCCAGATTGCCTGCTACAGGTGTTTTTTACATTATAAATTGCACGCGTTTCCGAATTTCACTTAAATCCATTAAGCCACAAAGCGTGGAATGATAAGCAGTTTTACTCCCTCTCTTGGCCATAAAATTTCGCATTCGTAACATAAATGGCATTAACGTAATTTAAATCGCCTTACCGGTAAACCCTTGCGGGCATTTACAAGTAAATGTTGTCACAGGATATATTGGACGAAAGAGCACTGAGTCACTGTGTATGAAACCCGACGCATTTCCAAATTTCAGTACTGTTAGACACTCTTCGTAATTCAGACATGGCTCATGTACGCAAATGTTGTCGTCGAATGGAAGGACCTAAGAAAAAAATAGCGTTAGTCATAATTAATTCAAATATAATTTATGTACAATTATTATACTGTTCGATATTTTGTATTGATCAAAATATTTTTATTTTATTCTTTTTCACTTACTATACAAACTTTTAAGAATTTAAATCAATCTAATAATATTCCTAGATTTACGTTATATGATTTGACATTTTAAATAAAACTGTCTTATCGAATTTTGACGCGTTTTGTACAGCATTCGAAACGTTAGTAAGAAAAAATCAAAATAAAATCGAGATATAATCGGAAAAGATAGTTACAATTAAACTTAAAATATATCGATCAAGTATTAAAAATATCTTCAAAATTAAAAGAAAAACAGTAATAATATTAATTAATAATACAATTAATTAATCAGTACGATAACATTAACAATCTGACCTGTACAGTCGCCAGGCGGGCCAGCGTGGCGCGGTGCAGGTACACTCGCTCGCGCAGGTGCGTGGGCGAGTAGTACGGGGAGGCGTCGCCGCCGGCGCCGAGCTCGGCGTCGGGCCGCCGCGCTGAGAACGACACGTTCAGTATGTTGCCCGTTACGTCTGTATCGTCCTGCAATTTAAAAACAAAAACATTATTTTTGTAAAATTGTTTTATTATATAATCAATACAGATAAATAAAATTGAAGTGTCTGTTGGTAATGTCAAATTATATACGGTACTTCGAAAAACACAATTTTTAAAATTTTGGTCTGTCTGTTTGTTCCGGATAAACTCTTAAACGGCTGGACTGATTTTGACGGGATTTCACTGGAAGATAGCTGATCTTATAGGGAGTAACTACAGAGTAACTACTAGGGCTACTTTTATTTTAGAAAAAGAATTAGGGTTCCTCTCACAAAAAAATAAAACGTACCTAGGGACGAACGAACCAAAGCGAGCGAGGGTGAAACGCTAGTTGACGTAATATAAAAAAAGCAGAGGATAGACGATGTAGGTGTACGTTTCTTTGTGTATATTTCGCGAAATCTTGGCCAATACATTGATATTGTCGATTTTCACGATTTTTTGCCCTTCAAGGATCGAAGGTTCCATATAATTAAAAAAATCCGCCAATGAGAATGAAATAATTATTTAATTTTTAAGTGATTTGAAAGGCGGTGTACCTTTTTAGTTCTAAGGCAAATAGCAATAATTATTACTTTAATTAAGTTTTCTTTTTCAATATTCATTAAAAACTGCTAAAACCATTCTAAGTAAAAAAGAGTACAAATTTAAACAAAAAAAACCTTTATAACTTACTTGTACACTGAACACATAAATATTTTCTTTAGGGCATGGTATAATAGCTGCTAGGCCGTCAATGAAAAATCCAAGTAAGGGAGAGAGAAACTGCTCTGCCGTCATATCGTTTAAGCGAACCGTTATCGAACTGAACAACATTTCTTCTGTTATCAGTCTTACCAGAAGTTGCATTACTGCTTTCACTTCGTTAACACCATCTAGAAAATGAATATAGGTAATCTTTAAACAAGTGTTTTATACATATTTATATGTACATATATATATTTACTCTATGTACATAGTTTTGACATTTAATGTTAGAATATTATATATTTGAGTTCACTATATTACATGTAATGTATGTATATATTACATTTTAATTAATATAAAAAAACGAAAGAATCAAAAAAAAAATTAAGTTATTTTGCAATTTGTAAAGCGAATGAAATTATGTTAACACTTACCTGTTACTGATATTTCCATTGTAGCTAGTTTTGGAACATTTGTGTTTAACTGAGGCGATAAGGTCATTGAACCAGTAGTTTCATTTAGGAGTACCAAATTCGCATTGTTACCAGATAGAATACGATATTGAAGCTAGAAAAATATAAAAAAATATATTAGTATGTAATTAGTAAAAGATATAATATGATTTCATTTAACAAAATCACACTTCCCAATGTATATTACTTTTTGATACATACAATAAGTGATGGAAAAAACACCGAAATCAGAATTTTCTAATGTCTAGTACTTATGAGAAACAAAAAATTTTAAAATAAACATATAAAATTTTATTGCGTTAATACATCCCCTTAGGCCGCCCCTTATAACATTATATAACTGGGAAAAACACATGCTCGAAAAGAAAAGAAAAATAGGATTATCTTTTAAAACTTACTCTATCAGTAACATCAGCATCATAGGCCGGCACTCTCCCAAAAGGTCCCACGGGAAAACAGTCCTTATAATTATTGAATATAATCTGAAAATCCTTCATCATAGGTGCATTATCGTTCATATCTGTTACTAATATTTCCACCCTGACGTCATTCCATAATGGCGGACTCGCTGCTCGAATGACAAGCTCGTATTTCTTTCTCGGACTTTCATAATCGAGGTCCACCATCGTGACTAATTCTGCCTTGTCCGAGCCTTGACGAGTTTCGAGGGAAAAGCTGTTTGAATCATCTCCACCTATAATAAATATATAAAAACAGTGTTGAGCTATAGATTAGTAAATTATGTTACATAATTCTATCCTATAGAATGGGTTGGGTTCGTTGGTTGGTCGGGCTTGTAAGGTTACATTTCTGCGAAATATTGAGTACTTGTACTAATAAATACATATAAAATCAATACATTTTGAAAGTGGGAATTGATGTGTTAATAAAACTGCAGGGATATCTTTCCCTAAAAAATGATTAGGCGTAGTGTAGTTTAGTAATTTTTTCTTTACAAAAATAACTTTAACGTGATATTTTGCAACCAAAACTCAATAGCTCCACAGTTCATCAAAGGCAATATTATAATAAAAAATGATGTAACACGCTATAACAAGGTATTTTAGTAATTCAACCTTCATAAGGCCATAAAAATGTTTGGTTTTAAAAACTTACCTTTAATAGAATAATGAACGACTGCATTAGCTCCTTCATCAGGATCACGAGCGTATATCTCGCCCACTGTTGTTCCTATTGGACTGTTCTCAGGAATGTAAAATGTAAGACAATCGCTTTCGAATACCGGCGGAGAATCATTGATATCTTCCACCTTTATGTGGACTATTACCTAAAATTAATAATAACACTATATAAGTAAAACACCATATACTATGATATATTCAGCAGTTTTCAACGTCCCACTGCTGGGCACGGGCCTCCCTTCAAGAAGAGGGGGATCAGGCCATAGTCTACCACGCTGGCCAAGTGCGGGTTGACGGACAACCAACTACTGTGTTAATTTGTGCCAATATTACTATCAGAGGGAAAATAACTGATCAAATTAATTACTTTGAAAACCTTTTTTTAAATTTTGTATAGCATTTTAAGCTTATAACAGCAAAATTATGAACACATTTTTTTACTCTGGCTACAAAAGATACATATAGAATTAATAAATAATAAATAAATTTGTTGGGACATTAACACACAGCACCATCTAATTCCATGGTAAGTTACGTAAGTTACGAGTTGTGTTATGATACCAGATAGTTGATACACTACACATATATAACTTTAAATACATACATATTATAAATATAAACACCCATGACTGGAGTACAAACATTCGTGCTCAACACATAAATAAATGCCCCCAGCGGGATTCAAACCCGCGACCGCTGGCACAGGAAGTAGGGTCACTACAAACTGAGCCAAGCGTGTCGATGAAAATGAGTAAATATATAGAATAGTGTAGTCAACATTGTCAAAATCTTTGATGACATCATCAATGAATTCAAATTATTATGAAGTCGAAACGGCTTTAATCTATAAATATAATAAAATTTTAACGGAGTCGAAACTGTACATAATTTTTTTTTGGAAAATCTTATTGAAATAGTCATTATTATCGATACAGAGGCCGAATCTATACTTATTAGAACTTTTGTCTCTGTCTGTCTGTGACCGCATCACGAGAAAACCACTGGACAGATTTTCATGAAATTTGGTATGATGATAGCTAGTTATCTGGGTCATCATATAGAATATTTTTACTGCGGGAAAATATCTCATCTCTTAAAGTATATAAAAGCAGAAAGAAAAACAAACCAAACAATACAACATCTAATACTTACGGTAGAACTTTGTGGCGGGGTGCCCCCGTCTATCGCTAACGCCTTTAGATCGTATATAGCGACCGACTCGCGGTCCAAAGCCTTGTTAGTCCTTATCACCCCTGAAGCAGGATCGATTACGAAGGAACCTTCCTCTCTGTCTTTCGTTTCTAACTCATAATGCACTCTACCGTTTAAACCAACATCGGCGTCCGTTGCACTAATTTGGGTCACAGATGTACCTGAAAGATTTTTTTATAATATTTTTTGTTCAAGGCTAGCGTTCATATTAGACTTAATGGCTAGCTTTTTTCATAGAGCGTTATATTAAAGGTATAGTCTACTTTGAAAACAAAATATTTTAATAAGTGGTAATTATTACCATGCACATATACATAATCATATAGGCTCTTCAATCTAAAATAAGTAATAGAAAAAACTGCTAAGTATCAAATAACTTACCAACTAAAGCATCTTCCATAATTGTAGCAGTATACAGCTGTTGTTTGAACACCGGCTCATTATCGTTCACATCCACTACTGATATCTCCACGTCCGTAGTGTCCGAGAGGGACGGCACGCCGCCATCACGCGCTGTTACTGTTAGGAGATAGCCTGAAAGGCAAAATATTATAGCTTTAGGATTTTTCTTAAATATTGTATATATTAAGGACCTCTAATAGTTTTTAGGGAATAGAGATTTTTTGTTTTAAAATAATATTCTAGGGAGAAACTTAATGAATCGGGATAAAAACCATCCAGGTCATAAACTATTAATAATTATGAATTCGATCTTCTTAATATAATTATGAGTTATAATTGCTTAATTAGCAGCGCCCCTAGACGCCTGCCGCATTTATAAATAACAATATTATTATAAAAACTCTTAGAAGGAAGATTTTTTCGGGCTTAATTCTCGATCTATAGGTTTTTTTCGCAAAACTTTCATAAATTATAGAGCCGAAAGCCTTCGTCTTCCTAGTCTATACCTTTTGTAGAAAATTATTAATTATTCAAATTGGGTTTTGAGAACACAAATTTTAAAACGATTTATTAAGAACAAAATAGTACGAGTAGAAACACCTCCTAAAATCACTTACCACTCATAGTTTCTCTATCGAGTGGCTTATTCGTCGTAATAGCCCCAGTTTGCGGATTAATATGGAACTCTTGTTCATGGTGAGCGACCGCTTCGTTAGATATTTCCGAACTCAGTGTGTATGTTATTTGTGCGTTTACTCCTACATCGCTGTCGGTTGCTGATACCACTAGGACTGTTGTGCCTACTGGAGCATCTTCGAACACCTAAATATAAGTGAAGAAAAAATCATTTATTTTAATGTTTTAAAAAAAATTAGAGTTGCTATTATTTTAATAATATCAAAAAGGAAAAAATATAAATATTAGGATCTCGACTCTTAATTAACTCATTGTAACTCATATATCCCACGGGAACAATGCCATAAAATAAAAAAATAACTGTAAGTAACAAGCAAAATTGAACCTCACCGAAGCCGTATAAGGTGCATTTTCGAACACCGGCGCGTAGTTATTAGCATCAGTGATATTTATATGGACCATGGCTGTATCAGATCTTCCTCCTGAATCCGTAGCAGTGACGGTGAGAACATATCGTCTTTCTTGTTTGAAATCCAAAGGCTGAGCAACGGTTATTAGACCGCGGCCATTTTGAGACGTTATCGAGAATCTCCCTCTCGTATTACCTCCTGTTATTTCGTAATGTAATCTGTTGACAAGGTAATGTTTTAAGAATGTAGTAGGGTAGGACCTAGCATAGGTCTAATTAAAACGTTTAGGGAAAATTGGGATTGAACTGTTTGAAGTCTGTTTGAAGTCACTTTAGTCTTTAAATCATTATTATTACGATTCACTGTGAACATTCCCGAAAATATAAAGAGATATTAATTCTATTCCATTATCAAGGATATATATATATATATATATATATATATATATATATATATATATATATATAGATAGATAGTTTCAAGTTTAGTTTAAAAACTGATCAAGAAAACAAAAACAAACGTTATCACCGATATAGCATATTGGTTAACACTAACTTTAACAGTCCGTTAAAATACTTATGACAACATTCAATATCTAACAGATTATAATCATATACTCTCTTATTTAAGTCCACGAGTATGTAATGCTTATGTACTATTATTTACCTATCTATCGACCATTTTCCACGAGTGTCGGATTTGCGAGATGAGTATGCGTGAAATGATATTTTAAGAATAAAAGAGGAGGTAACATGAATAAAAGGAAAGAAAGATGTTTTGTCATAATGACGACACGCCGAGACGCGTGGACATTGTTTTATAGAATTTAAAAAGAATAAATAGTCAATATAGTTATAAACGCTGTTATTAGTATCCCCGGATCCTAAAAACTAGGGGTTTACTTTCTGTGTATTTTTTGTATCAATTGTTTAGATCAATAAAGAATATTAATATTTTTCTAACCTATTATCCTCATCCGCATCCGTCGCAGTCACAGTGACCACCGGTGTTCCAGGGGGTTCGTCTTCTGCTAATTCCACTTCATACTGTGGCGGAGAGAAGACTGGATCGTTGTCATTCACATCTTGTATCACAACCACTACTGAGGCTGTCGCTGATCGAGGTGGTGACCCGTTATCCGTTGCTGTTACCTGAAAATAAATGTTACTAAATAAGTTTTATTGCGCTTTTCTTTCCATAGTTGAAAGAACGTAGAAAGTTTTATATTAAAATAGACTTTTACAAGATTTTGAATTATCAATTTTTGACATTTTTGAAATTCAAATCAAATATCAGAAAGGCAGTTCTGTTGAGAAAATCCGGCGTGAAAACGAAACCATGGTTTACAATATTGCGCTAGGCACAGTGAGCAAGTGTAAATGTAATATGTCTCGGAGCTTGTAAATTCGTGAATAAATACAAGGTTTACTCTACAATTAGAATGATCTTATATAATGAACACAAAACTTCCATAAGAAAATTTGACTCAAGCGAAGAGCGAACCAATATACGTACGTAATATAATCAGTGAGATAAAAGGTAAGAAATTTAATTAAAATAATACAAATCACTAAATTGAAGGTAGGTAAATAATTCATACATATTGATATTTATATGAAGTGGTTTTTCTAAAAGTATCCTTTATGTTAGAGTATTAAGTTATTACTCTAATGACGCTTAGGATCAATACGCACCGAGTTATACGATATAATCGCAATCATTAAGCTGCCTCGTTAGGGAAATTGGAAATATTTTTTATACGAACGTTTGTGTGGAATATAAATTAAAGGGGTATAACAAGCTTTTGAATTTTTATTACGAGTACTTTGTTTTTATTTTAAAAATCATTAATTAATCGATTCAGTGGTATGTATTGCGGTAAAAGTAAAGTATTATAGTAGGTATAAATAAAAGAAAATGATTGTATTTAACAATAGTATGTGAATTATTGCAAAGCAAGCAGTTCGAATTTAATATGCTTTACGGACATAAATAGGAAGGATGAGAGTAGAAGTTCTCATGAAAAATTAAAAAAAAACAATAAATATTGTTAATTGTACACAGCACATTGTTTACGCGTGTGTGTTTATGTGTCTGCAGCGCTGGATTTACACTAGGGGCACTCGGGGCTAGTGTCTAGGGCGGCAATTTAATACGAAAAATGAAAAATAAAAAAATATCAACTAGAAGGTACATTTTTCGAAAAATTGATCTCATTTATAATTTCTTTGCATTTTTTAAAAAAAAATAATTAAACAAATTTTAACTTTCAAAATTTTATTTAAAAACTAGCGTTGCCCGCGGCTCCGCCCGCGTTCTGATGACCAAAAACCAAATTCTTAGGTTTTACATATTAGTATAGGTACTCTTACAATACAGTTTTTGTATTTTTTCTCAGAAATGAGAAATTTTCCCGCAGTAAAAAGTATCCTATATGTTGACCCGGATAACCAGCTATCATCATACTAAATTTCATCAAAATCTGTCCAGTAGTTTTCTCGTGATGCGGTAACGGACGGACGGACGGACAGACAAACAGACAAAAATTCTAAAAACTATAGTTTTCGACTCTGTATCGATAATAATGTCTATTTAAATTAGATTTTTCAAAAAATATTTAATGTACAGATTCGACTTAGTTACAATTTTATTATATGTATAGATTTCGATAATAGGGTGGCATTTTTTACTATGCCCAGGGGCGGCGCTAAGGTTAAATCCGGCACTGTGTGTGTGTATGTGTTTGTATGTTTGTTACTTCTTCACGCTGAAACAACTGAATGGATGTTGATAAAATTTAGTACACAGATAAACTATGATGTCAAGTAAGATATAGGCTACTGTTAGATACCTAGAGAAGCTCTCGAGCGAAGCGAGGGTATGTCACTAGTAAGAAATAAATACCTGAAGTTGATATTTTGATTGCACTTCTCGATCTAACTGCCCCGAGGTATAAACCCATCCTGAGCGAGGATCAATCGTAATGGGTAGATCATTATTGCCGTTGTATTCTTTATCTGCCAGTGTGTATGTCAGTTCCGCGTTGACTCCTTCGTCTGCGTCGTAGGCTTGCACCTGTAAGAGAAAAAATGTTTCATTTGTTTTTGTTTTATCGATATACAGTGAATGATCATAGAATTTGATATGTTCGTTTTTTATATACTAAGTTTTTAGAAATGACTCTATCATTAGTTTAATACTTATGTTTATTCCCGTATACGATTATATTATGATTTTTACAAAAAATAGCTTTTTTCTAGAAAAAAGACTACTATTTGTATTGATGGTAATATCATTTATTAGATATAACAAAATTATTTTACCAAATACTCACCCTAACAATACTATAACCGACAGGAACGCTTTCGCTGACCGATTCTTGGAAGAGCGACGTGTAAAATCTCGGCGGGTTATCATTCACGTCCTTTACATTCACTAACAGTTGTGTGGTGTTCGAGCGAGATGGACTGCCACCGTCTGAAGAATAATAAAATAATAAAAAGGTTTACTAGATGATGTTCTCCTGACCGATTCCGGCCACGACGGCCAATCTCATTGAGACTAGCCAACTGCGCAGGAGATATTATAGTGTGCACATGTGTACGCGCAGACACAAGTGCACTCTCTATTCCTGTCACTCACATACTCTGGTGGGACGACTGCTCGACACGACCAGGGAGAGTTAAGGCGCAGGACCGACGGCTTTACGTGCTCTCCGAGGCACGGGGGTGAAACACCGCCAACTTCCCAACTCCGGGCTATTTTTGAGGCTTAGTATACAGAAAGAAACAATAACTAAACTTGGCCCGACCCGGGACTCGAACCCAGGACCTCCGGGTGTGCAGCTGTACATGCTAGCCACTACACCACCGAGGCAGTTAAATTTACTAGAAACAGGTGTATAACATGATCGTCTTAACCAGAATGTAGTCTAGTATAAAGTATAGAGTTGACGTCGAAACCACAAGCATGGTTGCTAACTTACGAGAATAATTATTAAATTGATGATTATTTTAAGAAATGCCCACGAGCATAGAAACTAACGTACGAGAATTAAATTAGAATATGATAGCAAATATGTAAAACCAATTTCAAGAAATAGGGAAATAGTAAAACTCTGTAGAAATAAATTTATTATACATATTTTCTAATACAAACAAATTGCATCACAGAACAGATTTGCTCATAGTCTTAGAACTGGTTGCAAATAAACACAGAGAAAAAAAAATATTTTCTAATAAATAATTTCACAACACGTTATGAAAATGTATTATAATAAAGAATAAAGAAAAAATATAGTATAGAAACCTGATGAGAAACCTAACAATTTGTTATTTAAATAGGAAGTGATCCTGGGTAGATACCTACAGATAGAGATCCTACTGCACTTAAAGGTATAGCAGCAAAGCCCCACGCATGTAAAAGTGTGCAGTAATAAATATTCATTCAATTTCTTATATCCTAGGCTCTAGCTCGTAGTTCAGTTACTAAAGCACTACTTGTATCATGTGTCAGTACCGTGTGAAGCGTTGCTTATAAATAATGTAGTTCTCACAAATCACTTGATGATCACAAATTATTTATGAGCAGGATGGACTCAAGAGTCACTGTGAATGGAAGTGTAAGCACTTGTGTAGTTATAAAATACGACTTTGTCGATTTTAGCGTAGCGCAGTGATGTTTAAAAGTATCGAAATGCAACGCTTAAATACTATAAAATAATTTTTAATATACGTTTCTTATTTTTTTTTGTTTCTGTATTCTTATTTTTCTTTATCTGATATATATATATATATATATATATATATATATATATATATATATATATATATATATATATATATATATATATATATATGGTCATACTACAATAATGGTACAGGAGGCAGTGAATTATAAAGTGATCGAAAACAAATCAATATGTTATTTTTATTTACTATGGAAGGGATAAGAGTGTATAAACGAATATTTAAACGTTTTATATATTTATATATGTATGTATATATTATTAGTTCTATACAAGATTTTAACATGCGCAAGTAAATAAGATCAATTAAAAAACGTTTCACAGGTGGCATGCAAGCTACCACCGGGCACTACCATATACCACTACCTTACGGAATGCAAAATTCTGCTTAGGCGAAACGGCAAAAACTTAACAGTTGTTCTTTAGATTTTCCATATATTTACTGGTGGGTTTACAAAAAAGGGAACCAACATACGTAGCAATCTACTGCCACGTCCAATTAATCGATTCATCGTTTCTTATCGTTTATATAGATAAAGTATAAAATATATACATACATTAATGTCAATTAAATTAGTAATTTTATAATATTTGCATAATTTGTACATAAAGTATAATTTAAATAAATTATTTTAGGCGTGGTTATCAAAATAAGCTATTTTTGATCGACTTCAAAAGACAGGAGTTACTCAATTCGTCAATATGTTTTTTGTTGGCATGCAGCTACGCCAATTGTGAATTGATTTTGATAATTCTTTTTTTAAAGAATATATGTATAGACTCTTAAGGTAGAGTATTTATTCCGATGTAAATTTAACAATTAATTACCATTACTCAATGGGTTATGGGTGGAATAATTAATTATTTTAGAGTGATTTTGAAGTCAGTGTACCTTATTTGTTAGAGTATTATAAAACACAATATTTTTTTATATATAAACGAAGTATAAAAAAGTTTAGCATTCTATTTCGAAAAACAATAATTCTAATACAACATACCTTGAGCTCTTATCACCAGTCGGTAACTTCGCACTTGTTCATAGTCAAGAGGTTTTACCAATGAAACGTCTCCACTTAGACTGTCTATTGAAAACTGCATTTGAGTGTTTCCACCGATGATTGCATACCGAATAGCTGCATTCGCACCGACATCTGCATCTGTTGCTCTATGAAAGTGACAAACGCTTAAATAAATTTTTAGATCAAAATAAATCAAAATGTATGTATAATTCCTTAATTATGTACAAAAATCAAATATAAAACGGGTAAGGTAAGACGCACAACAAAAGAATTTACCGACTAAAGTTTATGAGTACTTTATATTATCAACTAACTTGCTTCCCAATACAAACTTTCATCCACATTTTCAGTCCCTTAAGAGGTGATTTCCGTTATAAAAGGTACCCTATGTCCTTCCCAGAGTCTCAAACTATCTTCTTACCAAATTTCATCTAAAACTGTTCAGTAGATCCAGAGATTTCCCCTATAACGTCACAAACTCACAAACTTTATCTCTTTATAATATTAATATAGATAAACATTAAAATGACTCTATAAAACAAGGCATTTCTCTGAAACAGATATAATATTAAGTTAAAGTACTTTACTTAAAAAATATCAAGACACGATCACGTTGAATGGTATAGAAATTGCACGCGATATTTCTATTAGCGAAATTGGTTGGCTGTCATACTCTAAAGCAACTACTGTCGTAACTTTAAAGTGATCGTCCCGACACGGACAGTCAGCTATACTTAAATAGATTTTATACCCATTTAGACGAGCTGAAGGCTGTATAATTGGTGAGAATAACTCAGTTTATGCTAAGTCTGTAAATGTGATTTAAAATAGAGTAATTTGTAACGATTTATATATATCTACTTAGCTTCGTTAACTTCTATGCTACCTTTGGAGCTATTCTCATAGTTGGGGAAATGCTTAGTTAATGTCAGACAGTATATTGTTAGCTTTAATGCTTCTAATATATTAATAACTAGCGACTCACCCTCGCTCCGCTCGGGTTCGCCCCTAGCTTGATTCCCTATACAAACTTTCATCCCCATTTTCGCCCCCTTAAGGGATGATTTCCGGAATTAAAAGTATCCTACGCCCTTTCCGGGGTCTCAAACTATGTTCTTACCAAATTTTATCTAAGTCGGTTCAGTAGAACCAGAGATTACCTGCTACAACGTCACAAACTCACAAACATTACCTCTTCATAATATTAGAAGTAAATACATAATAAATGTATTTCTTGAATTAAAATAATATTGCAATATGAAATTGGTTTTAATTCTTAAAAGAAGAAACTTTAATTCTTAGAAGAAGGTATGCTAGAATATATGCTATGATGCAGTTAACTGCAAATATTTTTCTAAGAATTTGTATTTGCTGAATAAAACTATTCAAAGTGAATTTCTACTACATATTTTACTTTACACATATCGGAAACGCAATATCCATAAACAACAATTTATTCCAGACCCATAAATTCGAAAAAGCAGACGGCGCTGTAACGTTTAAAAGATGCGAAGAAATCGAGCAACATGTCTCTTGTGCTTTGTAGATTTTAATATAATGCAACTCGGATCAAATTTGTTTTTTTTTTAATAAAAAATGCAGTAGATATAATTCCACATTTATTAGTTTCAAGTCCAGTTTTAATGGTTTTCTAAACTATGGGGTAAGGGTGTGTTCAAACTTGTTAGACATCGGTGGTAAAATTGTATGTGAGTATTGATATATATTTAAAAAATCATAATTCATTTTGTTTCGGTTTTTCCGCTACCACTTAAAGGACTGACAAAAAAAATTATTCTATTTTCATTCTAAAAGCTGCATTCTATTTGCGAGTTTTTTATTAGTATCTTAGGTGTAATGCGTTTAAAAAAACTAATTGTAAGACTTTTAATTTCCTATTCTTATTGAAAGTACATCTCTTATGAATAAAAAATTAAAAGTAAATACATATAAAAAAGTAGCAATGCTGAATCAAGTCCAAAGTTCAAATTGACTTATAAATCTTTTCATAATCTCTGTATGTACGATAATTTCACTGCTATCAAACAACGTTGAGATTGATTAGTCTCTTGTTTACTTTATGATACAACACAACATGTTAGTTAAGGCAGTAATTGTCCTCTAAATGCTTTAACCGAGCTTGCTCTAGTTCCGCTTTTATCATTTATGTCGCTATGTTAGCGATTTAATTTTTATACAAAATTCTATTGAAATCAAAATACTAAGTAATTTCTTTGATATATATTTTCAAGTATATCAATTCAGATGAAATATTTACAAATACTTTTGAATCGATTTTTTTTAATACAAACTGCACAGTTATACCTAATAATACACTGATATGTAAATATGTAGAAAACTTACTTAATCCTGGCAATGACAGGGTTGTCGCTGACACTAATATCTTCATCCACATTCACGGTGTAAGTTTTCTCACTAAATTGTGGGTAGTTGTCATTGTCATCCAAAATGTTAACATGGATAGTTGCGCTAAAACAAAATTTTTATTAAGAAATTTATTCATATTATTATTTAGTATTAATAAAAGGGCAACAATATCCCACTCAATTAAGAAGATTTTTTTATTGGAATTACAATTAATATACTTTTTACATAAACATCGGAAACCTATAAAACCATTATTATTTAATATCCGGAAAAAACCCTTAATTTAATACCGCAACACGTTTACTGTCAAAAAACTATAAAACCGTTTCTCATGATATACAAAAAGAAGTAAAAACTTTTCAGTCACGAAATAACTTAGACAAAAAAAAACCAACCTGCTTGACAATCTATCGGATAACGGACTCGCTTGATCCGTAGCCTTCACTATAACTGTGTATCTCGAAACTTTTTCTCTATCCAGCGTTGAACGCGTCAGTAATGCGCCACTTCTACCGTCCACCCTAAATACGTCTTGAGCGTCTGCTTCTATACCTGAATCTATAGATTCGTTAAAGTCTTCCGGATTTAATGTTTCCGCTTTTACTGAATCAATAGAATATTCAACCTGAAAGAAATTGTATTTAATTTAAACCTTATAAAATCATATTGGAAAAAACCAGGAGTTACCAATTCACAATATATGATTTATTCTTATTTTTATAGTGCAACTTGAGTACAAGTTGTTTCGCCAATGTTGAATAGTATATTCTACACTTGGATTACGTAAAATAACAGCAATGAAATACAAAATTACTAGAGCGTCGAAATGAATGAAATAAAATTAAACTCAAAACTCAGGACACTTTGCTAAAGGCCTTCTTAACAACCTGTACAATGTACAAGTAAAAATAAATATATTTTATTTATATAAACTTTCTTCTCCTAGATGATTCATTAATGAATGAATTGATTGAAGATCAAACCTCGAGGGCTGAAATTATGTCATCCTTAAAAGTGAAAAGTGGAGGTATTTGTATAAAATATTTTACCTTTACATATAATAAAACAGTAACTTAGCGAAATCGATGTGCGCGTTTCGCGCAAAAAGTACTGAACCGATTTTAATTAAATTTTGTATAGTAATAACTTATTACTCAATTCAACATTTAGGATACGTTTTACCACAGGAAAATATTTCAGTCCCACGGAAAAACATAATAACTGGTTCTATCGAGTCGTTCTTAGAAATTTACATGTCTAACGCTGGCTGAACCTTAAGAGATACATGAAAACAATGTACTAGAAAATTGTAGGAAAATTGTAGTTAATATAAGGCCTACAGGGAAATCTACATAGCATAAGTATTTCTCATAAAGTACACTCGCAATAACTATTCATACCTATTGAAAAGGTACCTACGGACGCACCTGAGCGAAGCGAGAGTAAGTCACTAGTATTAAATAAAGGAAACAGTTAGTTCATTAGCATTATATTTAAAGAGTCTCTACAAATCGATTCAATTTATCTAAATTACAATATATAAACCAGAATACAACATTCATTCCCTTTAGCGTACACCATACCTAATAAGATAGCGTATTTTATGGGAGAGCGATTATCTGTAACAATCAGGCGTTAAGTCATCGACCCTGAAGAATCTCAGGAAACTGATATATAAAATATTAGCAATAATAATATAGTCGTGAATATCAAAGTGGTACAGATGAAATGTCTTTATTATTTCAAGTTTATGGTAATTATTTCGCGATAACAAGCCAGAAACACTACTTGTCAAACCAGTTGATGATGGTGCTTGTACACTGACGCCCATAATTTATTACGCTGTTGTTAAACAATTAATAGCACAGTTTTCTAGTAATTTAACGCGGAGGCATTTTTATTGCACTTCTATCTTGTTAATAATACTTTCTTTAAGTTTTCTTTGCGGGTCAATCTAGATAGATAAATAAAATTGAAGCGCCTGTAATGTCAAAATAACAGTTTTTTACTAAATGCATATGAAAATGCATATGAAATTATATACGGTACTTATATTTTATTTTTTATCAAACACAAATTTTAAATTTTTTTATTATCTGTTATTTCCTGTAAATCTCCGAAACGGCTGGACTGATTTTGACGGGATTTTCACTGGCAGATAGCTGATGTTATAAGAAGTAACTTAGGCTACTTTTATTTTAGAAAATGAATTAGGGTTCCGCTCAAAAAAAACATACGAACGCGCCCAAACGATTTCTTGTATCACATTAGAAAATAGAATAATTTTAAAATTAAATTATTAATATTATAATTTTGACTGTCAATTTTATGTTATTAATAGGACTTAAAAGTTAAATACACAAAATAAGTAACTTTACCTCAGCGTTCTTCCCTATATCCTGATCCGTTGCTTTAAGAGTTAAAACTGTTGTACCAGGGCTTGCGCCTTCTCTAACAGACGCCTCATATTGTTGCATTTCAAAAATAGGAGCGTGATCATTGCAGTCCAACACGTTGATCTAAATATTAATACAAACATATTTTTATTTAGTTTTTCATGCAATTTATATACTATTTAAGTTCTTAAATAAGATTTCCGCAAGTTAATTTACATAAGTATAATTTTTCACTACACGATCCATTGGTCCAACGACATACTTAAAATGTCTGTTCCATCTCGTTGTTTAGAGTATGAAGTTATTATAAGACCCTTATTACCTGAAGCGTTGTGGTACCGCTTCTCGGTGGGAACGTATCATCCTGAGCGACAACTCTGAAGTAATGCACGTCGAGCCTCTCTCTGTCTAAGCGAGCTTGAGTTGTGATTACACCAGTCCTTGTGTCCACAGCGAACATACCAGCTGATCTAGAGTCTAGAAGACTCGACATGGAGTATGTGACTGGACTATTTTCTGGATCGCTGTTAAAAATGAGGAGAAATTAGCGAATAAGTAAAACAAACGGTTTTATTACAATTATGTATCCTAAAAATATAACACAGCAAAATAATCCTTTTGAGTATGGATGGACGCGACCCTGAACTTAACACCCCACTCTACGTTTTAAGCTTTATACACAAAGTTGGTTAGAAACAATGTTACTCTAGTGTACTATCTGTATGAATAAACATACAATTACAAGATTACTTCATCAGAAGAATATACGTCTATAAATTACGTGCACGGTGCAGGAATAATTCACTAGCATGATAAGCAACAAAAAGCTTTGCATTTTACTCGTATATACGCCGCTTTATATTTAAAAACACGTTACAATGACATTAAGTGCACAGAAAACTGCAAATACAAGTTCCTACACCACCGCATCTAATTATATGGGCGGCGGCGCAACAACTCCGCAAAAGGGAAATCCAGTCGCACGGAGTTAAACCCAGGAAATTGACTAAATTGTCCGATCTTGTCTAGTTATTAAAGGTGTTACATGCCATTACATGGAACAAATACAATTTTACAGTATCGTAGATATTAAGATAACAATGATTTGAATTCATATCTCGAACTGAATACGTTAGAGACAAATATGCTTGTTTTATATGAAACAATTAAGTTTTCGATCATTACACTTCGTTTAGTTTGACCTGACCCCGCCAATGTAATAGAATCTTGCAAGTTAAAGACCCACTTCCCAGTGTCCGATTGAGCTGAAATTTGGGAAACAAGTTTGGTACTCATGACTGCACGATTACCTAAATGCCGGCATTTTTAATATTATATAGTGGACGTTACAAAATGGCGAGTTACCATTTCCATAGTCACCCTTATCATATGCGGCATCAAATGGGAAAGGGCTTGATGAGCGAAACACAATAAGCAAAGTGACATCATTGTAAAACCAATAAGGCAGACTCCCAAAGTTATTTTCTTCTTTTTAGAGCATTTATATAGAAGCTGGTTTTTAAAAATGATTTTTTTTACAATTATTTTATTTTATATTAATTAAGTTTAAGATTTCACATAAAATTAATTTATATATATGTAGGTATATATTCAAACAAGAATTAGGTACATATAAATCATCTTATATTTTACATCATCAAGCCAACGTTAGTTACGTGTATGTTTTCTAAAGTATACTAGCATGTGTAGGTACTTTATGGAATCTCATAGCTATTTAAAAGTTTATAGTAAGAACAGCATTCTTAGTTCATCTTTAGGTTGGTTTGAATTATTTTGAAGTAAAGGAATCTTAAACTAGTAGCTTTTGCCTAATTTGAATGAGAATGTGTACTCGTAACTATAATTTAAGTATTTATCCCTTATTAAGTCATAGTAATTTTAAATACGTAAGTCTTTCAATTTGATTTACACACATCATTTTTTATAATTTACTAATGAAGATATATTACATACATGAAAAGAATCGTTATTTTGTAAGAAAATATAGTTACAGACAGAACATGCCAGTAACTTCTCGAGGCAACTCCGCAGTAATTGAGGTATTTTAGCTTTATAGCCCCCGCCATTGTTATCCGTCACGATTACATTGTTTCCGGACCGCATAAAATAGATGAGATCATAAAAGCTCAACGAGCCAGCTTAAAGTCAATTAAAGCAAAGCAGATGGTTTACGGCCGGGGTGTTACTTCCGTGGCATTCATGAGTCATTGATTAGTATAATTTGGATTAAAGACTGGAACGGTATTAGGCGGGGCTTGCGGTGTAATGCATGAGTTAAACCACATCGTGTCTAAACGACATAATAGAAAATTTAACTCTAAATATAGAAATTAAAACTTACCGAGCTCGTACGGTTGTAACTATTACTCCTGGCGGTTGCTCTTCAGCCACAGATGCTACATACAAAGCTTGCTCGAAGTAAGGAGATTGATTTCGTAATTCGCGTTTAACGCGTTTCGCTATATCAGTGTCGTTGAGTTCTTGATGATGATACACTATTTTCAACCTATGATCTGAGTCCACAATGTTAGTCCGTTCACAATTAAACGTAAAGAGTATAGACACTTTCCACATCGGCTCTAGAATACACACATCATTGCTAGCCACTAAATCACCTTGACTGTTCTCAATAACAAAACGCGGATCACTTACATCTAAGAATTGAACTCTACATTTTTTTTGAACAGTTCTAGGCAGGAATGCGGTTAAAGAATTTACGAATTGAGATCTTTTTAAGCAAATGCCGTTCCACCGGTCTGTTGTTGGTATAGCAAAACTAGCGTACGTTTCTGAAATCCATTGTTTTGCTTCAGCTATTTTCACGTCTATTGCCATATCAAATGGCACTAACGGAGATCGCTTTATTCTACTTTTATTTGTAACTACATAATCCTCGAACATTGCGTTTGACCATGGATAAGCCGTTGACAATACGCTATATTGACTAGAACCCAACTCATTCTCTTCTAATAATCTCCAATCTATACTTTCTGAATAACTAATTTCTCTTTTATCTCTAGGATGGTCATCCTCATACTGAAGAGCGGCATCGTTTTGATCGTAAACACGATCAAAATCAATATCGTATAAATCAGCATGTCGCCGACTACAATCTTCTCCGGCCACTAAAACTCTGATTGGTAGACTGTAGTAGTCAATATCTCGAATTCGTTCAGACGTAGAGTCTACGTAGAAAGTAAATAAATTTGGGTAGAGGACGCCATCACATCTTAGTTTCTTTCTTAATGTGACGAGACCAGACGTTCTGTTAACTCGAAGAATGTGATGAACAAAGTTAGCAGTTCTGTGTACGTCGATAGTATAAGTGCGTTCAGAGCCCAGTTTGTATACAGCTGCGTCTAAAACGACGTGGCCCGGTGGTGCGGTGTCAGGGACGATGATAAGGTAAGCGTGCACGGTCGAGAGCGCTAGAGCGGCGAGAGCCGCTAGCGCCCACCGCGCCATTCTGCTCACTATTCACCTACAACAACGCCGCCTCGTCCGCCATAGACTTCGGTTGCCCATCTGTAAATAAAAAAGAAGACCTAAATAAGTTTGAACATTATTTTTTCTTAAATAATGCAATGCAAATATCGTCATTCAGTTTAAGATTTAAACAGATCAGTTTGTCACACGCAATATTTGTGTGTGTGTGTGTGTGTGTGTGTGTGTGTGTGTGTGTGTGTGTGTGTGTGCAATACATCTTTAGACTTTAGAGTACCGACTTTAAAATTTATATTTGACTCAAATAATTTGATTTAAAGTTAAAATAATTTCTGACATTTGCTGTAGAGTCATAAAATGGTAAGCATTAATTGGTGTCAACATGAAACAGTCAATTTATATGCGGCATGCACGGATAAATACTAACAGCAATATCAGAGTTTATGTAGGATAATAAATGTCTGTCAGAGAGTTAAAGAAACTCTAGATTACTTTGAAATAATATTTACTATCATATTCTTTAATTTTATATTCATATAAGACATATATATTTAATTAATATATTGTAGGATTTACATTTAAATTAAATGAAAATTTTCTATTAATGCAAGCTCATAGTACCTATTAATATGGAAAAAATTAATAATCTGAAATATCAGTGTCTTTAAACTAGTAAACAGCTTAAATAAACAGGCTAATCCGAGATCAAAACGCCAGCCAAAACATTATCCTTTAATCCCTTGCACAATTATTATTGGTGTTTATAGGAATCGGGAGTTTTCGGGCAAAATTCAGCCATTTCAGCAGGAATCGGCTAAGGTCTAAGATTAATGGGGCAATTAATGGAAGTGCGTGGCAATTTCCTTTTACACTGTATTTATCTGATAGCTATAGAACAATTTTTCTGTCGTTAAATTGTTATAAGAAAAACACATAGATTTATAGCTTTAACAATTAGCCACACGTAGTTATAGGTATTTGTGGTTTTATTAGTATACTTAAGTACAAATTTTATAATATTAATTAAATATTTAATTTGTCTAACTTAAAAAAATCTGCGTTTAACAACAATAATAATTACTCTCCACGTAGTGACTAAATGACTTAATTATGTGTATATTTTTTAAAAATAGTATAAAGTATCAGACTAACGTAGTAATGACATTAATATTCGAATTTTTATCACGAATATAATATATATATATATATATATATAATATATACAACTATAAGATTGATCTATTTGATGCAGGCATAAAAATTTCACTCAAAATAGATCGGGAGTGCTTTAGCACATAACACAATAGCAGCAAATGATAGAGCCAAAACAGATAACAGTAACAATTTGTCGAATAAAATGCTCGGAATAGTATTTACTGGGGCTTGTGGGGGAGTAAAATGTCAACAATTTTACAAAACGTCTGGATACGAAAACATTAAACGTAGTTGAACCTACCTGTTTTCTTTATTTGTTATAAAATAGTCCTACACGAGATTTGCTGGTTTTATCATATTTAAAAATATTCAAATCACATACATATATTAAAAATAAATAAATTTTATTACTATAAATGCTTATTTGTATAACTATATTTTTTGGAATATATCATTTTGTTATTGCTTAAACTATCAAAAATCCTATCTAAAAACTTTATACATTTTTCCAAATGCCTCATAGTCAAAACATTGGAATTCCAATAAGCACGTACGTTTGCCTAGAATATTAATGTTCTAAATAGGAGTATGTATTACGTACTACTATTGCTAATAATCAAATGTTAGTGGGCGGGATACAATCAGATCCAAAGCTTTAATTTGTTTAGTTGAATGCTTTATAAAGTAATATCTAACCGTTTTCATTTAGTATTCAATAACTTAAATGATGAAGTAACTATAAATAGAAGCTTAATTTCTTGGTAAATGTCAAATGCAGAGCATTTATAAGAAGATCTGTCTGTGAAGATGATCGTTTTGATTTCCTATGAGTAGATGTTTATTTTTAGTTAATTAAAATTTTAATCTTTAGTTGCTCTTCTTTCTTAGGTCTTTTATCCTAAAAAGATAAATTATCAATTGTACATATTATGTACTAGCGGCTCACCCTCGCTTCGCTCGGGTTCGCCTCTAAAAAACACTGCTAGAGATCTATTAGTTCCCACGGGAACCATTCATTTTTCCAGGATGAAAAGTAACCTGTTGTTTGACCGACAATATAAGGTATCAAAATGTTAAATTTTACTAAATTAGGTTCATAAGTTGTTGTGTACTAAGGTATTATAGTTTTTTAACTATCCCACGGGAACTATTTAATTTTCCGGGATAAAAAGTATCTAAGATGTTGCCCGGGGATATAAGATTAGCCTGTACAAACAGACAGACAGAGAAACAAAAAATTTGAAAAAAATCTAGATTTGTTTTATTTGTCTTCTTACATCCCCCTGACTCGGTTTTTAGTATTTTTTTGCTATGTACAAACATTTGACCTCTACATTTTTATTATAGTATAGATATTATTGACAAAATCTTATTTACTTATTATTCGTTAATATAAACCATATTTAACAAATACATATATTCGTTTTCATCATTTTATATTTTAGCTCACTCGTTCCCAATGAAATGGGATAAATCCATCCAAAATTGATGTTTCCCTATCGCTAATGGTGCTATCTATTAAGCGTGTTCGGAATTGCCGATTCAATTTCTATCCCCGCCCTAAGTCGGCCATTTGATATGTACTTATTCGTTGGAAGATCGCTACATTCAACGCTAAAATAACTCTTTATGGTTTACGAAAGTAAACTCTTATAATACTTTTAAAAAGCTTCGTCTTTAACATAAAGCTTTTAAGTGCAATGCTATCAAGCTGGTCGTGACTTCGATTTCCGCATGGGAAGAAATTTTATTTGATGATATATTTGTTTTTGCTGCACTCATGATTTTTCTCTTATAGAAAAGTACTCGATTAAATAGTACAATTAATAATAGGTTAATATAATAGGAATAGTACAGCAGGTGATCTACACGCTTATTTTCAAGTATTTTTTTTTTAAAGTGTAATATTTAAAAAAATCTCTTCACCAACGAAAGCTATTATGTAAATTAGTTCAGTTGTTATCAAACTAAAAAAAGGCGCAAACTACTGCTTTATATGATGAGGGTCAGACTTTATCTATGATTAACAGTTGCCTGGAGCGAAGATAATTTTCATATAAAATGTAGCCTTTTGGGAATTATAACATTTCTCATAAAATATTTATATATAACTGTTATATTATATATCGCATCAGATATATTACCTATGTATAATATCAGGTGAGTTAATAAGGAATTTAACACATTCAAAGCACCCTTCAAGTGAATGTTTCTACCAAGTATTATTTCAGATAATGACATCCAATAGGCATCATCTCATCAGCTATTTTCAAACAGGGTGCAGAGTGATATTCTTTATGTTTAGCCCATGAAAACATAAAAAGCAGAAAAATACAACAATAAAATTATCATAATATGTATTCAGCCCTTTTTAACGTCCCACTGCTGGGCACGGGCCTCCCTTCAAAATGAGGGGGATCAGACCATAGTCCACCACGCTGGCCAAGTGCGGATTGGCGGATTTCACATGTCTTTCGAAAACTTGCTAAGTTCTCTCAGACATGCAGGTTTCCTCGCGATGTTTTCCTTCGCCGTAAGGAAAGTGGTAATCATGTTAGAAATGATTCGCACATGAAAATATAAGAGACGTGAGACCCGGGATTCGAACCCGCTTCACTCGGTTTCCCGAGCGAGCACTTTACCACTGGGCTACCATTGGCTTATACTACTCATTATTTTCATAATTTGTATTATTTTCATAATACACACTATGAAAATAATGTTTATTCTAAATATATAAATAAGAACAAGAATAAGTTTTATTTTTACTAATACATATATTAAAGACTAACCTTATATGAGCAGAGTGAGATTTTCTTTTTTTTTACGCATTGATCGCCATCTAGAAAAGAAAAATATATAAATCAGCTAAATTATAAAAATCTAATGAAATAAAAATTTGTATCATTTTGAATATTTTTTAAGTTTTCTTAAAACGGCTAACATCGATACTCATTGAAATTAATGATGATTCATGACCTCATAATAGTTATTTATTACGTCGACATAAATTTAATTATCAGTTTCTCCAAGTAACTAGTTAACCATAAATTCGCGCAGATTCTTAATATAATGAAGCCAAAGACATAATTTACGGTTTAGTAAATAACTAATGATTAATTTAACCACAAAATTTTTGCTTCGTAACGCTTTAATGAAAACTGAAATTTGCAAGAATTAACCAAAACAAAGAGGGAAGATTTTGAATATAATTAATGATTGTTTTTACATAAAACGAACAGTGGATTCATTTTGATGTTAACATAATTTATGTAGAGTCATCTCTTATGATAGGTATACTAAACTAAATACTTATTATTAATTGTTTGCCTTATATTTTTTATAACAGTTTAACTCAAGTCCTGTTAAAAAGAAAAATCTGCACTAATATATGCCACTATTTTCATTTAATATTTAGTGTAATTAAAAGCAAATGTACTCGTACATGGCACAAACCCTTATATGATTTGGATATTGGTCATTTTAAAAATAAAGAAACATTTATACTTTTCTAATATTCTTATTATAAATGATCATATGATATTAATTACATAGTGTTTTTACATACTCTAAGTATTTACTTAAAACTTCCTTCTGAAGAAACATTATGATTATACCTATATTTGTATTTACAAATATATGTATATATATTTCTTCAGAAGTAAGTTATTTCTAAAGAAATATAATACATATTTGTATAATATAAGATTACTACTCAATTATAAATTACAAAATTCATCTAAACTATGCATAACGTATATTTTATTTCTTTTTGTAGGTGTTTCCGTTTACTTGGTTGAAGTAGAAAACCTATAAATATGTAAATAAGATACCTGTTTGCATTAACTTTACTTTTATTGATAATA